TTATTATTACAAATATTGTAAACCGTTTATGCTGCTTACGGTTTTTATGGATACTGCACTTTTTCAGGACAGTTTAAAAGAAATCTACAGTAACGTTATATAATTCTACTTTACTGTCAACTGAATGCATCTTTGCTGAATACAATTATTTAATTTCTATTTACCCCACGTTTTTTGAGTGTCCACAAAAATTAAGCAACACATTGGTTTTCAACATTATTAATAATCCGAATTTTTTTCTTGAGCATCAGATCCTCATATTAGAGTGATTTCTGAAGGATCATGTGACACTGAAGACTGGAGTAATGATGTTGAAAATACAGCTTTGAATTCAGAAAATTGTAAATATATATATATATATATATATATATATATATATATTATTCAAATAAATACAATCTTCATTCAAAGTAATTATTCCAAACTTTTGACCAGTAGTGTGAGAAGCACTTCCGCACCTGGTAATGTGGAGTTGATGTATCCATTGATGGTGTGGTACTGGTTTGGACTGGATGTTTTCTTCAGTTTGTCTGCTCTGCCCACCTCCTGGTACCAGCTCTTACTCTCATCGAAGACGGCAAGAAGCAAAATAAACTCCTTTGCCTTCCGCTGTCTCTCCTCCGTCAGAGCCTCTGAAAGAGTCAAATGTTACAGAACATGTCACGTATTTACCAGCAATTTCATTCAGGACAAATCCTCAGTGGGTAAAGAGCCCATATTACGCCCTTTTACAGGGTCTTGATGTGTTTCAGGCTCTACTAGAACAGGTTTTGGTTATTCTCCTCATATTCTCCATTGTTGCGGCTCCTCTCTTCCCAGTCTGTCAGTAACGCTCTGTTTACTTCCTGTCTCCTCCTTCTAAAAAGCACACTGTGCTCTGATTGGTCGGCTGGATCAGTGTGTTGTGATTGGTCGAGCGCTTCGAGTGTGTTTGGGAAAGTCCCGCCCCTTCCCATAACCACCAGTTTAACACACTACTAACTAACCCAACTAGGCCCCGCCCCTTTATTATGCGCATTAATTATTATAATGAGGAATATTGTGACGTGTTCGTTCCCGGGAGAAACTCAAGACTACAATGGAGGCGTTTCAGGGAGAAACTCAGGAGCTTTTTCACACTAAAGAAAGCTGATCATATATCCAAAAAGCATAATAGGACCCTTTTAAACTGATATTATACTATTAAAAAAATAGATATATTTGACACATATGTCATAATCACTTATCATTGTTTCTGCCTTTGATTATTAAATTGTTTAAATCAATATATTTTCAGCTAATGTGATTTTGTATATGTACATCTCTGAAATACATACACTCTAAACAAAGCTGGGTTGTTTTAACCCAACTTTGGGTCAAATATGGACAAACCCAAATGTTGGGTTAAAAATTTCATTTAAAATCTTCAACTTTCACTTTCAACTGTAAATTTTAATTACATTTTTAACCCAACATTTGGATTTGTCCATATTTGACCCAAATTTGGGTTGAAACAATATGTGTAATTAGACATTTACCTCTCTAAATTGTAATGTGTACTTTCTGTAAAGCTGCTTTGAAACTATGTGCATTGTAAAAAGCGCTCTATAAATAAATGTGCATTCAATTGAACTGTGACTGCAAAACAAAAAAGCATCATAGCACCCATTTAAATGGATATTTTACTTCTAAATTGATATGTTTGACAGGGGAAGGAACATAATTTTACCTGTGTTACAGATCAGCAGAGTGCCGACGAGTCCGCTGTTGAAGTCTCGCACGATGTCCACCTGTGATGAGTAAATGTAGGTGAGGCACTCCGGGTCGGATGTGGTCGGTCCGGAGTTGGGGGAGATGTCCCACACGTACTTATAGTATCCGCCAGGAGGCACTGCATCATCCGCTCGCTCCTGGACAGAACTGGAGTCCTCGTACGTCGCGCCTGAAAGCAGAAGGATGTTGAGGTTTATCTTCACACGCTATGGGGTTTTAAACTTGTCAGGATATTGCTATATATCTCAGGATATTGCTTTTATTTTGCTTTTGTTTTTTTTTTCGGGTAAGCCCAGACTTACCATATGTTGGTTCATACAGGAAGTCACATGTACTTTAAGCACTCCTGGAATTTATCAGTATCTCCAGTGTTACAAAACAAATTCCAGAATTCCAAATGGAATCTATCCACAAGTTTCCTACGCCCCATGAGGCCTTGCGTCAAAAGTGGGCGCGACTTCCGGTTGGAAGTAAACAAAGCGCGATTTGACATGCTTGACACTCGTTCATTCAACAGTTGACAGTCATTCAAGTTATAGCGATCCAAACTAGCTAACGATGTGGGAACACAACCTCAACGAAATTCAATAGGGTGAAATAACAGTACCTTTACCTCCGCAGTAGTTGATTGGGAGTATTATAATAACATTATTAATAATCAATACTGATCAAGGCATGGTGACAGACAGTTGTGCGAGCTGACAAACAATTAAAATAAAAAATACACACTTAGTCATTGTGCTTTGGAGTTTATTCAAAATTATAAATGAATGTGCTGCTTGAATACATTTGGTATTCTGTCAACACAGGCTTTGATCCTGAGTTTAGGTGTAACATCAGTAGCGAACAGCCAAACACATGCTGATAGTTTATAGAACATTAAGAATTTAAACAAATGTACACAGGAAGATTCGTCGTCTTTTGGGAGGTGATGGAAACTACAGTCGTTGGCAGGATCACTCAGTCTAATTTCGTTTTCAGCTTATGTTCAAAACAATCCCGTTTAAGCCACTAAATTAGTTTAGTCCGGTTATACACACAACCGCGAACAGCACATGTTGTCCCTGAGCTCCGTAACGACATCTCTCATAAAGATTTGCGTCTTTAAATAGTAAAATAATTCTCCGAAAAACAGCTAGCATCTTCGCTAACTAACACACAAAATACCATTGGAATGCTACTTCCGTCGCGTCACCGGAAGTTTCACCCACTTTATTTTTTACAGGAGCGCCCCTCGGAAACTTGTGGATAATGATTCTCATTCCAGGCACTATATTCCTAATGCTGTAAGAGTTAATTGTGCAGTCTGGAATTAATTATCCTCCTTTATGCTTTTAACTATTCCTTGCTTAATCCGTTCCTGGGAGCTATTTTTTTGTTTCTATTTTTTTTTAGAGCTATTTAGCTCTATAATGTTAGACAAGTCTAAAATTTGCTCATAAACTAGTCCAATGACAACATAAAGACTGACTTAATTAAGATAAAAAAAAATAGACACTTTACCCCAGGCTAACTCAGGTCTTAAGACCCTTGCACATTGAGTCCGAATTTTCGTATGCGAATTTTTGGCGAAAAACACAGAAAATCGAACCCGATACGATTTTTTTTTAATGATGGATGAAAGTTTCGGAGGCAGTGTGCGAACGTGATTTGAGGTCGTATTTATTTTTTATCGTGCGAAAATTTCGGACGTGAATTTTGGACTCTGTTACCGTGGCAACCGGCAGTAACAACCAGTTACATTTCAAACGGCCGAAAGAAAAGGGAAAATGGCTCATGATTTGTGGTTTGTTGACGACGTTATGGAGACAGCTATGAGAAGGGGAAGGAAATATCAGTTTTTTTGATATTTCCTCTTAAATATTTATTTTTTGGCATCTTGAAACCATGTTTTTGTATCTTTTTTGTACGTCTTTAGCGCTCCGCTCAACAGTGGGATTAACGCTAGTAACTGTCGTAGTAATCTTTGTCCAAATTACACATTTCTTCTTATTACTATTCTCCCCAGTAAAATGTCCTCGTGACTGTTACACTCCACCAACACACACATATCTCCCGCTGGGGTAAACTACACTGAGCGGTTGAATGCGCTTACTCCATCCGCCATGTTTTTTGTTTTGAGGGTTTTACCCAGAATGCATTGCAGTGTAGTCCTACTTAAGATAGTCAGAGTGTTCAGTGCTGATTTAGATGTCTATCTGATATCTAAGCCATAGTCAAAGTCTATCTTTGTGAAACTGGCTCCTGTTCTAGCTTGCACTATTATGATGAACGACGGCCGAAACTTGCACTTCTCACGTTTATCGCCTCTTTAAAAGGAATCGCTTGATGTATTCCTCCATTGTAAGTCGTTCTGGATAAAATTGTCTGCAAATGTCTATAGAATTCCTTGAAGATTAATGCAAATCCACAACATTCATCGATTTACCTTCCGATTGTTTCCAGTAAGGAACGCCGATGGGAGAAATACTGAAAGACTGCGAGGCGAAGTTTTTGAAGTGCACCACGACCCTGTCGTTCACCACCGTTCTGATGGTCGGCCCTTGAATACCTGAAACACGAATAAATTAACATTCTGTCCAAGTTAATTCGTAACATCTTAATGTTTTTGATAAGAAGCAAGGTTGATACTGACCTGCCCATGGAGGTTTTGACTTTGGTGTTGTAAAAGTGGAGTCGGTGTATTCCGTATATACGGCCTTAGTGTATTTCTGCACACCGGATGCAAATTTCCTGTTAAAAATTAATAAAATTTAACTAGCCATCTATACAATACAACACAATACAGTGCAATACAACACAATTTAAATAAAGTAAATGTAAATACTAGGGATGCACGATATATCGGCCAGCATATCGGTATCGGCCAATATACTGTATGTTCATTTTTAATGTTATCGTTATCGGCCTGGTAAGAAAATGTGGCCGATATATTAAAGCCGATAAATAATGTATTATTCCCTTCAGCTGAGACGCTTGTTGAGCACTGCTTATGTTTTTGAATTTCTTAAAATATGATTGAATCTCTTGAAAAATAGAAAATACGGTTCGGTACAAGAACATGTGAAGCGCAAATCTGTCATATCGGCTATACAACACTATAATCATATAGAACATCATTATAATTGTGCGCTTGGGACATGGAATTAATTGTGAGACTTTTGTATTCGTAATCAGGCTCTCAAAATTAGATAAAAATTCGGATTTAAGTTTATCGGCCGATATATCGGTTATCGGCTTTCAAATATAAAGAATTATCGGTTATCGGTATCGGCCAAAATTTTCATATCGGTGCATCCCTAGTAAATACTTACATTATACAATGGGTGTACCCCAAGGTTCAGTGCTAGGTCTCTTATTATTTACTCTGTACCAAATTATCACTATTATGGGATCTTAGAAGATTTTTTGACAATTTACGTCTATTGTAATCAATTTACATCTATCGGTCTTGTTAAATTGAAGCTGAAATCATTTTAAAAATCATCAAGTGTGTGTGTGCTCATGCGTGCATACGTGCGTGTGTCTTTAAGTCTGTGTCGTGACTCGTGAGCAGAAATGGATAGATGTGGGAGCGTTCTGAGATGCAGGAAAAGGTAAACTGATAAACTTAACCTATTATTTGTATAAGTATTAACTTTAAACTGATTAACATTTACAATGGTTAACTTTGGTTCAACTTTGCATTTCAGGGCCTGACATTAACGCTCGTTTGCTTGTCCGGGACAGGTAGTGTTGTTGTTTTTTTCTTCCTCTTCTTCTTTTTTGAAGGGGCAAGTGAAAGGCGATTTTGATCTCAGTCCCTGTGTGTGTGTGTGTGTGTGTGTGTGTGTGTGTGTGTGTGTGTGTGTGTGTGTGTGTGTGTGTGTGTGTGTGAGATAGGCTTTGTCATGCCCTCCCCTCTTCAGCTCGTTTACAGAATTGAATATCAAGTTTTTGACACATTTCTTTTACACATTTTCACATTTCAAAAGTATAACTTGAAACAACAATAATTTAAATTAAAGAAAGAAAGAAAAAAATTAAAAAATAAACAGCATCACACACATGTTAAACTCATTTAGCACTTAGCAGAGATACAGATCCATTTAAAAAAAAAAAAAAAACTTTGCAGACTCTAAATAGATATAAAGGCTGTTTTAAAATGAGCAAACCTGAGTGTTGAGTTACTCCATTTAGTCCCTTTTTTTAAATAAATAAACAAAACTAAACGTTCAGTAATTATACCAGATGTGGTCTTTTAATATTTCAGGATTGACTTCTAGTAACAGAATGTCCTATGCCTCATAAAGCATTATCTATGGTCTCAAGAAATATGCATATTCAGCAAATGATCCGCTGCGGGTTCACACTAACGAACTGTTATCACTAAAAACACCAGATCAGAGATGTTTGTTCTGAAAATCACTACGAACAGGAATCTGGGATCAAAATGAAACCAAATTAGGCTTCAATAAAGCTATTAACTTATAATTAGAAGCTTTGTTCACGTTGGTTATGCTCTGTTTAACTGGGAGCGTAATTGAATTTTGGACAGTCCTCAAAGTTGTCCATGTCAACTAATGAAAAGATCAAACACTTTCTCAAAGCTGTTTCTTTATGCTTTATGGTCACATTCCAGTTTACTCATGAAATACCAGTTGTGTTTTTAAGAACTTTGTGCTAAAATGTTCATAATAAATGCATGTTTTATGATAAATCTATGGGTTGTGGTGCATTTAATTGTTATGTGTGTGTGTGTGTGTGTGTAATAGTAAAAGTGTTTCCCACCTCTGGTTTACAGCAGGATCGGTCGTGTCTGTAAACACATATTCCCACTTGGTTTCCACTGCTGCGATGAAGAACTCCAGAGTCTTCGCCAGGACACCGGACGAGTTCAGACACACTGCGAGGAAGAGGAGGAACGACGGCACAGCCTTCATCACTGGAGCTCAAGTTAGACACACGCTGGCTGAATGTGATGCTGTCAAGACACATATAACAGAGAAGTGTTGAGGGAGGAGCTAAAGAGAGAGACGTTTATGAAAATCTTGATGAGTAATAATGAGGTTTTGAGTCATGAAGAGTGATGTAAGACGAGAAAGGATGATGGATTGCTGTGTTTGGGGTTTTATAAATTCCTATTTTTACCCCATGAAAAGCAGCAATATCACTACAGAATTTCTTACTTTCATTATCACTGGATTTACAGCCGAGGTTCTTCATTTTTCTTCGCCCAGGAACAACAACATTTAGTTTTTATCTGAAACACACTTTTAGAAAACCATACATCTGTGCTTTTTGGCTAAAAACAACTCCAACATTGGAAAATACTGATATTGTTAATGAAATATCTATTTTAAATCGAATTAAACCTTTACATAAACAACCGGAGATTGTGGCAAAATAATTCTTTGAAATATAGATGCAAGATTGGTCTTGTTTTAAAGAAGGCATTTGGCAGATTTTTGTAGAAGTGAAAAAAAATTAAGAATGTGAAACAGAAAAAAAACGTTATAGGGAATTAATGTTATATACGTAAAGTTTGAGGTTTTGAAAATGTACAATGTAAAAGTGTAATTATATTTTATATGAAGTATATTCTCTAAAACGAAAAGGAAAGCCAGAATTTTTTTTTTTTTAAATTATGAAATGAAATGTTTTTATTTAACTTGTTTTTTTTTTTGGATTTTAACTTATTATTTTATTATATCAATCAATATCCACCTCTCCGACTGTAAGTCTGTGTCGTGAGCAGAAATGGATAGATGTGGGAGCGTTCTGGGGCGCAGGGAAAGGTAAACTGATAAGCTTAACCTATATTTATTTATTTATTTATTTATTTGTAAAGTCTTGAAATTGATCAACATTTACAACGGTTTTGGTTCAACTTTGCATTTCAGCGCTCGACAATGACGCTTGTTTGCTTGTCCGGGACAGTGCTGTTTTTTTCTTATTATTGTTATTGAATTTTTTTATTTGATTTTCAAAATTACAAGTTCTTGACACATTTCTTTTACACATTTTCACATTTGGGCAACTTGAAACGGCAATAATTTAAATAAAAGAAAAAAAGAAACTTAAGGGGCAACACAAACATGTTAAACTCATTTGGCAGAGATACAGATGTTTTTGCTTTTCCATTTTTTAAAAACTTTACAGACTCAAGGCTGTCTTAAAAATGAGCAAACTTGTGTTTTGAAATTTTCCTAATAACAAAAACAGATAAACAGATCAAAGTTATATGAATTTGTGAAGTTAGACAGATGACACATTTAGGTTACAGTTCATTTTAACACAGAAATTGAGACAATCTCACACCAAAATATTGATGGCGTTCAAAAAATAAGTGCATTGACTCTCTTTCACAATTACAAAAAGAGCAATTAATCAATATCCAAACGCTCTACTCTGTCTTTCACAGGATCTACTCTGTGAGCAATTTTAAATGACACTTCTTTGTTTTTATTTGTTTCACGACCGTCTAGAAATCCCCCAAAATGTTCCCTATTCAAATGAGGGGATTAAATCATTAATTAAATCAAGTTTATCTAAAAACAAATCTTTTGGAGACTTTACTTCGTATACAGTGTTACACAGAATGCCCTGATTTCTAAATAGAGATGAGATTTGTGAAAAATAGTTTATAAGCAATTCTCTTTCTGACTAAATGTTGAAGAACTACTTCTCCTCCCGTTCTGAAAGAAGCTTCGTTGGGTTTTGTTTTTATTTAGTTTAATTGTTAAATAATTTCTTGTTAGTTTTCACATGTCATACAACACATTCTGTGATACTGTCATCTTTTGATCTTGAGCTAATTGGTGTCAGACCGACCTAAACCGTGGCACGCGCATCACCTGAGGAGCGCGGAGAGATATTACTTCTCGAGTGCGGACCGCGTCACACTAACCAAATCGCGGAATGATATTATGGACCTTTTTCACAGACTTGGGATAACGCGTTTTTAACCTATGGTTTTAACGACGGTCATCATCAGCACAAATATAATCACGCGTCGTTTTTTTATGATTTAATTTAAAAACAATGTTTTTGTACATGTATACCACTATAGCTTTGTACCTTTGCATCAAATTACAAGAAAACTAGTAAACGCTGCTGTGAATGTGTTTCTAATACATACAGCGGGTGACGGTAAAATTGACAAATTCCCCTCTTCTGACTTACGTTATCAATCTCTCTCTATTTTTAACACCTTTTCCCAAACAGGGACCATCTGTAAGGGAGGTTATGGCGCCCCCCAGTGGACATTTCAGTAACGGTACCTGAACGGTACGGGAGCGAGCACAGATACAGAAACGTGAATGTCACCTTTTTAACCCGTAGGGGTTACGGCGTCCCCTAGTGGACATTTCAGGAACGGGACGGCACAGATACAGAAACGCGACTGTTACTCACATTTTTAACCAGTAGATAGAACAGAATTGATTTTGTAATAAACCGAGTTCATGTTATTTTTGAAATCTCTAGCTCCACGTTTTCAGGGAGCTCGCGCCAGCTGTGACGAGGTGGCCGAGTGGTTAAGGCGATGGACTGCTAATCCATTGTGCTCTGCACGCGTGGGTTCGAATCCCATCCTCGTCGGATCGCAATTTTTAATCTTGAAAAACATAGGCCTGGTTTCACAGAAATAGGTTTAGATTCAGCCAAGATTAGGCCATACTTAAATTCAGGACTTTTAAGTAGCTTTTATTTAAAAAAAAAACAAACTGGTGTGCATCTGGAGACAAAACAATGGCAGGGACACGGTGCATGTTGCTTTTTTAGTAAAAAATTTAAACGCAAACATGCATTTTAGTCTGGGACTATTTCTGTGAAACCAGGGGTTTGTCATGACAGTAAATTGGGGAAATCCACCTACAAACTTCTGCATATTAAAGCAAGAAAAGGATTCAACATATCACCATACTTTCCCAGTTGATTAATCACAGTACACCAAGACAATTATTTTGTATTGGTTTGTTTTAAATATGCAAATGAGGCATTCTACAATTAAATATGCACTACTTTGTATAATACATTTCTTAAACAGAAAGCTGGGAACTATTAAGAGGTTTTACTGAAGGGATTTTGGATATTTCTTTTATATCACTCCATAGATCAGAAAATATATATATATATATATACAAACCCTACAGTAATAATGGACAGAAGTGGACATTTCTGGCTCAATGCACAAGGGAAAAAGCCTTATAATTGAAATCTACAGATGCAAAAATGCAAATATAAACATATAAAATGTAATAAAATAAAGTTTAATGTTGTTTTTCAGATGATTTATTCCATTAGGCTGACATGTTATAGAAGCAAAATAATTTATCAGTGCATGAAAAAAAAGTTTTTGCCTTAAAACTCTGAGGTTTATGGATTTTACTCCATGTCTATTAAGGTTGAGGTCATTCATACTCTAGTGAACTAATAAGTTATGCAATTAACATTTAGTAGATATACTGTACACATTTGAAAAATTACCTTATCTTCGGGGTAAAAAAGGAAGTGTTGATACACATTTATCTCTTAAAAAACCCTTTGATATGTCCAAGCTAATCTTTAAATAGTAAATACGGCTACATTATGTACATCTGCAGTTCATGTCAGTGTGAAGAATCAGGTGAGACCAATATAAATAAAATCATCGGTGTATTTTGAACCACACACAAAAAAAAGACAAATACATTTTTTCCCTTAACGGTCACAAATATTAACAGAAATTGACATTTATAGAATTCACTGGCTCATCCTAAACAATTGTACTTATTACTTTTTAAATGTACCTTAAAAAAAAAAAAAAAGACTAGTCACATGACCCAAAAATGAGAATAAAACAGCATGATTCATTTTTTTTTTCATGGCTCTCATGATTTGATTTTTAAAAACACGTTTAAAAGAATAGAAAAGGCATAAAATTATTTTTCATCACAAAGTCCAGTTATGAAAAATAGAAAAATAAAACAACAACAAAATCAGAATACTAAATATTTCTCCATAAAAATATAAAACATACAAACACTGACTTGCATACATATGAACACACATGATCCTCACAGTCGGGACGGAGCATGCATTGAGACCCGGTCACTATTCAGAAGTTTGTCCTCAATGTACGAGACATCAGTTCTCATTCTCATTATGTGCTGTTGAGTCCATGAGCGCTTTCTCTTTCTTCTTTTTCTGGACAATAAAAGAGGAGTAAAAGTCATTTACTCACAGAACTCAATCAATTAAGAGAGATTTATTTCAGAATGTCAATTAAGCATAATTAACCCTGTAAAGCCTGACATACTAAACAATAGCAAATACTTCAGATATACAGTATATTAGTCAGATTTTTTTTTTAATGGAACAACTTTGGAACTTTTAGACAAAATCTAAACAAAAGTGTGCATGTGCATTTTTTATTTAGTTTCATATTTGATACATCAGGCTTTTATGTCTCATGTGATACAGTGAGAATAATAATAATATATTTTATTTGTAACGCACTTTACATCAATTTAATGACCTGAAAGTGCTACACATAAAAACAGGAACATTTAAAAAAAAAAAAAGATAAAATAAATAAAATAACAGCACTGTTAGCCATAAAAGGCTTTTCTAAAAAGATGGGTTTTAAGGCCTTTGAGAATATAGAGCTCAGTCGAGTTTATTGAGACGCACAAACTGAGTTTACCGATAGTTCACAAGAAAACTGCTCGTTAGTCCCACAATCCTTCTGAATACGCAATTTATGAAACCAACCATCAATTTTACCTTTTTTTGCACGACCAGCTCCTCGGCTGGATCAGATACAGGGACGATTCCCTCCGTTTCGTCTCCTTTCTTCTTCTCTGTACATCATTTCAGCGTGAGAGGGAACATTGAAGAAAGAATTGAAGGATGCCATAAAAAAAATGATGTTAACACATGCATATGTAAGGGTTAATGCCCTTCGAGATGTCCATTGTCAGGTATTAAGCGAGTTGGACGGTTTCCTCCGCCGTTAATACCTGACAATGGACACCTCGAAGGGCATTAACCCACTTATACCATGGTCACTTGCCAAATAACACATTTTTAAAACATTAGTTTATATTTTACTTAGTTTTCCAATCAAAATCTACAGTTATAACAAACAATAACTTGGTTTCCCTGGTTACGCCTGACGCTTTATTTAGCAACCGGAGATCCGCTCAGCTCAGTTTAGCTAACTTACGAGCCAGAAAGTTAACGTATTTTATGTCAAATTCTCCAAAAAGGTTAAAAGAAATAACGAATTCGCTCGTTGTCTTAGTAGGCGTAGTATAACCGCTAACTAGATGTTTGTTTTGATGCAATAAATTGTAAACGGATACTTTGACTGCCTGTTGCTATGGTTACCCACAGCTGATGTAGCCAGCGCATTCGAAATTATTTATTAATTTCGAACGGTAAACAGTCAGTTTCACCAGGGCTGCGTCCGAAATCGCGTACTTCCATACTATATAGTATGCGAAAAACAGTACGCGAGCAAGAGTAGTATGTCCGAAATCGTAGAATTCGAAAAACAGTAGGCGAAACGTACCCGCATGACCTACGACTTCCGGCGAGATTCTGAAGTGCGCATACGATGGTATACTATCCCATGATGCCATGGGAGAGGAGTGGTTGTCGTTATATTCAGACTGATCTCATGAAGTAGCGTGTGTATGACACGCCAATTCGTATTTCCATTTTTGGATAATCGCTTTTCAGCGTGTTTATGAACGCCGTTGACTTAAAGTTATTACTGTATATACAAATATACGACTTACCTCAACCCCATCCCTAAACCTAACCGTCACTGGGGTTAATGGCATTTATGACTGTTCCCTTACCATCCTAGGAAAAAAAGAGACTACATCCGCTCCCCAGATGTAGAGCTACATTTTGCTTCGTGTCGCGCGGACATCTGACGACGTGTACAGACACGCGGAATCACTCGGACGTTAATGGCGTAGACATACACCCATACACACGGATAGCTCAAAATGTGTCGAGATAACACGCCACTTGACTCGAAAGTGGCGTGTATGTTTACGCAAAAGTCATGATGTCATGTTGCTATATTTGAAAAATGGCGGAAACCGGAGACGCGGCTGTTTTCAAGGACTTTAGAAAACACTTTTTTTTCTTTGTGGTTAAATTGTATTTCTTTACATCAAATAAGTAAACGACTGACTTGTTAAAAGTTTAAATAATGCGAGCAGCTGACCGACGCCGCGAGCCCGAACGACATGAAAACAAAAAAGCAGAACTAAAAACATAGCTAGAAAACTAAAATTTTCGCGCTGTTTTGAGCATGTCACGTGACAATTACAACATGGCGCATGTAGTACGTCCGGACTCATTCATACTATATTGAACGTACCGGTTGCGAAGTACGTTCTTATTTAAATGTAGTACCTACTCACATAGTACGCGATTTCGGACGCACCCTGCAGCCAATCAGAATCGAGTATTCACCCAGATCATGGTATCATTTTAATTACTCACTCTTTTTCTTTTGGCTCAATGCAGCTTCTTCTTCTTCTTCTTCTGGTGGAGGAGGTTGGGGAGCATCTGCATTGTCACCCTTCTTGTTTTTGCTCTCCACTTTGGCCTCTGGCGCGGCAGGAACGTCACAAGCTTCCTCCATTTTGGGTTTTTTCTTTTTCTTTTTTTTAGACTCGGTGTTTAGCCCTTGACCGGAGGTTTCCTCATTTTCCAAACCATCGGCAACATCGTTTTGAGATTGACGACTTTTCACAGGCGTTTCTGCAGGAACGTCAGGCTGGATCTCCACGCCGTCGGCAGCCATCTTGCTTTTCTTTTTTTTCAAAGAGCGGTTCGCCGAGTCGAGCTGAAGGAGGTCAGCGTCTGACGGGACTGTTTTGGGCTTTTTATTGCTAGTTTCCACCTCACCAGGTTCTTTCACGGCTTTAGCCTTTTTAGCTGGCTTTTCAGACTCAATTGTTTCTGAAAGACTTTCACTAGCCTTATGTTTGGATTTTTTAGATGGCGTTTCAGACTCAAGAGTTTCTGAAAGACTTTCACTAGCCTTACATTTGGCTTTTTTAGATGCTGTTTCAGGCTCAGTTGTTTCTGAAAGACTTTCACTGGCCTTATGTTTGGATTTTTTAGATGGTGTTTCAGACTCAAGAGTTTCTGAAATGCTTTCACTAGCCTTACATTTGGCTTTTTTAGATGCCGTTTCAGGCTCAGTTGTTTCTGAAAGACTTTCACTTGTCTTACGTTTGGCCTTTTTAGATGCCGTTTCAGACTCAATTGTTTCTGAAATGCTTTCACTTGTCTTACGTTTGGCCTTTTTAGCAGGCTTTTCAGACTCAATTGTTTCTGAAAGGCTTTCACTAGCCTTATGTTTGGCTTTTTTAGATGCCGTTTCAGGCTCAGTTGTTTCTGAAAGGCTTTCACTGGACTTATGTTTGGCTTTTTTAGATGAAGAGTCAGGGTTAACGGATTCAGATGTTGTTTCTTGGTCAATCTCAGAAGGAACTTCAGTTTTCTTGGCTTTACCCTTCTTAGTAGGCGTTTCATTAGGAACGGGCTCCGCAACACTTTTAGACTTCTTATTTTTCACTTTCTTTGAAGGCGTCTCTGATTGGTCCGTCGTAAGGTTGGTTTCTTCACAGTGAGTTTCCACAGCAGCTTTCTTACCTTCTTGAGTGTTTGAGGGACTGTTGTCAGTTTCAACATCACTGGCTTCAGAAAGGCCTTTCTTTTTTTTAGCCTTTTTAGATGGAGTGCTGGTTTCTGAGGTACCGTTTTGCTTAACCTGATGTGAAAAACTCTTAAGTGGCTCAAAATGTGGTTCAAAATGAACTCTTTTAGGGGTCATAATGGCTTCTGAATCTAATACACCGACCTCTTTAGTTACTTTCAAAAGTCTGTTTGTTTCATGATGTTTTTCCGCTTTCTCCGTCTCATCCTGATCACATGAGTTGTTGGTAGTTTTATCTTTAGTTCTTTTTGGGGTCTCAACCACATCAAGACCTGAGATGCTACTATTTTTCTTATTTCCAGTCTTTTTCTTGACTTTAGGAACTTCATCTTTCGTCTTTTCTGAAGTTTTAGATGCATCGGTTGTTACAGAAACGTCATCGGATTTGGCCGTCGCTTCGGACTTTCCCTCCTTGGATTGGTTTACCACTTTCTTTTTTGTTCTCGGCTTCCTTTTCGCCCTGGTCCTTTCTGGGGTCTTCCCAAAAGATTCGTCCAAAATCGAAAGAACGTCCATTTTCTCTCTGTCGACGTCTGGTAACAAAAGACAAACTTTTATGGTCATATTTCTGCTTGAATCTCATCACATTGCACCCTTACATTGAAAATGAATGGGAAATACACTGCCCAGGCAGAAGAAAAGAAAGAAAGTTGCTGTTTTGGATTTAAATAGACAAATGCTAGGTCTATGATTGGAATATTATGTTTGCAGTGTCACAAGCCCCAACAAAGGAGACGACACGTTGGATAATGATCAAAAAGGAATAACATTTCTAAGAGCATAAAATAGGAAAAAGATGAAATGAAAAGAAAACAAACAAATGAAAATAACCTATTGTATCCGTTGACGTTTTTATTATTTTTCCGTTTATTCTTCTTCCGTTTCGACTCTGGACGTCTATAGCAACCGCTTGCGGGAAACTTGTGAAATTTTAAGACGAAACAATTAACATCTTGACGTTGGGGTTTTGTGAGCTTCCTCCATCTCCAGGACAATACGATATAAACTGAAGCATTTCTATTGTGCATTTTTAGTTTTTTCTCACCTGAGAATTGAGAAAGCAGTCTCCTCCACTTATCCACGTCTAAACTGGAGTCCGAGTCCGAGTCGTTTTCGGCGGCCGGTGGAGGAACCACGGCATCTTCTGAGCTGGAGTTGTTTATTTTCCTCGGTTTACTCCCAGTTTCATTTTTCTTCTGTTTCTGTGGAATCAATGATGTATATTTCAGCAGACTTTTGTTGGTATGAATAAAACATTTTCGGTCATCTTTAAATCAAATACCGTCGATTTGCCCGCTGTTCCTGCAGTTGTATTGTTGCCGACAGGTTTTTTTGTATTAAGTCCTGTACACACACACAGAAACAAACTATAGTTCAATTCAATGTGCATTTATTTATATAGCGCTTTTCACAATACACTTCGTTTCAAAGCAGATTTACAGAAAATTATGAGTCCATATCACAATTTACAATGATCTGTTATCGGAGAAAGCTGGAATATTATGTATTTCGGTAATGTACATATACAAAATCACAGTTAGCTAAGAAAAATTATAAATTTAAACAATGTAATAATTTAATGCAGAAACAACAAGCTCACAGTTGAAACTCGAAAAATTATATATGGTGCAAAATATTTATATTTAAATATATATTATATAATATTAAATATTATTAATATTTAAAATAATATTTATATTTAAAATTTATTGCATAATATATTTATTTCAGTAATTCAACTTAAAAGTTGAAACTAATATATTATATAGACTCATTACATGCAAAGTGAGATATTTCAAGCCTATTTGTTATCATTTTGATGTTTATGGGAAAACCTTTTCACAATATTCTAATTTTGAATTTGGGTTTTCAAAAGCTGTAATCCATAATCATCAAAATTATAACAAATAAAGGCTTGAAATATCTCACTTTGCATGTAATGAGTCTATATAATATATTAGTTTCACTTTTTAAGTAGAATTACTGAAAATAAATGAACTTTTGCACCATATTATAATTTTTTCGAGTTTCACCTGTACTTGTTTGTTAACAAATGATTATGACATTTAGAAAAATGTAGGCTGGGTGATGGTTACATGGTGGCTAAGACTGTCAGATTTGTGGCTTATGTTGACAGCCCTCAGATAAAAGCAGCAACTTCTGCACAAACACACATTACACAATATGAGGATGATATTAAAGGGATAGTTCACTTTGAAATTAATTTTTGGTATGTTTTAGCTTACCTCAAGAGCATCCAAGATGTAGCCGTCTTTTTTACTGTTCGTTTTCTCACACAAACCCCTCGTCTCGTGTCTTAGGCCATCAATGTGTACTTACATTTACGAGTCATTAAATCATGTTTAATTTGGACTTCTCTGTGCATGCTTTTTAAGGTGGTGACCATAGACCTCCATTATATGACTGACAGACAAGAACGGTTCGACCTAAAAATATCAAAATTGAAAATACTGTGGAAACAAAGACACCTACATCTTGGATGCCCTTGAGGTAAGATAAAACACACCAAAATTAATTTCAAAGTGAACTATCCCTTTAAAAGCGACGATTCCTTTACCAGCAGAGGGCGCTGTGACCTTAGAAGAACCCTTCGGTGCTTTAGCTGGACTCTGGAGCTCAGGAGTTTGGACACCTGCGGATACGAGGAGTTTCTGTGAGTTACTCAATATTACTGAGCCCTTAATGTGGGTGTTGAATTATCAGTGCTTATGCTAATATCCAGAGGGCAGGACAGTCAGAAGAAATCAGTAAATGGTGGTAAACATGTTTGATTTCTATTAAAATGGGCTGTCGAACATTCAAGTACGATCTTTCAATCAATATTTTACACATGATATTACATTTTCACAGTATTATTTGGGTCTATACAAGAAAATAAAATGTATAGCTGCATTTTTTTTTTATTTTTTAGGTCTTGTATAGACCCAAATAATACTATGAAAATTTAATATCATGTGTAGTACTGTAGGATGTATTTTTATTTAGAATTGTATTTCGATTTGATTTACTTTATTAATCCCCCAGGGGAAAATGTATATGTCATAGCAGCACAAAAATACAAATTTATAATTTATAATATATAATAATAAACAACAACATACACAACAGCAACAAGTCTTATTCTCAAATATCAATTTTTCAAAGCATTATGATTATATTCGACCATCATCTGCATATATTATATTATATAACACTAATTATAAAATCTAATTGCACATGTGATTTTTTTAATCAATGATTTTAATCAACTCTATTTATTTAAGTTTAGTAGTTACCTTATGTTTTTAATTTATTTTTTTACATTTTCACATTACTTTTTTTAATTAAATAAAGTTAAGTGTTAATTGAATCAAATACAGTAAGTTATTTTAACATGACGTGTTGATTTAATTTTTTTAATCAAATTTATTTGTGTACAGTAGTTTAATCATCTTTATTGATTAATTTATACATTTTTACACTCCCTTGTTGAACATCCCTGATGCACAATACACAATGGTTCCCTATGAACCTTCTGGCAAACACACACTAAGTTAGATAGTGAAGCGGATGTACATACCAGAAGGCACCGGCGGAGTATCTCCATCATCTGAGCTGAATGCATCATGTTAGGAGAAAATGATACATTAGTTGAAGTGCTTTTCAATATAAGTTAACCCATAATATGAAACACACATGCACTGTTACCTTGCCCACTTCTGAAAGATCTCACTCAATGACACGTTCACTTCTTCAGTTTCAACCTGCAACTGACAGACACATTCAAGAATTCATATTTCTATGCATATCACACTTCTGAGCTCTACAGATCATTGTGAATCGATGCATGAACAAACATCTTATTTGGTGCTTCTATCTGTAGGCTACTGTAATAATACAGTATAACACAGGACAAAGTGCACTGGCACTACATGCTTATTTTCTACCACCCAGGTCATATGTAACGTTAATGCACACATGCATGAAGCCCTGTCTGTGTTGTAGAAATAAAGCTTTAACCATTCAATTGCATGCATTACGGTGTGTGTTGATAGGCAGTGATTTCAGTGTGGCTGTGAACTGATAAAATACACTGGAGTTGGTGAATGCATTAGATTTAGTTCGACTTATGCACCAGCTTTATTTGACATCTGATGAAAATGCATGCATGCAAAAACAAACAAACACACAGTCTCTTGATTTACGAACATGCACTCTTACTGACAGACACACACACACACACACGCATAAACATTTCTGCACCTTGGGCGCGTGCTTTTTCAACACGTGTGCTGCTTTCTGGTAGCCGTTGTCCTTTAAATGGTGATATATTAAATTGATCAGCTCGTCTTGCGTTGCGTCTGTAATATTTGAGGTCATGTTTGTGATGGCGGTAAATTAAAAAAAACGGACGCTCGTGATACTTATGAAAAACTTTGCTGCATGTTTCTATTTCCGGTACGCTAGCGCAGCCTCCAAGCGCATTCCTTCACTCTGACCCCTGAACTCTCGCAATGCGCGCACTGCATCGTGGGAAATGTAGTTTTTTAAAAGTGTGTCGGAAAGATCGTATATTACGAGTTGAACGAACGAAACATGTTGCAAGACACTCCTTTAAAATCTTGCCATGATTTTTTACGTTATTATTTTAATGTTTATGTAAATAAAAGTGCATATTGATCCTAATTTGATTTGTTATTTGCTGGTTTTCGACATATAACTTGGTGAATTGATTTCATTCTGTAGTATTAGTAGCCTACTTTTTAAACAGGATTCTGTGATAACGTGATCATTTTTTCATCTCTAGTTATGATCAACTTTGATGAACTATATAAGTATCTGTTTTTTTTTTTTTTTTACAATGTAATATGCCAAGTAGCAGCCTACAATTTTCTATAACAAATGTAATTTCTGATTCTGTTCTTGACTCTGTCATTTAAGGGTGACATAACTATAATTTTACTTTATATTACATAATCTATGAGTGATGAAGATGTACTATAGCAGATGTTTTGATCTGAGAGACATCATGACCAACGCATGACTGGTTTTGTGTTACCTGAGCAGTTCAGTGAGGTCGCAGAGTCAGCGCGAGGGAAAAACTGCTCTGTGAAAGTGTAAAACCACAAACACAATCAAGACCAATCAGATCCAGACATCCAAACCCGCCAGTGTGGTGAAATGAATGTGAGCAGGTGTGTTTGGATTAGGGTTTGAGCTGTGGAGTGTGTGTGTGTCAATATATTTATTTTAGGGCGATCCAGCCCACTCGTGTTTACGTGATAAACCTAAGAAAAGCAGCAGTTTTCAAGTTTCATGACTCTGATGAACCTGACAGTAACTTTTGGCTCGGTTTGCGCGTGTAATGAAGGAGAAAGTCTTCACTGGTGAGGGTGATGATGGTGAAGCTGACGGGGTGTATCGAGTAATAGTGTTCACAGAGCTCCATTCATGAGGATCTGAGGGAGAAACACGAGATTTTGTATGCCAGGGGTTCAGGGTTTGGCTGGTTATAGCGTCTGCGTTATTACATGCTGTAACTACCATTTATGTGGGCAAACATTTCTCTATTGATGGCAATTCATCAGTCATTGGCCTATATATTCTGGCCAAGGTGGACTAATAGATTTTGAGCCGTGAAAGTCACCATGAAACAGAAGCTGCAGTTGACCTATGGCCAAGCCACGCCCTCAAACGCGATGAGCCAATCACAGTGCACAGTGAGCTAACCCACTCGGACATTCTCTGCTTCCACGTCCATTGAAATGCATTGCAGTTAGTCAGTTTTCATTCATTTTTTCTTGTCATATTAAATTTAAAATGGTCAAACGGTGTGTATGGGGTACAACTCCGACATATAGGTTCCCGAGGCTGGGCGACGGTGTGTATTTTTTACCCTTTCCTATTAAAGCCACATCTCAACCGAGATAAGCGTCTGCTCTGGATTAAGTTAACACCAACTAAACGTGGATAAATTAAACAAGGATGTCTACATCTGTTCTAAGTTAAGTAAACAACGTACAGTGTTTGAACGTTATCTTTAAAATCTCTAACGTAACGTTAGCATAACATTAGAAAACGTCAACGTTAGCTTCTAGCTGCGTTGTACATCATGTCACTTAGCTTCATTAACGGATCTGTAAATAACCGCGATAACAAATGTTAACAATGTTTTGCTGAATGATTCATATAAATACTGCAGCAGCAAACGCTGATGGCAATGATATGCGGGTTATGACGTTTACACTGTGACCTGTACATCTCTGCCTGGAGCTGAAGCTTTTCATCGACCTTCTCAACAATAAAATGATTAATATAACCCTCCAATGCATAGTTAAGGCCCTTTAGGTGACTTCGAGATGATATATATAATCTTTCTGCCCCTAAAAATCACCAATTGCCTCCTTTGACATGTCTCTTACATCGCGCCCGTCCCCGAATGTTGTTGACTGTGTGTCCGACTCCGTCCGACCGTCCCAGTGTGTGGAGGGGGCGCGGCTTAGCCATAGGTATATTATGGTTTGCTATTGGTGGATCTCATGTGAGTGACAGGTTAAAGCTCCGCCTACATTATCAGAGAAGAGGAGAGAAGTTGTTCCGATTCACGATGAATTTAAAACAATAATAAATGCGCATGGATTAATCATTTATTTAAAAAAAAAATACAGCATAAATAAAACATTTAATTGTCAATTTTGATTCTCTGGTGATATAATTATCAATTTCATGATTTTAAGTCCCCTCCAAAAGTAAATGCTAGCAAAATGTTTTGCGTTTGGAACAATGTCGTTTTAAATGGCTGTCAATGAAGAATCAAGCTTTTTACTGTAAGTCCAAATGAATTTCCTTCAAAGGAATAAATTACATTTTAGATAATTTATTACTGTATTTCCAATGGAAATCAGTTATTTCAAATTGTAATGATGTAAAGTTTTTACTGCATTTTGGATCAAATAAATGCAGCATTGGTGACTTCTTTTCAAAAACATGAAAAATAATCTTATGTGTGATGTGTAATTTACTAAACACATATTCTTTTGTATCCCAAATCTAACATGTATTATTTCTTTAATGGTCAGAGAGAAAGATGAAAGGGAATAATTAGAAGAGAGTCTGAGCACATGTTGAATTTGGCGTTGTGTGTGTGTGTGTGTGTGTGTGTGTGAGAGAGAGAGAGTTATTAAAAACCCTTCCCCTCACACCAACACTAACTCTATTTAATCATCTCCACCACTTCCAGTAAACCGACACACTTCCAGCTTTCAAAGGATCTCCGGTTTGCATTTGAGGGCTTTTTTTAATTTTACAATTTGTAAATGATTATTGAACAATTTCTGAATCTTTTAGTCCATATTCTTTTCTAGAGAGTGTGTGTGGATCTACAGAACGTCATCCAGTCCTGAAAGTGTTTTTGTGCACAAATGACCGATGTCTGTTTTCATATAGAAGGTAAACACTGAGTGTGTGGAAGTGCTTATAGATGGAGAGAAAAGTGGGGCTGTTTTCAGGGGCGTTTGCTTGTCAGAGCTGCTCAGACCATGAACTGTTCATTCGGGGAATGTGTGTTCGTTTTATATCCTGGGGAAACTCAATCTTGTTTTTGGATGTAACCTGAGCAAACGTTTACACACACACACACACACACACCAAGAATTTTACTCTTACAGACAGTGAACATCATTGCAGTAATGTAGGAGAGACTATTAATCTGCATAACACAATGCTTTATAAAAGTCACTGTTTATACCCACACACACACTCACACAGAGACACAGACACACACACAAAAATAAATCAGAAAACAGCACTAAACATGCTAAACCTCAAGGATCTGTGCTGCCACATGTAATTTAACAAAAGAAAGGTGGTCATGCATTGAAATAGCACATCAATCAAAACATGCATTCATTCTGTGACCAAAGGAATGTGGAAGAGGTGCTATTTATTTATAATCTCTCTCTTATAAATAAATATTAGACATCATATTTAGTAGATTTATATGCAGTTGTTCTATTAACAGACTAATGTAAAAGCGCTTGCGTTTATTCTGAAGTGTCAACAGTGAAGCTGCAGGAATGTGGAGGTTTGAGCTAAAACTGACATCAGAGATGATGGTGGCTTTGCTGTTGTTGTTTTCTGTGGAAAGTAATGTGTACACACTCGTGTTTTATGGACAGATATTTCAGGTAAGGGAGAAAACTTTGGATAGGACGCCTCTGTCCCACTTGGCACAGCACAGGAGTTTAGTTTTCAACCAGTTCAACTCAGTGACATTTTATTTGTTAGGAAATGTATTTTCTATTTACTTTTATTTATTTAATTGTAATAAATTGTCTGCTTGTGTTGTGTGGAACACCGCTTGTTGTGCTCAGTTCCCATTACAGTTTTCTGTTTTTTTTTTTTTACTAATAGTTTTTTAAAGCCAAATATCTGAGCTGATAAATGCCACTGACCGCTTTATAATGCGAAATGGCTTTAGATGAAATATCTAATATTTGTTACATCCCTGTCTTGTTTAATCCCGGAGTCTAAGGATTCTTTTTTTGAAGTGTGTTCTTTATTCCACTTAATTATGTCTCAAGTGCAAGTTCTTATTAAAGTTACCATATGTAAAAAAAAAGATGTGTTCAATTTACGGTAAAATACCGCCAGAACTTTAGGGCATAGCAAGTACGGTAGCAAGTTTTTACGGTAACAAGGTTTTACAGACTCAACTTAAATTTACAGAAATAAACCGTATTTCATTATCTGATATAATGTTAAATGATCAATTAATTATTAATGTCTGTTTTAAACCATTGTAATACACTGACATCCAACAATCACAGCAGTGATGAGTCACATGATATATGAAAGCTCACAATGCTATACACTGTAAAAAAATATTGATGGTTTAACTTAAAATTTTAAGTTCATTGAACTGGAAAAAGTGAGTTAATACAATGAATGAGAATGATTTAATCATCAGGAACTCAAAATTATATGTTATCTGAACTAAATAAATTATTTAAGTTGATTTGACAAAAGAAAAAATGTTGTGATTACTACACTGTAAAAAAAATATTGTTGGTTTAACTTTAAAAAGTAAGTAACCTGGGTTGCCTTAAAATTTTAAGTTGATTGAACTGGAAAAAGTGAGTTAATACAATGAATCAGAAACTCAAAATAATAAGTTATCTCAACTAAATAAATTCTTATAAAGTTGATTTGACAAAAGAAAATATGTTGTGATAACAAATCTTGAAAATATTTTTTACAGTGTAGAAGCTGCACAGTGTCATTCACTCAAACATTAAACACCATCATGGTAACACACATGAAATTTCAAAAAGGCAATAAACATTAATTTAACAACATTAAATGTCACATAAAACCCTAATGAAGATAACTGATTAGAAAAAGACTAAGCAAACTATGAAGAGACAAGTTATTTCAACAAAAATATACACCATGCGAAGCGTCATGCAGGAATTGTGGGAATGTCAATTTACGTGTTTTCACTGTAAATACAATGAATTGTTCATTTTCCCTTTAAAAACTGTAAATTTAACGGTATTATACAGTAAAATTACATGAAATTTACCATTAGATCTATCACAGTTATTTAGTGTAACCAATTAAGAGTTTTACACATGTAGCATTTTTACAGTCTTTTACCTTTAAAATCATTATCAATTTTACAGTACACTGTAAAAAATATCCGTGATTTTAACAGTAAAAGACTGTAAAAATGCTACAGTGCAAAACTGTTAATTGGTTAACAGAAAGTTTCCGTACTTTATACGGTAAATAACTGTAATTTTACAGTAAAATACCGTTAAATTTACAGTTTTTGAAAGTGAAAAAGAACAAATCGTTGTATAATTTACAGTGAAAAAACGTAAATTGACATTCCCACAATTCCCTGTGTGACACTTCACATTTGATGTATTTTTGTTGAAATAAGTTCCTTATAGTTTTATTGTTTTTTTCTAATCAGTTATGTACATTAGGGTTTTATGTTACATTTAATGTTGTTAAATTAATGTTTATTGCATTTAATTTCATGTGTGTTACCATGATGGTGTTTAATGTTTGTGAATGACACTGTGCAGCTTCTTTATATAAGTATTACTTAAATAAGTAATCACTTAGGATGAGATGTGGTTGCTCAAGTAACTCTCATAACTTCTGTGATGATTGATGGTTGTCAGTGTATTACAATGGTCTAAAACAGACATCAATAAGTTGGTAAATCAACATTTTATCAGAAAATAAAAGATGGTTTATTACTGTAAATTTTAAGTTAAGTCTGTTAAACCATTAACGTTCCCACCGTATTTTTAACGGTAAAGTTCTGGCAACCACAGCTGCCGGTTTTTTACCGTAAAATTTATGTTTTATTTTTTACAGTGTAGTATTTTTTTTTACAGTGCTTTTTTTAATTCATATTCCTGATAATGTTGAATCAGAATAACTTCTTGCTCGCAGCAGCAATAACTAACAGCAGCAGAAATAACCAACAACAACAACAGGAGCAATAATATCATCAGCAATAATATCAGCAATAATAATATGCCATTTCCATTATATGCAAAATATTTAGAAAGTTGTCATGAACATCTTTTTAACATTTATTTTAAAATGAAATGTTGACTTCATTGCACAATGTGTTGACAGATGTGTATTCTAAGCGAGCTTCAGTTTGTCTTTAAGATCTTATCATCAGCTGAGGGTGTGTGTGGCTTCAGGTGACTCCAGTGAGCTCCAGCTCATATATAATAACAACGCTCAACGTCCCAATAAAAGAGCTCTTGTGTGCACAAACACTGTCTCTGTTCAAGCACGGCTTGTACCCCTGGTCCCCCCTAAATACTTCCACGGCATGTTTTAATAGCAGGGGTCCGGAGGGGCCGCAGCTTGTGTTTGGAGATTAATAAAAACATTGACCAAATGTATAAAAAACATCATGTTCAGATCTAAAGACTTGTCTTCCATTTATCGAGCTAATAAACAGGTTGTAGAAATGACTACATCTCTTGTATGAAATATGCCAAGCAGGTCATGATATGTCCATGATGATAAAAGGTCATATGGAGAGTTATGTACATAACTCCAAACCAGATATTTGGTTAATGCATTTATTTTAGTTGAAATGGTGAGACATCATACACAGAGAGAAGTCATCTCTCCTGGATATGTGCAACATTGTTTTTGTGTGCATAATGAAGTACTTTAGAGGGCATCGATAATTGGAGCATCAGACATTTGGTGCTTTATATTGTGCCAGTGCCATATGTGTAACATTTCTGGGCATGTACAGTAAAAATACTGTATTATTTAGTTTATTGAACACATATAAAATCAAATACATGGTTACAATAATATAATATATAACAAAAAAAAAATTAATAAAACTAAAAAGCCAGTTTTATTTAAAATACTTTTTATTTAATTTATTTAATATATTTGTATTTATTTAAAATAAAAAGCCAGTAAAATACAGAGACAAAAAAAACATTGAGCCAGGGTCAACATATTTAAAATAAAATAAATTAAAGAGAGAGAGAGAGAGAGAGAGAGAGAGAGAGAGATAATATGGAAATGTTTTTTTTCTATTGTTATTTATTTTATTTAATTTTTTCACTTTTATTTATCTACATACAGTATATCTATATATGTTTGTGTATTACTATTGCTTTGGCAATATTGTGCTATTTTACACAGTCATGCCAATTGAATTGAATTGAGAGAAATAGGCATCAAGTCCCTTTTTTCATTATAAAAAAGCTTTTAAATATTACTTTGTGTGCAACGTAAAGAACTTTACAGCTTTGACAATGCTGGAAGAAGAGATAGTAAACAAATAACCTGTCAGGTCTTTGCGAAAAATAATAAAAAAAGACTATAGCCTCAGTTTATTTACGACTTTGAAAAACCATTGCAGCGAAGGCGCGTGCACCAGTGTGTGTGTGTTAGTGTGGGGAGGGGGGTGTCTAGTTAGGGACGTAAGGAAGCTCACTACTAGAGTTTGAGACACAGCCAGACCCCTCACCGCGCGCACACCTCACGCTGCCTCCTCACACACACTTTGCGCTGCAGTTCAGTGGATCGTTCATGATTTCTCCTCGTGCCATCATGACAGAGTCGGCTCTATCAGTGCTCTCCGTGATGAGTTTGCTCAGTCTGGGTCATCTCTCCGAGTCCCACGAGTGGACGAGCCCGAACCAGGTCGAGCAACCGAACCATCCGCGCCCGCACATCATCTTCATCATGACGGACGACCAGGGCTTCAACGACATCGGCTACCACAACAGAGACATACACACTCCCACACTGGACAAGCTGGCAGCGGAGGGAGTGAAGCTGGAGAACTACTACATCCAGCCAATCTGCACACCGTCCCGCAGTCAGTTCATCACGGGCAGGTAACACACACACACTCTCTCTCTCGCACACACACGCGCATACACACCGAATCACTCACTCACTTCATCTCTGACACACACTCCCTCACTCTCACACACTGGGGCGACAGTGGTTCATGTAGTTTGTCTACAAACCAGAAGGTTGGTGGTTCAATCTCCGATTCCACCTGACCAAGTGTCGAGGTGTCCATGAGCAAGACACCTAACCCCAGCTGCTCTTGACGAGCTGACACCGCTTTCGGTGTGTGAAATAAATGGGTGAATGTGAGGCAAATGTAAAGTGCTTTGGTGGCCATTGGGTCTGTGAAAGCGCTATATAAATGCAGTCCATTTACCATTCTCACACACACACACACACTCACTCTCTAACTCTGTTGGAGCCATATTCAGAATGTTGTGCACTGCCAGATTTATAATTTGAGTAATGATTAAATTAGATTTATTTATTATGTATTGCAAAATATTATGCTTTAAAAGTACAATGGAATTCTGTTTTATGTTTAATATTTAATACTTGTACTAACCTAGTCAAGTACGTTTATTGACTCCACCCCTTTTTGACGCGTCACTACGATGCGTGAGTACAGGTGTTGATAATGAGATAGGATTGTTTGGCACAGACAGGTTAGAGTTTGGAGAGCAACAGTTTCTTCAATCGCATGAAATCATGTTACTGATAGTGTTTTCTTGAATTTCAACTTTTGTTTTGTTTGGAAAGTAAACCAGAGATTGCGATCAATAAATACGGCTTTTGTTATGACCCCATCTCCGTACGTGCTTAATGGACATAAGAAGATACTCCTCATCTAACCTCAAGAGGCTAAAATAATTAGAATATTAGGTATTAGCCTCTACACACTCATTGAATCTCACTTACTCATTGAATCACTCCATCACTGACTCAATCACTCACCCACTCACTCACTCCCTCACCCACAGAATCCCTCCACTGACTCACTCATTCACTCCATCACTGACTCATTCACTCTCTCACTAACTCACTGAATAACTCCATCACTGACTCATTCAATCACTCACCCACAGACTCACTGAATCACTCCATCACTGACTCAATCACTCACTCCATCACTGACTCAATCATTCACTCCATCACTGACTCACTGAATCACTCACTCACAGACTCCATCACTGAATCACTCACTCCATCACTGAATCACTCACTCACTTACTCCATCACTGAATCACTCACTCCATCACTGACCCACTCACTCACTCATCACTCACTCCATCACTGAATCACTCACTCACTTACTCCATCACTGACCCACTCACTCCATCACTGAATCACTCACTCACTGAATCACTCACTCACTTACTCCATCACTGACCCACTCACTCACTCATCACTCACTCCATCACTGAATCACTCACTCACTTACTCCATCACTGACCCACTCACTCCATCACTGAATCACTCACTCACTGAATCACTCACTCACTTACTCCATCACTGAATCACTCACTCCATCACTGACCCACTCACTCACTCATCACTCACTCCATCACTGAATCACTCACTCACTTACTCCATCACTGACCCACTCACTCCATCACTGAATCACTCACTCACTGAATCACTCACTCACTTACTCCATCACTGACCCACTCACTCACTCATCACTCACTCCATCACTGACCCACTCACTCACTCCATCACTGACTCACTGAATCACTCACTCACTTACTCCATCACTGAATCACTCACTCCATCACTGACCCACCCACTCACTTCATCGCTTACTCCATCACTCACTCACTCATCACTCACTCCATCACTGACTCAATCATTCACTCCATCACTGACTCACTGAATCACTCACTCACTGAATCACTCACTCACTTACTCCATCACTGACCCACCCACTCACTTCATCGCTTACTCCATCACTCACTCACTCATCACTCACTCCATCACTCAATCACTCACTGAATGACTCCATCACTCACGCAACATGTTTGTGGACATTGGGTATTTTGGTTACATGTAAATATGGTAGTCATTCAGCAATAACCAGTACAACAATGTTTTGTAATGTTAATTTTCCCTTCCTCTTCCGCTCTAGATATCAGATCCACACGGGTCTCCAGCACTCGATAATCCGCTCCCGCCAGCCCAGCTGTTTGCCCTTTGACCTCCGCACATTACCTCAGCGTTTGCAGGATTCGGGATACTCCACACACATGGTTGGGAAATGGCATCTGGGTTTCTACAAGCGCGATTGCCTCCCGACCCGTCGCGGATTCCACACGTACTTCGGCTCTCTGACGGGAAGCGTGGACTATTACACGTATAAATCGTGCGACGGGCCGGGAGTTTGCGGATACGACCTTCACGAGGGCGAGAGAGTGGCGTGGGATCAGGGAGGACGCTATTCCACACACTTATATGCGCAACGAGTGCGAAAAATCCTCGCTGCTCACGATCCTTCATCCCAACCTCTCTTTATTTTCCTCTCCTTCCAAGCCGTTCACACTCCCTTACAATCCCCGAGGGAATACATCTATCCGTATCGACGGATGGGAAACGTGTTTCGCCGGAAATACGCCGGGATGGTTTCCGCCGTTGACGAGGCGGTGCGAAACGTTACGTACGCGCTACGAAAATACGGCTATTATAAGAACAGCGTGATCATTTTTTCCACGGATAATGGCGGACAGCCTTTGTTTGGAGGGAGCAATTGGCCTTTACGGGGAAGAAAGGGAACGTATTGGGAAGGAGGAGTCCGTGGGATCGGATTCGTACACAGTCCGTTGTTAAAACGCAGGAGGAGAGTTAGCAAAGCTCTGGTTCACATCACCGACTGGTACCCGACGCTAATGGGACTCGCAGGAGGGAACGTTTCCCAAATGGAAGGGCTTGATGGATATGACATGTGGGAAGCCATTAGCGATGGGAAAGAGTCGCCACGATTGGAGATCCTTCATAACATCGATCCGCTTTACAACGCTGCGCGACACGGATCTTTAAAAAACGGTTTTGGGATCTGGAATACCGCCGTACAGGCGGCCGTTCGAGTCGGAGACTGGAAACTTTTGACGGGAAATCCCGGATACGGAGACTGGATTCCTCCTCAGATGCTCGGAAACTTCCCAGGATCCTGGTGGAATTTGGAACGACACACGGAGCGAAAGAAATCCCTGTGGTTGTTTAACGTGGCGGATGATCCGTACGAGCGCTACGATCTCGCAGAGAATCGTCCAGATGTTGTTAAGCAACTTTTGGCTCGGTTGACGTTTTACAACCGGACCGCCGTTCCCGTTCGGTACCCTTCGGAAGATCCCAGAGCCGATCCCAGCCGAAACGGAGGAGCTTGGGGTCCTTGGGAAGGAGACGGAGAGAACTGGGAGGCGTTTTATCCTAGAAAGAGAAAAATCAAGAAGCAAAAGCGGAAGTATTGCAAAATTAAGTCATTTTTTAGGAGACTTAACATTAGACTGATGTCAAACAGGATTTGATCCGACTCGAGCCACCAGGATGGTTGCTTCCCCTAGGAATGTTTTCCTGGTTGCATTCGCTCCGTCAGCAAGAACTCTAAAGTGACGTGAGCCGCGCTTGTTGTTGTGACTTTTATTTTGTCTGCGCTAAGAAAGCCAGAGCCTGAGCCAGTCGTTCTCCGTGTTCATCAGTTTACGATCTGTTTAATACGTTATTAGATAGAACTGTTGTGCATAGAAATAGACAGTAATGAAAAGTTATTAGCGTTTGCCATGTGGTTGATTAGCTTTTTTTAAAGCAAAAACTCACTTCATTTTTATTTATTTCCCCAGAAAACAAGACTTAACATCTTGCGTCATTTTGCTAATTTAGTAAATGCATTTTGATTTAACTTAAAACATTAGTTAGTTGTAATTAATTGAATGTGTTCGAGCTTGTATTGTATGTGACTATCTGTTTGTTTGCTGCTTGAATCGACAGGGTTTTAAAACACAATGTTTTGTATTATTATTATTATTATTATTATATATGAAAATAGTTCCAATAAAAAATCTCTTTTAAGTTTCCAGTGGACTGATTGCCCTCTAGTGGACACCTGGGATTTCTTTATTGAGATCAGAGGACAAATAAAAGTGGTGTACATTTGTTAGACTCACTAATAGCTTATTTCTTGATTTTGTTCAAGCATGACCTTCTGGGACTGTGCTATACAGTAACTGCTCTGACAGCATAAAGGTCTGCTTGTTACATGTGTCTTTCAGCGAAACTCATGTGAGAGAACCAGAAACCATTGAGATGCACTAATCTCATGACAATAGATTCTGTAAAAGGGGGAAAAATATGTATTTAAATGTTTTAAGTATACTAAGAATTATTTATATATTTATTTACATTTTTTAAGTATTCTAAGAATTCGTTTTTTAATTTATTTAAATGTTTTAAGTATTCTAAGAATTCGTTTTTTATTTTATTTAAATGTTTTAAGTATTCTAAGAATTAGTTTTTAATTTCTTTAAATGTTTTAAGTATTCTAAGAATTCGTTTTTTTATTTATTTAAATGTTTTAAGTATTCTAAGAATTAGTTTTTTATTTATTTAATAAAAATAAAAACAGTTTTTTATTTAAGTGTTTGAAGTATTCTAAGAAATAGATTTATGTTATCTATTTTATTGGTTTGGTTTGAAGTAGTTATATATATATATATATATGTATACGTATGTGTATATATATATATGTATATGTATATATATATATATATATATATATATATTATATAAATATTTATATAAATATATATTTATATAAATGGATTGAAGTATTATATATATGTATATATTAGCTACTTCAATATATAAGAAGTATATATGGAAAAGGATATTGCAAACACTTAAAAATAATGCAACACTTTTTTGGCATAATAGCTGGAAAACATTTTTTTTTTGTTACTAATAAAAACTGGCTAACGCTTCCTTTTACAGTCCAGTTACCCATGTAAATACTATGTAATTATTTTAGTTACTACAATTACTGGGTAATAACTACTAACCCTGAACCTACCCCTGTCCCATGTACTTACCTTATATTAGCCAGTACTTTCTAGGTAAGTACACTGTAAGTACTGTACTGTAAAAGGAAGCGTTACCAAAAACTGTTATACATTGTTAACAAGAAAAGTAGCATTTTACATCAGAGGTTTCTGGTGTGGATGTTTTGTCAAATACTTACATCCTCTCGTACCGTATTTTAACACTAAGAGTCGCTATTTTGCCGTTTTAATCAGTCGCTTACACACGTCATTCTAAATAAATGTCCGGTTTAGCTGCTATTATAATCCATATCATATACAGTATAAAACTCAGTCCATAAGCCACACATGATTTAAAAATATAAGCATGCACAACTGATGCTATCCCTTTAACAGAGTGTCTCTATCAAAAATATGGAATATTTTACTTATTAACTGATCAACACAGCTCAGTCATCGATATCTTTGGTGCATTTATTGAGCTATAGATATGATCTTGTCCCGCTTATGAAAGTCTGTACAAAGGTAAACGAGCCTGTAAACGCGGGTTACTGCGAGTCAAACAAACGACCAATCAGAGGCCTCCTAACAGTCTTTCTATTCGTACGGCGCCTCTGATTGGTCGAGAGATTGGTGGCCAAACGACCCCGGGGAAGTAGTAAACGCTCGTCGCAGACAAACGCATGTGCGGTTCCCAGAAGAGTTCGGTCTCATACAGGTCAGTACAGCAGACTAAAGCTCATTTGGATTACTTGTTACATATTATTCCTGGTAAATGATGAAATGCATCGCACCATAGCAACTTTGTTTTCATGTCGACGTATCCATGATGTATATGGACAACTGCTGAAGTGCATGTGTGGGTGTGTGACACCATGAACACAATGAACAATACAGTTTAGTTTAGAACGAATGGACATTATGTGGAGTGTAATTCTACTTATGTAGCGTATGTCCTGTATGCTGACGTGACTCTGTTTAATATGGTTTGTGAATTAGAGACACGTCATCTGTCATGAGTGTCTGACTGACATCGCGTGGTTCAACACAGCTGCAGTTATAGATGTTAATTTCCTCATAGACATTGATCATTAATCTGTTTTAAAGTTTTTATTGAGGTTGTTATTGAATTTCCTCTTGCATGAGATTTATTATGACCCTTGTGACCTTGTTCTATGGCAACAGCCATGTTTCTGTTCATTGTTTTCATTCCCAGCATCCCTCCAACCTGCAGAAATCACCTGTGTGCATACATTAAAGTTTAGTATTAAACAACAGGCTTTCATTGGAAAGAATCTCACTTTCCATTGCGTGTTTTTGAGATTTGCCAACGTTGTGAAGCCGTAGTGTTCACTATAATCATAGATTGTCTCTTGCCCTCATTGTGGTTGTGGAAACGGTTGGTTTCATCATGTTTATGCAACGTCTTATTTCTATTTAAAATAATGCAATTCATAAGTGCTTTGGTATGGAAGCTTGTTTCTACCATGGAATAAAAATAATAATAATGGAATTAAAAAAAATTGAAGAAATGAACTTTATTATTAATTAAAATTATTTAGTTATAAACTTGGAAACATGAGAAAGTCAATTATGAGATATCAACTTGGAAACCAGAAGGTCAATTACAAGTTATAAACTTGAAATTGCAAGAAAAAAAAACAGAATTTACGAGTTTTAAACTTGAAATTGCAAGACCAAAGACGGAATTATGAGTTATAAACTTGAAATCGTAAAAAAAAATCATAATTATGAGTTATAAACTTGAAATCGCAAAAAAAAAGTTAGAATTATGAGTTATAAACTTGAAATCGCAAGAAAAAAGTTAGAATTATGTGTTATAAACTTGAAATCGCAAGAAAAAAGTCAGAATTATGAATTGTAAACTTGAAATCGCAAGAAAAAAAGTTAGAATTATGAGTTATAAACTTGAAATTGCAAGAAAAAAAGTCAGAATTATGAATTGTAAACTTGAAATCGCAAGAAAAAAGTTAGAATTATGAGTTATAAACTTGAAATCGTAAGAAAAAAATCATAATTATGAGTTATAAACTTGAAATCGCTAGAAAAAAGTTAGAATTATGAGTTATAAACTTGAAATCGTAAGAAGAAAAATCATAATTATGAGTTATAAACTTGAAATCACAAAAAAAGTTAGAATTATAAGTTATAAATTTGAAATCATAAGAAAAAAAATCATAATTATGAGTTATAAACTTGAAATCGCAAGAAAAGTCAGAATTATGAGTTATAAACTTGAAATCGCAAGAAAAAAATCATAATTATGAGTTATAAACTTAAAATCGCAAGAAAAAAGTCAGAATTATGAATTGTAAACTTGAAATAGCAAGAAAAAAGTTAGAATTATGAGTTATAAACTTGAAATCGCAAGAAAAAAATCATAATTATGAGTTATAAACTTGAAATCGCAAGAAAAAAGTTAGAATTATGAGTTATAAACTTGAAATCGTAAGAAGAAAAAAATCATAATTAATAAAATCGTAAGAAAAAAAAATAATTATGAGTTATAAACTTGAAATCGCATGAAAAAAGTTAGAATTATGAGTTATAAACTTGAAATCGCAAGAAAAAAGTCAGAATTATGAATTGTAAACTTGAAATCGCAAGAAAAAAGTTAGAATTATGAGTTATAAACTTGAAATTGCAAGAAAAAAAGTCAGAATTATGAATTGTAAACTTGAAATCGCAAGAAAAAAGTTAGAATTATGTGTTATAAACTTGAAATCGCAAGAAAAAAGTCAGAATTATGAATTGTAAACTTGAAATCGCAAGAAAAAAGTTAGAATTATGAGTTATAAACTTGAAATTGCAAGAAAAAAAGTCAGAATTATGAATTGTAAACTTGAAATCGCAAGAAAAAAGTTAGAATTATGAGTTATAAACTTGAAATCGTAAGAAAAAAATCATAATTATGAGTTATAAACTTGAAATCACAAAAAAAGTTAGAATTATAAGTTATAAATTTGAAATCATAAGAAAAAAAATCATAATTATGAGTTATAAACTTGAAATCGCAAGAAAAGTCAGAATTATGAGTTATAAACTTGAAATCGCAAGAAAAAAAATCATAATTATGAGTTATAAACTTGAAATCGCAAGAAAAAAGTCAGAATTATGAATTGTAAACTTGAAATAGCAAGAAAAAAGTTAGAATTATGAGTTATAAACTTGAAATCGTAAGAAAAAAATCATAATTATGAGTTATAAACTTGAAATCGCAAGGAAAAAGTCTTTTGAAAGACTTCGAATTTTAAGTTATAAACTTGGAAATGTGAGAAAGTCAATTTGCGAGATCTAAACTTGGAATGGCAAGTTATACTGTAAAGTCTGAATTGCGAGATATAAAGTTGCAGGATTCTGTTTGTTGTTGTTGTGTGTGTGTGTGTGTGTTGGAAATAAGCGTCAGTGTTCCTGCAGTGTGTGTTTAGTTTGATCATTGTGTTGCTAATGAACAGGTTTGGTGGAAACTGGAAACGACAGGCGAGACAAAAGGAGGGTGTGAATGTTTCCCCGTACCTCACATCTGTTCATCTTTATTAATAATCTACGCTGTTGATTGTTGCCTCCATTCATTAATTGTGTATGAAGGTCAAAAGTTTAAAAGGCATGATGTATTTTGTCAACAAACTCAACCTTTGTCCCGATCGGACGTGAAGATCTCACAAGGTCAGACTGATTCTGCCAGATGTGGTTTAGTGTGTTTAAGTTGGGATCTGGACTGGAGACCCATAATGCAACAGGCTCATCATTACTGCGATATATATATAGGTATATATATATTATATATTAGATGCTTGAACTGAATGAGACACCACCTCTGCTGTCAGTTTGAGTAGTTTTTGTCTGCCTGTGTTTTATCACTGATACTAGAACAAGATAACTCTACTGATTGATTGATCAATATTGATTTATTTATTGATGGTCATTGCATTCCTGACTCAATCCAGCCTCATTTAAACTTGTCATTGTGAACTCGTTTGACAGAAAATGACTTTGATGCAATCTTGTCTGCTGTTTGAGCTTTGAAATTATCCAAACATTCCTTATATGATGATATCTACAGTGATTTATAAACATATATTGTGCTTCAATAAAATCTCAGTTTTTAGGAGCATTTTCGTCACAATTAAGCACATTATTTCGGTATAAAGTCAGATGCATAATAATATTTCACTATTTTACTCACAAGTTTTTCTGTATTTTAATTAAACAAATAAAAATGAAAGGATCAGTTAGTCATGGCAACCTATGTTAACACATATAATCTAAGGAGATTCAACTCAATTTAACATTATAATTTAAGTTGAAATGACTTGTACAACCAAGTTCGTTCTACTTAAAAAAAATAAGGCTGCAACTGAACTTAAGTTTTTAAGTTGAAATAGGTTAAAAAAATCTTACCAACCTCAAAATTTTGAACGGTAGAGTATAATAGTAATCTGTAGTACTGCACTTATGCAAAAACATTTTTTTTACATTATACAGTAAAAATAATGTCTAATGAGTCATTCTAGTGTGAGAAGAATTTATTTGGAAATCTCATTAAAATGCAAATAACATTAAAATTCATTAAAATAACCTACAGTTTTTGTCACTTGATCCTTCAGAAATCACTCTAATATGATGATATGGTGCTCAAGAAACATTTATGATTATTATGAATGTTGAAAACATCCATTTTTAAGATTTGTTGATGAATACAAAGTTTTTTTTAAATAACCTTTACAGTAACTTTTCATTATGTATTTATTTTTTGAATACTCTTTTTGTTGAGATACAACTTATGCCAGCAATATCATACATTAAAAAGTTATATCTCTTAATAACAATAAAAAAATAAGAAATGGAAGAAAAAAAATAAACATGCACAGGTCAATTTGGATAGCTACACCTTAAGAAGAGTTGGAAATAATCATGCATACGAGAGATGCATATGATATTTTAATAAAAATAGTAAATTATTAAATGACTAATGATTTAGTAGTAATAACATGCAAGTGACAATAGGTTGAAAATCTCTTTCTACCTCATTCATTATATTACTAAAATCAGAATTTGAAATAAAGGGTTTCCAAATAGTCTTAAAAAAAACTTTAGTCACTTTTAATCAAATTTAATGCATCTTTGCTCAATAAAACCCCTCAGATCAGTGTAAAGCTTGTTCCCGAGTCTCATGTGGATGTCACATGTCTGCTGGTGTCTCGTCATAATTCGCATGCCTTGAGTATATATCTGCATCTGTTCTGCTCAACCTCATGCCTCTGTTTTCCATGTGTTGTGCCACTGTTTTTAAATAGCATCTGGGAGGTCCGTCTGGCCCATGGGGTGACCGGCCTGAGGGTCTGTCATTGGTCTCGCGCGTCACTGCAGGAGTGTAGAGGAAAGTGCAGTGCAATGAGACTGTGTTTGTATTTATCAGCTCCTCTTGACGGGTCGACACCAAACCCATGAGATAACGAGGAAATAGTCGATAAATAAACAGAAGCGTGATGCTATCTTGGGTAGTGATTGAGGGATATCAGCTAGGCTGATTTAAACTTTGTTTAAAGTCCCCTTTAGACATAATTGTGTGCATCTTTGACACATTTAAATGTCTTGAATGTAACTCGACACCCTTGCCTCATTTAGTATGTGTGATTCTATGAATATGCAAATGAGCCCCGCCTCCTCTCACTCTCCACTGGTTGACGATCACACATTGATCTGATTGGTTACAAGGTCGTTTGTGACGTCAGAAACACCAATGATTTTTTTTTTTTTTTTTTTTTTTTGAGCAGAATATACTCAGCAATGCTGTCGACTTATGAATTTTAGGGATGTCAAATGATTAATTGTTGATTAATCACATCCAAAATAAAAGTTTGTTTAAATAATATATGTGGGTGCACTGTATATATATATAAATAATATTTTTTCTTAAATATACATGCATGTGTGTGTATTTATAAAATAATTATACACAGTGCACCCACATATATTATGTAAACACAAACTTTTATTTTGGATGTGATTAATCATTTGACAGCCCTAATGAATTAATGAATTACACACAGTTTGCATATTAAAAACGCCACATAGACACACAAACAACATTAAAAGCTTGATTTTCACCATAGGGCGACTTTAAAAACTGTGGCTCTGTATGATTTCTTAATGTTTTTTAATCACCACCACCAAGGCTGCATTTATTTGATCAAAAAATACGGTAAAATCAGTAATATTCTGAAATATTATTACAATTCGAAATATCAGTTTTCTAATGTTAAAGTGTAATTTATTCCTGTGGTCAAAGCTGCATTTTCAGCATCATTACTCCAGTCTTCAGTGTCACATGACCCTTCAGAAATCACTCTAATATGATGAATTATTTCTGATTATTATTATCAAATCTTTGATGAATAGAAACAGCATTTATTTGAAATAGAAATCTTTTGCATCATAACAAATGTCACTTTTGATAAATGTAATCAACATTGCTGCTGAATAAAGCATGTTTTGTAATCTTACTGACCCCAAACTCTTGAAATGTAGTATATTTCGAAGCTTGATCACAGCCTGATGTAATCAGAATGTCTGTCTTGTTGAGTATTGACACAATTATAATCTTATCTTGTCAGTTGTGGGATTTTTTTAGCAGTTTTTGCTATTGGTCGGTTGCTCGTCTGACTTCCTCGTCTGTGATTGGCTGAGACAGCAGGCTCTAAGAGTGTGTGTGTCCAATAAGGAGTCGCTCAAACTCAACCTGTAGTTATTCAGATTGAACTGCTGTTACCTTCACCTGGTCATTCATTTCACCTTCGTGTTGCAGTGGTCACGTTTGGACGTACCTTATTCTGCTAGTCTCAGGTGAAGTGTGTGTGTGTGTGTGTGTGTGTGTGAGAGATTTGTGTTGTCCTAGCTAAGATGGTTTGCCTTTGCTGTCGGTGGTTTTGTGGGTGGAGGAGACACAGCGGCACTTACGTGTACCTTATTCTGTTTGTCTCAGGTCAAGTGTGTGTGTGTGTGTGTTGTGCCTTTGCTGTCAGCAGCTGTACTGTAATGAAGGACAGTCAGACATGTTTTGGTCTGTGCTGAGGGGTTGAAGAAACTATATTTCATTGTACAGTCAGAACTCAAAGAATGATTGAGTATCTTCAGTTTGATTCTGGATGAAAGCATATTGATTGTTTTATGCTTTGTGGATTTAACTCTTTGTGTTGTTTGTTTGCAGGGGTTTCATGCAGTGTGTGTGTGTGTGTGTGAAGGCAGGACGTTTCACCCCGGGGCAGTAAGAATAGAAGTGGGTGAGAGGTTAAAGGAGTAACGCGTCCTCGCACGGTTTAGCATGAATCACATATATAGCATAGCTGGCGAAGGTGACTCACATCCAGTCTCTTAGCTAATGTGCTGATGCTAAGTGTGTTAGCTTGATTTAAAGGAAACTTGTTGAAGTTATTATAATTGATTTGAATATGGTCAGAATGTTTAGTTGGACCACTTCTGTAGTCTATGGATGCTTGTTTCTGCTATGGAATAATCTTTTTATCTCACTATTATCTCACTATTATCTTTTTTTCTCTCATAATTGCACAATGTAAACTCTGACTTTTCCCCCCACAATTGCAATTATAAAGATATAAACTTGCAATTCTGACTTTTTTCATGCAATTGCGAGTTTATATTTTGCAATTCAGAAGGTCAAAATAGCAAGATATAAACTTGTAATTACAAGGTATAAAGTCAGAATTGTGAGATATAAACTTGAAATTGTAAGTTGGAAGGTCAAAATCGTGAGATATAAACTCATAATTAAAAGCTATAAAGTCAGAATTGTGAGATATAAACTTGTAATTACAAGGTTTAAAGTCAGAATTTCGAGATATGAACTTGTAATTACAAGGTATAAAGTCAAAATCGCGAGATGTCAATTTGAAATTACAAAGTCAAAACTCAAAATCGCAAGATATAAACTCAAAATTGTCAGGTATAAAATCAGAATTACGAGATATAAACTCATAATTACAAGGTATAAAGTCAAAATCGTGAGATATAAACTCGAATTTACAATGTCAAAATAGCGAGATATAAACTCAAAATTACAAAGTATAAAGTCAAAATCGCGAGATATAAACTCATAATTACAAGGTATAATGTCAAAATAGCGAGATATAAACTCAAAATTACAAAGTATAAAGTCAAAATCGCGAGATATAAACTCAAAATTGTCAGGTATAAAATCAGAATTACGAGATATAAACTCATAATTACAAGGTATAAAGTCAAAATCGTGAGATATAAACTCGAATTTACAAGGTATAAAGTCAAAATCGCGAGATATAAACTCATAATTACAAGGTATAATGTCAAAATAGCGAGATATAAACTCAAAATTACAAAGTATAAAGTCAAAATCACGAGATATAAACTAATAATTACAAGGTATAAAGTCAAAATCGTGAGATATAAATTCGAAATTACTAAGTCAAAACTTAAAATTGCGAGATATAAACTCAAAATTGCCAGGTAAAAAATCCGAATTACGAGATATAAACTCATAATTACAAGGTATAAAGTCAAAATCGCAAGATATAAACTCGAAGTTACAAGTTGGAAGGTCAAAATCATAAGATATAAACTCTAAATTGCAATGTATAAAAAGTCAGACTTGTAAAACTCGAAATTACAAGGTATAAAGTCAGAATGACAAAATATAAACTTGAAATTGCAAGTTGGAAGGTCAAAATCGCAAGATATAAACTCATAATTAAAAGGTATATAGTCAAAATCGCGAGATATAAATTCGAATATCAAGGTATAAAGTCAGAATTACGAGATATAAATTCATAATTACAAGGTATATAGTCAAAATCGCGAGATATATAATTTCGAAATTACAAGGTATGAAGTCAAAATCGCAAGATTTAAACTCGAAATTGCAATGTAGAAAAAGTCAGAATTGCAAACTGCATTTGGCAGATACTTTTATCCAAAGCGTATTAAATTGCATTTCAAGGTACACATTTACATTATTATCAGTTCTTGCTTTCCCTGGGAATCGAACCTGTAACCTTGGCGTTGCAAACACCAACGATCTATTGTTTGAGCTAAAGGAAAATTCAAGAATGCATATTTTAAAGTCAGAGTTGCCAGTTATAGTCATAACAAAGCATTGGGAATAAATTGGTGTTATTTTGTTATCTTTTATAGTTTTTATTATTATTTTTAATTTTTTTTATTCAGGTTTCATTTTAATTTCAGTTCAAGTTTTAGTAATTGTGTTTTTGCTGTAATTTTTATGTTTAGTAAATCAAGTTAAACTAAATGAAAATTGGAAACCAGCTGAAATAAAATGTAAAAGTATTTCAGTTAAAATTTATTTCATTTGAAGTAGCACTTTTAAAAATGTCTTTAGTTTAATAGTTTTGGTTTCAGTTATCATAATAAGCCTGTGTAGGATTTACTTTGAAAACATTTTCTCAGAAATCGCCGGTAAATTTCACAAATAATTACGAAGAAACTGTAAATAACACATAAGGTGCAGTAGATGAACACAATCACCTTACACAACACCTGGTAGTTGCTTGAGTTTGACCTTTCATCACTGTGATTTCTTTAGATAATGTCAATGTTCACCAATTGATTGTTCATGTTTTAACAAGACACAATATTTCAAAACACTTGACAGGATTTATAGCACAATAATGTGGCAATAAAAAAGATTTTTCTAATCATTGGAGGAAAATAAGCAAATTTCAAAGACACATTTTCACATTGTCTTGGTATTTTAATATTTATCATATTTCCTTTGATTTTCATCCAAAAAAAAAAATCTAAAGAAAATATAGATTTTTATATTTTGCATGACCAAATTAAGCAGTTTATTGGATTTTATATATTGTCGGATTATGACATTATTTACATGGCAAATAAACAATTTTTCTTTTTCTTTTTATTTATTTATTTTTTTGTAAGATCTTCCATAATAATTTACATTAGTTTCTCAATACGTGTTAAAATGGACTTCAACAAAAAAATTAAAAGCAATGCAACAAATACTAGCAGTAACTTTAAAAAAAACTTTTGCTGATAATTTACTCACCCCCATGTCATCCAAGATGTCCACGTCTTTCTTTCTTCAGTCGATGTATGCATGTAAACATGTTTTAGGAGACTCCAAAACAACATTTAGGTGCCTTTAAAATAGCATAATAGCACTTTAATTTTAACGTGGGATGCTTAGAATTATGCATGTTTGTTAATATGTAAGTATTTATGTACGATATAGCGGACAGAATGGATATTAAAGTTAATGTAAACCGCTGTCCTCCACAGATTCAGTCCGCTGTAGTCATGCAGGCACACGAGCTGTTGAAGCAGATGAGGATCCCCGAGTTCTCCGAGGTCCGGGATTATATCCGCAGTCTCTCCACCAACACACTCCTCAGCATGGGTGCGCTCACCGCGATCACGGCGTACTGGTACGCCACCAGACCCAAAGCCCCCAAACCGCCCTGTGACCTGAGCATGCAGTCGGTCGAGCTCCCGGTGAGTGAACGCGCCGCTGACAACATATCTCAAACCCTGTCATTGCAATCACAGATCTGATATTAAATGTATTTAATGGCTGCATTTGTGTTTTGGCCAATCAGGGTGGAGAGTTTGCTCGTCGAAGTGCAGTTTTAAACGGAGGCCCGCTTTTGACCCATTTCTACGAAGACGCCAAGACCATGTATGAGTGCTTTCTCAGGGGCCTGAGGGAGTCCAGTACGTACTCTTCAGTTTTATTTCAACTGATACCCTCATGTCACAATACGATACATATCACTGAACTCACGATACGATATTATTGCGATACCACAAGAGTAGGGGTGGAACTGATGCCCTCATGTCACAATACGATACATATCACGATACTGAACTCATGATACGATATTATTGCGATACCACAAGACTAGGGGTGTAACGATACATATCACGATACTGAACTCATGATACGATATTATTGCGATACCACAAGACTAGGGGTGTAACGATACATATCACGATACTGAACTCATGATACGATATTATTGCGATACCACAAGAGTAGGGGTGTAACGATACATATCACGATACTGAACTCATGATACGATATTATTGCGATACTCCAAGACTAGGGGTGTAACGATACATATCACGATACTGAACTCATGATACGATATTATTGCGATACCACAAGACTAGGGGTGTAACGATACATATCACGATACTGAACTCATGATACGATATTATTGCGATACCACAAGACTAGGGGTGTAACGATACATATCACGATACTGAACTCATGATACGATATTATTGCGATACTCCAAGACTAGGGGTGTAACGATACATATTACGATACTGAACTCATGATACGATATTATTGCGATACTCCAAGACTAGGGGTGTAACGATACATATCACGATACTGAACTCATGATACGATATTATTGCGATACCACAAGAGTAGGGGTGTAACGATACATATCACAATACTGAACTCATGATACGATATTATTGCGATACTCCAAGACTAGGGGTGTAACGATACATATCACGATACTGAACTCATGATACGATATTATTGCGATACTCCAAGACTAGGGGTGTAACGATACATATCACGATACTGAACTCATGATACGATATTATTGCGATACTCCAAGACTAGGGGTGTAACGATACATATCACGATACTGAACTCATGATACGATATTATTGCGATACCACAAGACTAGGGGTGTAACGATACATATCATGATACTGAACTCATGATACGATATTATTGCGATACCACAAGAGTAGGGGTGTAACGATACATATCACGATACTGAACTCATGATACGATATTATTGCGATACTCCAAGACTAGGGGTGTAACGATACATATCACGATACTGAACTCATGATACGATATTATTGCGATACCACAAGACTAGGGGTGTAACGATACATATCACGATACTGAACTCACGATACGATATTATTGCGATACCACAAGACTAGGGGTGTAACGATACATATCTCGATACTGAACTCATGATACGATATTATTGCGATACTCCAAGACTAGGGGTGTAACGATACATATCACGATACTGAACTCACGATACGATATTATTGCGATACTCCAAGACTAGGGGTGTAACGATACATATCACGATACTGAACTCATGATACGATATTATTGCGATACCACAAGAGTAGGGGTGTAACGATACATATCACAATACTGAACTCACGATACAATATTATTGCGATACTCCAAGACTAGGGGTGTAACGATACATATCACGATACTGAACTCATGATACGATATTATTGCGATACTCCAAGACTAGGGGTGTAACGATACATATCACGATACTGAACTCACGATACAATATTATTGCGATACTCCAAGAGTAGGGGTGTAACATTGCCCTCATGTCACGATTCGATACATATCACGATACTGAACTCATGATACGGTATTATTGCGATACTCCAAGAGTAGGGGTGTAACGTTGCCCTCATGTCACAATACGATACATATCACGATACGATATTATTGCGATACTCCAAGAGTAGGGGTGTAACGTTGCCCTCATGTCACGATACTGAACTCACAATACGATATTATTGCGATACTCCAAGACTAGGGATATAATAATATAGGGCTGGGTATTAAATATCGATTTCTCGATATTAATCAGTTCTCATTTTTACAAACCGATATCGATTGTTAAATCTCAAGAATCGATTAGTCATCCTGTGTCATTTGAATGAATGGGACATTGTATCGCGGCTGCGCGCATCCAAAAAATGGCAATAATCTTTGTCCTTTGTTTCTATTGATATGAAACAAAGTCTCAATTTTCAAATTACGTCCATTTTCTTTAGAAATTCAAAAACATCAATAACGTTTTGGCGCTGTGGCGTGAGATCACTCTGGAGAAGCAGCAGCGCTGATCTCTCTTCCGGCTTAATAATACCAGTTACAGCGCGAAATAAACATGAATGAGCATCTGAAAGTGTGTTAAAAGATAGAGTACAACTTATCCAAATCCGGATCATATCACATTGATTCGCTCAATCAGCGTTTCAACCGTGGAAAGACGTCAGTTAAACAGCTTGTAATCAATGTCATTTATCGTCATATTTACCTCAGAAAACCCACATAAACTCGTTAGTCAGCTGGAAAAAATAACTCTAGAGAGAAGCATTTTGCTAAATATATACACTATATTACATATGCATTATAATCTTAATGTTCTTCAATATTTAATGCATATTTGAATAAATCTGGCAAGTTTTTATGACAGCCACCATTTAAATGTTTATATTTCATGTAATCTTCTTATTATAAAAATAAATAAAAGTGTAATTTAAGTGTTTGTATAGCTAACAGTTCATTATTACCTTCATATTAGGCTAATGAAGCCTATAGGCTACAACTAGACTCCCATAGTTTACAGCATTAGTTAAGAGATTTGATTCCCTTGAGAAAAAGGGCTATTTATTGTAACTGATATCCAAAATAATCAATATTGAATTGAATGGAATCGTAATCGAATCGAATTGCAAGCTTGTGAATCGAAATCGAATCGAATTGTGAAATTTGTCTCAATACCCAGCCCTATAATAATACCCTCATGTCACGATACGATACGATACATATCACGATACTGAACTCATGATACGATATTATTGCGATACTCCAAGACATATGATAAAAGATTAACAAAAAATGGACTGTTGATTAAAATGCTAAATTTGGTGTGACAGTGTGTGTGTGTAAATGAATCGGCTTGGACTTGGTCCTGATAACCCAAAGCACAGGACAATAGAGACACCAGAATAACAATATTCATGATTCTGAAGCTGAATTATTTTAGACGAATGTGCTCTCTGTCACTGACTATAAATTTAAAATAAAGTTGGCCACTTTATACTGATAATCTGACATTATCAGGATCCACAAATATTCCCCCATTGCATTATTATACATTATATTCAACACTAAATATAGTAGTTTAATGTAGTACTGAAAATAAAACTCTGTAAACTTGAATTTTCTTTCTCACACAGTCATTTTTGTACATATTGTGTATAATACAAAGATTAATTGCAATTAATCACATCGAAAATAAAAGTTTGTGTTTACATAATATGTGCGTGTGTGCTGTGTATAATTATTTTGTATATATAAATACACACAGGTGCATGTATATATTTAAGAAAATGTGTTCATATATATTTATGTGTTCATTCATATATAAAATAGGTTGTATTTATACATATATATATATATATATATATACAGTATATACTTGAAAATAATTCTTAAATGTATACATGCATGCATGCAAATGTATTTATATCTACAAAATAATTATACACAGCACACACAAATATATTATGTAAACACAAACTTTTATTTTGGATGTGATTCATCGCAATTAATCTTAGCACAGCCCTAATTTTTTTAATATATATATATATATACATATAATATATATATATATATATATATATAGACTTGTATATCCAACTTTATATAAAAATCTGGGCAATAGTATAATTACATTTTGCAATGAAATGTGATGTTAACCTGTGGTAAAGTAGTCACATTATGTTGAATACATAAAAACAACTATTGCAAAATGCGAACGGCTGTAAATGTGATGTATTTATCTTTCCGTTCCAGAAAACGGCCCTTGCCTGGGATCCCGAAAACCAAAGCAGCCGTATGAATGGATTTCATACTCAGAGGTACAACACTTATGCATCCGTATCTGTTTCTGTGACTGAGAGTGATAATGACGATCAGCATCAGAGGGTTAAATCTCATCACAATTCACAACATTGAATACCTCACAGAAAACCAAATATTTACATTATTATAAAATCCGAAAGTCTTTCACACTGACGCCTGGCCATCCGCCCATCTTTATTATTGAGCGTTGGAATTTATCATAGCTCACGTTTACTCTTCTCTTAGCTCTCAGGTTAATTAGTTACTTGGTCTGGTCGTTTCGTAATAACTTCCCTTAATAACTCCAGTCACGGGACCCACACACACACACACACACACACACCTGTAGAGAAGCTGGTGTGTATTCCAGAGCAGGTTTTGGAGGTTGTAAAGGTTGCACTGACACAGGTGGTCTGACTGTTCTGGGTAACTGATCATTAGTGTCATGTTAAACTGCACATTCCTGTAGCATGACACGGCACAGCCAAGGGCATGGGTTCGATTCCCAGCGAATGCATAAACTGATCAAATGCATAAATGTATGTTTTATTATCAGAAGGAAAATCAAAGTTATATGAATTGGAATTTAATTTAAACAAACTTTTGCTTTATGTTCTCCTCCTTTCGTGTGTTCAGTGAACTGCATCTAACGGATCGTTTTCTCTGGTTGCGTAATTTGTCCTCTTCCTCAGGTGATTGAGCGAGCCGAGAATTTGGGATCGGCATTTCTACACAAAGGACACTCCAAAAACGCAGACCCCTACATCGGCATCTTCTCTCAGAACAGACCAGAGGTCAGCGCTCACATCACCCACATCAATATTAGAAAGATTAGTATAATCAGCCAAACTCAAAATATTACGTTACCTGAACAACATCTGTGAATCTAAGTTGATTTGACAAAAGATAAAAAGTTGAAAACATTTTTTTTAACGGTGCATTTAGATTTCGAACAGATTTAAATCAATGATGTAAATTTTAAATCATAAATATGATGTAAATCTTAAATTATAAAAACTTATTCAAAGGTCAAGTGTGTCATTTTTTTAATATAAAGTACTTTTTCTATCAAGTAGCATCAGTTTTTGAATATTTGTATATATATATATATATATGTGTGTGTGTGTGTGTGTAATATATATACTGTATATATATATATATATATAATGTGTTTTTTTATTTATATTAAAGTATACATATGATTTATATATTTTTATTTTTTAAATACTTTTTTCACTTAAGTAATTATTTTCTTCACTTAATTAATTACAGTATTCTGTTTGGTGATGCTAATGGCGCAAAAATTACACACTTCATCATTTGACAAAAGATAAAAAGTTGAAAATATTTTTTTACACTGTGTTTAGATTTTGACCAGATTTAAATCAATGATATAAATTATGAATATGATGTAAATCTATAAAAATTTATTCAAAGGTTAATTGTGTATATTTTTTAATAAATAAGTTTAAAAAACATGTTTATTATTTATTGGATTTTTTAAACTTCAATTTAAAAAACCCTGTTTATTATTTATTGAATTATTTAAACTTAAATTCAAAAAACCCTGTTTATTATTTATTGAATTATTTAAAATTTAATTAAAAAACCTGTTAATTATTTATTGAATTATTTAAACTTTAATTAAAAAAACTGTTTATTATTTATTGAATTATTTAAACTTTAATAAAAAAACTGTTTATTATTTATTGAATTATTTAAACTTTAATTAAAAAAACCTGTTTATTATTTATTGAATTATTTAAACTTTAATTAAAAAACCTGTTAATTATTTATTGAATTATTTAAACTTTAATTTAAAAAAACTGTTTAATATTTATTGAATTATTTAAACTTTAATAAAAAACCTGTTTATTATTTATTGAATTATTTAAACTTTAATTAAAAAAACCTGTTTATTATTTATTGAATTATTTAAACTTTAATTTAAAAAACCTGTTTATTATTTATTTAATTATTTAAACTGTAATTTAAAAAACTGTTTATTATTTATTGAATTATTTAAACTTTAATTAAAAAACCTGTTTATTATTTATTAAGTTATTTAAACTTAAAATTAGAAAACTTAAACTCAAGTTTAAGTTAACATTTTTCATATTTAATATATATATATATATAATTTTTCTGTTTGCTGATGCTAATGGTTCAAAAATTACACACATAAGGTGTGTAAAGTTTCTAAAGGAAAAAAATGATCTTAAATTGAAATTGAAATAGAAATGACAATATTAAAAAGTCCTGCCTCGAGTTTGTGCTTAATTTAGTATTCTGCGTGTGTGACCAGCCGATTGCACTGAAAAAAATTTGTGAATGGATTTGTCAACAACAGATTGTGAATATTTAGTGTGTAATGTGATCAATGTTTCCCCAGTGGACGATCTCCGAGCTGGCCTGCTACACATACTCGCTGATCTCAGTTCCTCTGTACGACACCTTGGGCACAGACGCCATTAGATACATCCTCGACAAAAGTACGTCCATTTCTCATGCCGTTTGACCTTAAACTTGAGATTTGTCTATTTATTAGTCATTGATTTAGTATGAATGCAGATAAGCTTCATGCATATGCATATGTGTGTGCTTTGCAGCCGGTATCTCTACAGTGGTGTGTGACGTCCCCGAGAAGGCCAGTCTGCTGTTGGACTGTGTTTCCGGAAAACAGCACTCGCTCAAAACCCTGATCCTCCTCCAAGACTTCGATGCGGATCTGGTGAGCCGAGGACGGCAGTGTGGCATCGACATCATCAGTCTGAGAGACGCAGAGGTGAATAAACAACAGATTGTCTGCGCAAATCTTTTCATAACCCCACTGAGCCAGATCGATGTGTGTGTGTGTGTGTTTAAACAGCTATTTATAGAGATTCCTTAACTTACATAACTTACAGATGAAACTCGAAAAATTACGATATGGTGCAAAAGTTCATTTATTTCAGTAATTCAACTTAAAAGGTGAAACTAATATATTATATAGACTCATTACATGCAATTACATGCAAAGTCCCATAAACATCAAAATTATAACAAATGAAGGCTTGAAATATCTCACTTTGTATATAATGAATCTATATTATCTATAAGTGGGATATTGCACAAAAAGGTCAATATGAATACATAAATTGTGCATTAAAAAAACGTGTGAGCTCAGTTTAGGCACATGATTATTTTTATCCGATAAGAAGACATGCATAAACTATGATGGAAACACATTTCACCGATGCACAACAACACACACCGGTGACTCATACGAGGCTGTGATTGGATAACTGGATTAACCAGAGGACCAATCGCATCGCAGCATCTCAAATGTTGCCAAAGTCTGTCATCAGAATGATTTGGTTTAATTCCCTCCAGAAGCGTCTCATGACAGTGTTTACTGAGACAAACTCATTTATGACGGAGGAAAGAAGAGCTGCAGTTTCTTCCAACAACGGACATTTTTACTGCAGATATTTTGTGCAAATTTCCCAGGAAGTGTCGATTTTGTTCTCTAGATGTTTTATGCCGCAACTTTGGCTGCTGATGGATTTGCATGTTTGATTATCAGATGCATGATTATCTTATTCTTGTGCTAGAACATTTATGCATGGCACTTCAAAGGAATATCATAGTAACAAAAATCCACAGTATTTCTTTCTTATTCTTATTCTATTTCTTTCTTTATTTATTTATTATTTTTTATCAGCTGAACCCTTTTGATTTAAAATATTTACTTGAGATGTATTACGTTAGTATTAAATACTTTAACAACAGACTTGCTTGTTCATGGTTTTCTGATACTGGTTACTGGTTAATAGTCCAAAAAAATTATATATATATATATATATATATATATATATATATTATATTAATATATGCATAAAATTTATAAATTATATATATATTTAAAAAAATAATAATAATAAATATATATATATATGTGTGTGTTTTTTTATTTATATTAAAGTATACATATGATTTATATATTATCTTTATTTTTATTTTTTAAATATATATATATATATATATAGTGTATATATTACTTTATTATATTTTTTTATATATATATTTTTTCTATTTATTTATTTCAATTTATTATTTTATTTTTATTTGATTATTTATTATTAGCTTTTTTATATCATCATCTTAACCCGCCTGCTGAGCTTCTTCAGTTTTATATCTCCCTGAACGAGACGAGTTCGCTGTGTGTGTGTGTGTGTGTGTGTTCACCGCAAACGCAAACCTCACTCGTGTCTGCAGCTTCTTCCTGTTTCGTTGAACTTCATCCGTCTCCTTCATTTATTTAAATAAGTTTCTCTTCCCCTTCCAGAATATCGGCCGGACTCATCACCAGCGTCCTGTGGTCAGTTACTGTATATTGCTTTTTTAAATGTTCCTGTATAATTCTCTGTATAACTTGGATCCTCTCTGTACACACTGTTCACAGCCTCCTCAGCCGGATGATCTGGCCATTATTTGTTTTACAAGTGGAACCACAGGTATGATGACATTTGCATCATACGTTACTTGATTCTGATTGGCCAGTTGTGGGATTTCATTTTTCAAGCCAAACTCTATCCACCTTATTCCTGATGAGTTTGCTGCATTTTGAATTATGGTTATGGGAACTTTAATTCAAAGAGGCGAATCATTTCAAATCACAACGTTGCCCTACAAATAAAGCTGATCCGTCTGTTTGACTGGATGAGCTGTCAATTTTCCTTCATGATTTATTTTTTAGACATTCATTCGCTGCTTTTTTTTTCCACATGATGATTTTTATTTTTTCCCTTTGCAATAATTTGTGCAAGGCATCATGGGACGCAGGAATAAGGTGGATAATCATTTGTTGATTCCACAGTGTTTTTTCTCACATGATAAATCCACATGTGATTTGAATGACACAACCTCTCTCTCGTTTGGTCTGTTTCTCCCAGGAAACCCTAAAGGGGTGATGCTCACCCACAAGAACATCATGTCCAACAATGCTGGCGTCCTCCGCTACACACAGGTACCGTCCCCGTCCCACACAACAGCCCTGCAGTCACACAATACAAGAGAACAGAAACTTTAAATTTAAATTAAAAAATATATTTTAAAAATATACTTTTTAAACAAATTCAAAATATTATTAAAAACTATAATATTATCTGGAACATGTTATTTCCATGACATTTTATCCACACTTCTCATAAAAGATAATGCTATGTTATTAACATTGCATATTATTTGTTTAATTTTTTATTGTAATATTTTATTTGACAGGTAACTCTTCCCTCCCAGCGTTTTTGAAGAAAGTTTTATTTTTTTTTAAATATATTATTTATAATTAATAAATGGGCCCAATATTTTTTGTTGTTGCATGGATATCTGAACATGCAATATATCAAAACTTAAAAAAAATAGGTTTTATTCTAGCTTCTTGCATTCTTTTTTAATCAACACTTGAATGTGGGTACGTTTCTTTATTTTCATAACTTTCATTGATTTTTTTTTATGCTGTTTAGTATTGATGGTCGTGTTATTTTATGCATCTGCTTGTTTCTTGTTTCTGCTTCACCTGTGTTTGGATCAGGAAGTTCCGCTGAGGTGTAATAGCGCCCCCTACTGAATAACAGGGACAATTCTGTCAAATTCCCTCAAAGGCAGGGAAAGAAATGTAAGGAGTGACTGGACCTGTGATATGTTTCTGTACTTTTGTCTTCCAGTTCGCCAGTCCCATCACCTCTAAGGACACACACATCTCCTACCTGCCGCTGGCACACATGTTCGAGAGAGTCGTACAGGCAAGTTCAGGCCGCTTCTCTTTACTCGAGCTTTGTTTTCCAGTCCTTTCAGAGTTTTTTTTGTGATTGTTGCGGGCAAAAATCCTTGATTATGCATAACGCGGCCCGTTTTCTTTAAAAAGTGATGGAATATGTGGGATATTTATGCAGTTTTATGCGGGAACTTGCAAAAACTGTGGTTTGATGAAAAAGAGAAAAATGTTCTCATTAGACCTTAATAAACACGTCAAACTTACAAAACATTGGTGAGTCAAACGAGTTATTTAGCTTTACAAAAGGAATCTGCTACAACTTCTGTAAAAATGAATAAATAAAATATAAAAAAATAAAGCGTGCTCCTGTTTTACAGCTTTTCGATGATGTTCATGTCACTTCATAACGTTCCCATGGCAACAGGGGGAAATGGCGGCTCTCGTGTGAAGCAAACGTAACATATTTAAACTTTCTGCTAAGATGATATTTGTGACTTTTTTGCAGCGAAAATTCGAGGATTATGAAATCATGCAAGCCCCGCATATTTTGAACGGAAGTCTGCAATTTGTGCGGCGAAAGTGCGGCGTATTTGAGAAATTTGATTTGATAAACTTTGGCGGATTATGGATTAAAAGGACTTAAAATGTCTTAAATTCAGATTCGATGGGTCTTCAATATTTCTGGTCACATTACCGCTAATATTTTTCCAGTCTGACGAACCCAATGGCCGTCAAATAACCAGTGAAGCATCGAATCGCGAGAATGGGCTAATTCTGATTTTATTACATAAACAGCGATTGATAATGTATTTCCGGTATCGCTGTTGAGACTCGCCTGTGTTTGAGAGAGATTTTATAGTGATTAAATAAAAACAAACCATCATAACAGCACACATAAACTCACAGAACAAACATACTGAGGTAAAAAGTCAAAATGTTGAGTTTTATGAGTGAATAAGTAACTTAACGGCTGAAGGGCGTTGTTAGGCTCGACGCGAAGCTGAACACCTTCAGCCGTCACGATACAGCACTTGCCTCAAGTACCGTATTGCTTTTTGAAAACGGTTACCACACAATAAAAATATTAAAGTAAAAAGATATATATATGTATTAGTGCAACTTTCCTGAAGTAAAATCACTAAAATCTTCCTTCCGCTAGAAAAAAATAGTCCCTGACCGTGAACAGCAACAACGCTCCAATGTGTAATATGCAAAAGCTCAAATAAACACAACATAGGACATGCAGTGATACACAAAGCTGTTGGGTGAAGCGGCCATGAATGAAGCACAGCTATTGACCAATCAGAATCAAGGATTCGAACTAACATTTTATAACATATGATATAGTTAAGTAACATAACATGACGGGAGCTATTTTAATTAATATCTTCACGATTACAAATGTAACATTGACTTTAGTTCAATAAACAAGTTAAATTACTTAGGTTAATTACATATAATGTGCATCACAGGTTTGGTCTTAAATTTCATTTTAAAGTGCCATTAAAAAGTCTTAAATTGAACTGGTTTATATCTGTAGACACCCTGTTTTCTGGAGGGACTGGTTTTCAGGAACACATGATTTATGATTTTGCATTGCTTGTGACACGCTGCTGTTCCCCAGAGTGGGATTCTGGTACACGGGGCTCGCATCGGATACTTCCAGGGTGACATCCGCTTTCTGATGGACGACCTCGTGACCCTGAAGCCCACCATGTTCCCCGTGGTTCCTCGTCTGCTGAACCGCATGTTCGACAGGGTGAGCACACGCATGCAGTCCTGGTGATCTTGTTCCAGTCAGTCATCCCCAGCACACAATACGACACAAGGGAAAAACATTTAATTACTGGCAAAAAAACGACGACGAGCCTGAGTGTAGTTTGTAGGGGACCGCAGATTTGGACCGAGCATTTGATGAAATTTAAAAATGGTTAAAATTCTCCATTTTCAAGGAAAAATTGCTTATGTTAAACATTTCATAATTGTTGTTATGCTTGTGCTGGGATCGTCTATTTTGAGTCCATGATATATTGAGTTTTTGGTTTGTATATTATATGTAATAGAGTTGCAGTTTTCTTGCTGAGAGGAAAAAACTGCTGCTTTTTCAAATACACTTAAAGTGCATAAATATAATTAAAATATATTTTACACACTTAAAGCAATATCGAATGGCATATCGAATATCTCATTATTCAACTAGTTAATAATAAATAAATAATAAATAATTATTTATTATTATTAAAATAACTGTAAAATATATGAATATTATTATTTTAAAATATAAATTATTATGATTAAATACTTATTTTATTTTACAATATAATAGTATTATTACAATGGTAAATATATTTCTTTATTGATTTGTTTAATTTTATAATTAAATTAATAAAAATACTAAATTTTTGATTAATAAAAATTATAATTTATTATAGCTATAATTATTTTATATTATATTTAAAATTGTAACTATCAAATATTTATAATTATTATTATGGTTGTATTTATTATTAATGATGAATTTTTATTTTACAATAGTAATATATTTATTGATTTAATTTATAATAATGATGTATTATAATTATGACTACGCATTTTTATTTTACAGTGCAATAATATTATTACAATAGTAATATATTTCTTTATTGATGCGTTTAATTTCTTATCATTAAAATAAGTAAATACAAATACAATTTTGAATAATAATAATTAAATACTAAATGTATTATTTTACAGTACAATATTAATATTTTCTTTATTGATTTGTTTACTTTTTGTAATTAAAATGACAATATAATAGGAGAATATGTCCTATTGATTCACGCCGTGTCCCCGCACCCGTGAGTGTGATCGCCCAGTGCCGTCATTAGTAAGCAATGCAGAAACCCTTTCGTCCCGCAGATCTACGGTCAGGCCAACAGTGCCCTGAAGAGACGTCTGCTGGACTTCGCTTTCAGGAGGAAAGAGGCCGAGATGTTGAGAGGAATCATGAGGAGAGACAGTTTGTGGGACAAGATCATCTTCAGGAAAGTCCAGGTATTATTGGCCGGCTTTCTGTGGTGTGTAAAAATACAACCATAACAATAGAGGAATACAGAGTCATACAACACACTTGAATCTATAAAAAATGAAGATCACGATTCTGCATTTTGTATAAAAATAAATCAATCATACATCTAATAGCCTACCATAGAGACAGAGCGTGTTTAGGCCACACCCACACGGGGGCCTCCATTGGCTTTATAGAATGACGGGAAGTGTTGTGTACATTGAATGTAGTGGTGTGTGTATTGAGTGTATTGATGTGTGTGTGTGCTGCCCCCTGTAGGCCAGTCTTGGTGGTTGCGTGCGGATGATGGTGAGCGGAGCCGCACCGGTTTCAGCGCCGGTTCTCACGTTCCTGCGAGCGGCGTTGGGCTGCCAGGTGCACTTTAACTCTTCACACACACATTTAGATGCGTGTCACCACAGTGCTGTGAGGTCAATGTAAATGTTGTCTACCCGCAGTTTTATGAAGGCTACGGACAGACTGAATGCACGGCCGCCAGCACCGTTACACTATCAGGAGACTGGATTGCTGGTACACACACACACATTCTAACACACACACACACACACACACACACACTCTCTCTGCCTGTGTATGTTGACTGTGTTCTGGTGTTTGCAGGTCATGTTGGAGCTCCTCTGCCCTGTAACGACATCAAGCTGGTGGACGTGGCTGAGATGAACTATTATGCCGCTAATGGCGAGGGAGAGGTGTGTGTGTGTGTGTGTTAATATACTATGATAGATCTCGTTCCTATTTTGAAATAGATTTATATTTTTATTCTTTCTGTTAAAGTTAGTATAAAAGATAGTAATATTTTTGCTATCTTTATTAGTTATTTTTTGAGTGTGTGTGTATGTGTTCTTTCTCACATTTGACAGGTTGTGTTGTTGTTTCTGGCAGGTGTGTGTGAGGGGTCCTAATGTTTTTAAGGGATATCTGAAAGACCCTGAGAAGACGAAGGAGGCTCTCGATGAAGAAGGCTGGGTTCACACTGGAGACATCGGCAAGTGGCTTCCCGTAAGACCTTCCTTCTGTGTTCACACACACATTTTATTCCAATGAGGAAAATTAAACATTTAGATCCAGTATTTTGGTACATGCGTGATGCGGCTGATTGAATGAGCTGCATGTAGAATATACACTACCGTGCAAAAGTTCATTAATTGGATTAGAAATACAGTCAAATATTACTTTGATATACCGTGTTGATATTGTATGATGACAGAAAGTGCACATCAGGAGTGTGTGTATTGCAGAATGGCACTTTAAAGCTGGTGGACCGTAAGAAGCACATCTTCAAGCTGGCTCAGGGAGAATACATCGCTCCCGAGAAGATCGAGAACGTTTACATCAGGAGTGAAGCTGTGTCGCAGGTCTTCGTGCACGGAGACAGTCTGCAGGTGAGACATGACGGCATAACTGTAAAACGGCTGTTTATTATTATTATTATTATTATTTAATTATTTAATCTTTCTCTCCAGGCCTGTCTGGTTGCCATCATTGTTCCTGATCCGGACTATCTGCCCGGCTGGGCCAAGAAGAGAGGCATCGAGGGCTCATATGAAGAACTGTGCAGAAACAAGGTACAGATTACATTTTTAAAGGGATACTCCACTTTTTTTTTTTTTTGGAAATAGGCTCATTTTATAACTCCCCCAGAGTTAAACTGTTGAGTCAAGAAACTTTACTGCCTTACCATGATTGATATGACGCAGCGCCTGAAAATAGTCCCCATCTCGGTATTACGCCTGCTGCACTCATGGTAGGGCAGTAAAGGGGGTAAAAAGTTAAAATGTTGAATTTTTTTTTAATTATAACATACAATATAGTTAAATACCATAGCATGACGGGAGATATTTTGCTGAATATTCTCACAATTACAAATGTAACATTGATTTTAGTTCAATAAACAAGTAGTTAATGTTAAATTACTTCAAATACTTAAGTTAAACATTAAATATTACATATAATGTTTTTTTTTTTCTATTACAGGTTTGCTTTTAAATTTCATTCAAATTGTCATTAAAACGTCTTAAATTTAACTGGTTTATATCTGTAGACACACTTGTATAATTGGGTATTAAAATAACTGAATTTCTCCATTAACCATTAGTAAATAAATTGTTTTCAGGAGGTAAAGAAAGCTATTCTGGAGGACATTGTCAAATTGGGTAAAGAAAGTGGCCTGAAGTCTTTTGAACAGGTGAGTTTAGTCTTTATAATGAAATGTATAAAGTTATGATTTGCTAAAAGTGTTAATCAGCTGTTTTCTATGTGATTTATAATTTATTCCTGTGATCAAAGCTGAATTTTCTGCATCATTACTCCAGTCTTAAGTGTCACATGATCCTTCAGAAATACATATTTTTGTGTATTGCACTGGTTTTTGTTGTAGTTCTTGTAATAAAGTGCATTTTCTCAATAATGTATAGTTATGGATCAGATACAATATGGTATTAGTTGACAAATAATGATAAAATTATGACTGTTTTATATGCTTACAGTGCACACTATCCAAACAGAGCTGGGACTGCCTATTTTAATGCATTCTTGTTGAATGAAAGTATTCATGTCTATTCCGTTTCCACAAACATAAATCTGCACAACAATCATAAATGTTTTTTGAGCACCAAATCATCATATTAGAGTGATTTCTGAAGGATCATGTGATGCTGAAAATGACAGAAATTACAGCTTTGATCACAGGAAATAATTTATATATATATATATATATATATATATAGTTATGTATTTACACATTTGTATTTTTTAATTTATTTTACATTGTAAAAATATTTCACAATATTACAGTTTTTACTATATTTTTCCATCAAATAAATGCAGCCTCTGTGAGCAGAAGAGACTTTTAAAAAATTGCAATTATTTCAAACTTTTGACCGCAAGTGCATATAATTATGATTATTAAATTACAAACATTTTCATCGTCTTCACGTTCAGGTGAGGGACATTTCACTACACACTGAGATGTTCTCCATCCAAAACGGCCTCCTGACGCCCACCCTCAAAGCCAAACGTGCCGATCTCAGGAACTACTTCAGGACACAGATCGACCAGCTTTACGCAAACATCAAAATGTAAACCAGAGGAAGAGCCTCAGATGAGCTGAACTGGGTTTCATGACTGAATAGAGCGATCAGAGACTTAATGAGCCTGATATGATTAAAAACCCTAGATCCGTTCTGTAACTCAAAGGCTTCGATTTTTACATATTTTCACACCGTCTGACTATTTTAAAAGAAAATAAACCTAAGCAAACATCTATTTCGGCTGTTGAAGACAAAGATAATCCTCTTTATTGCTCTTCTGATGATATAATGTGTAGAAAAGCCAAACATGAAGTCATGCTTAACACAGCTAACCTTCATTTTTAAAAGTTTGTGGCCTCAAATTTTTAAATTCAGCTTCTTGTAACGATCTCACAGAAATATTTTTACAGTCTCAGGGAAAATAATGTGCCTTATTAATGGACTTCAGCTGCATTTGAGTGTTATTGTTGAGGGGGGAAACGCACACATGCTAACAAACAAAGCTAATAATATAGCATTGTACCTCAGAATTGACATAAAGTGCAAAAAAAAAAAAAAAAAAGGGGGGTGGAACGTGGGAAATATTTCAAGATTTTGTCTTCCCCTAGTTTTATATTCTAAAGTCTTTTTCAGGACATGAGGTAACTTAAAATAAAAAAGGGAAGAGTTTTTATTTTAGAAAAAAATACTGTAATCTGGCCTACATTCAAGAAAACAAGCAAAGCAAATGTTTTCTGTTTATTTTTCTACATATTTATGTAGAACTTTTATAATACTAACTTGCATCTTGTTCCAAAACAGCTTTATAAAGGATAGTGGCTTGTATAAATAGTTCATAAACTGTTCTTATGAATGATTTACTCAAATTAGTTTTGCTTGTCTTTCATGAAAAAGGCCACGGACGATTAATATAACGATAAATGTGAAGATATAGTTCTTAAAAATTGAAACAAAAGACTAGCATAGTCCACAGCTATAATAATAATGACAGAAACAATTAATATCATCGCTTACCGAACCGAACGAGTTTTTTTTTTTTTTTTTTTTTACAGCCCGATGAACGTTAAAAATGACAACCAATCAGAATCCACCCTGCTTTAACGCGGGAAGCATTTAAAGCAGCAGTGCGCTTAAAATAAACGGACATTATGCTAATATAGTTCTGGTTAAAGTTATCGTTAGTCATCGTTCTTGGCCTGAACGTGCCTTAAGTTTAAACACAGCCAAGTATCAATCAGTGGTGATTAATATGAGTATCTAAGCCATATGCTGTCTATATGACTTTATTTTTAAAACAGCTCCGCATCCAGCTATGTTGCATAAGTGCTTATTTATTTAAAGGCTTTAATGGCAGATGGTATTATGTTGTTTTCAGGTGTATTATATTATTAGATAATATTATCTCATTGTTAGGAGCTTTCCACATGCGTCCTTATATTTCATTGATGGTTGCTGCTTCATGTTCATTGTAATTGTGTTTATTATGCACAGGTTGTTTTTGTTGTTTGATTTACCCATGGTTGTATAGAGCCAAACAAACTTTGTGTGTGTGTGTGTGTGGCAAACAGATAAACTCTGACAAACTCTGATAAACAAAAAATATTGTACCTAAAAACCTTATCTTGATATTAATGTAAATTTCCAATGCAAGACGTGTATATGATTGAAATTAAATATGATTTATGGTTAATGAACAATTGGTTAAAGATGTTTTTTTTTTCCACTTAGCTAAAATTAAATTTGAAAAAATTAAATTGTAGGTTTGTATATATCTATATAAAAAAAGGTATATATCAAACCACATCAAATCCTCTTTCTCGTAATTTTAATATTAAAATTACGAGAAAGAGGATTTGATGTGGTCTGCCATTAATGTTCAAACACCATGTAAAAGTGATTTTTCCATAATAGGTACCCTTTAAATTATCATAGCCGTCCATATGCCAGAGTTCATTTGGGCCAGCGCAAGTGTAGCCTACTGGCGTCTTCTCAAGCGTCTCCTTCGCCGAATTTCCACACACACCTCACTACTTTATTCTCGAAATTTAACGAGTTTAATCTCGCATTATAATGACTTTAATCTCGATATGTTTTTATTTATTTTTTATTATTGGTTGGCCCTATATCTACTACATAAAAAAAATCGAGCACACTTTGAAATAGTCAAATTTTCCTCAGGCAGCTAGTCAAGTATGCAGAGACTGCTTGTTATTATCAGAGACAGAAACGATCAGAGCCGTTCTGGAAACGATCGACGGCGAAGGAGGTAACGTCACGTGACAAACTCAAAAAAGGAGAATTAAAAACAAAGTAAATAGAAGGTCAGAAAAGTGTTACCTGGAATAAGTTTTACAGAGTGGTAAAGATAAATCAGGATGACACCAGTGTTGTGTTCACGACAGCCAAACGGGTGCGTCTAATATGCTGGATCACAAGTGTGCTGCTGCCAAAGTCCGTTAATTTCGGGTATTTATTTATTTTTGTTGTCCCTGCGCGCCGCTCAGAGACGGAGTTCACTGCGGATATTATGAGAGGTACTAATGAATTGTTTGTTGAGTTCAGGAACACATGTTAAAAACGGTTTCTCTGGTCAAACTGTCAAATAATATCAGAGCGCGCTGTCAAAGCAGGGCCGTAAAGACGCCGCTCCGCCCATCTCCAGCAGGGGGCGTTCACAGTGAGTGAGTGTAGCAAACAGACTCGATGCATGCTATCGATGCTATCCCCACGTTTGATGTGTTCATAAGATTTATGTACTTCAGCTCATGATAACTGTTTGATGCAGTCAAGACATTTTGTTGGTTGATATTCCTTGTTTAAGGAAACTTTATAGTGACTGATTTGTGTTCATATATTCAAATGATGTTGCTTTTTGTTCATGAAAGTGTGTCTACTCTGCTACAAATCATATCTGCTTAGTTAGAGTAGACTATTGAATTGTTTTTCTGTTATGTTACTGATTTATTTATATTATTGTATACTTGTATGATATGTATAATGTATGTTCAGATCAGGGATGAATATGTTAATGATGTCAGACATATTTTATAATAGCCGCTGGTTCTGTATCACATTTTGTGTAGCTGAACAATGCAGTTTTAACACTATAGAAGCAAAACGGACCAAAATGAGCCTTTCCAACATGTCTGAACGTTATTTGTTTATTTTATTGTCTATATTATGTCTATAGATGAATGTGACGACGTTGCGTCATTTCGACGTCGTGCGTGCGCGCAGCCGAACATGGCGACGTCCCTCGGCTCAAACACCTACAACAGACAGAACTGGGAAGATTCGGTATGTTTTCATTTAATGTATTTATGGAAAATGTGACGCACTGCTGACTACTTCAAAAATGTGTCCGTTTCTTCGTTTACTAAAAGAAACAAACATTTTCATATGACAGTTTTAAACTACTAAAGTACTATCACGCGCGTGCGTGGTGTTCAAATACTCATTAGAATATAAAATAAAGTTAGTTAATGAAGTTTACGTAGATATCAAATTGATAAATACATGTCAAATAAATGTATTTACATAAATGTCAAATATTGGTTATGGATATTTGACAAAATCAGGATAAAAGGTTTGTTTACGCGTTGTATTGTGCGATCCACAAAGTATTCATTTTATAAGAGACAAAACCTGCAAAAAGCAAACAAGCACGTCGACAAAAGTATTGTTGAGGGTAAAATATATAAAATATGATTAATAAAGTCACTCTATCTGATGCATCAAACTGCTTATTTGATTATTAATATTTAAAACTAACTTTTATTTAATATATTTGTGTATTTTGTCGTTAGGGATGTATAATATCGTCTCCATGAACGCTTTTTTCTCATACAGCAAATATTAGCAAATAATCATTAATCCAAATAATCACTTGTCACATGTTATGGCATCAGAATTAATGCTGCAAATCTGCAATCATAACTGAGAATTGGGATTAGTCTGAACGTCCTTCACACTTTAAACTGACTGTGATGAGAAAAGCATGAGTTGAATTGTGTCTGGAGTATCATCTGTGCTGCTGTGATTGCTGAAACTATCTTTAGCTCTCTAATGAGGTGAAAGACATGCTAGAACTTGTTGAGGGAGCAGTTTATACAGCATCTGTGAAGATACAGCATAGATTGACCCTCGTATGATCATAGATGCAGTATTGCTGGAAATAGGTCGACGTGTGGCGATTAAACATGTCAGAAATTATGAAAAATTTAGTGATGTAGCCTAACTCTGAAGTAAATGTTTGTGTGCATGTTGAATACTCCTGTTGCACATTTTAATCATTATATATATTTAAAAAAAATTCTAACACAGTTTTCAATTTTGTGATTATTATATATTTTTTTTATCATTAATATCATCACTTTTTCTTGTGGTTTTACCCAAAAGAAGCATTAACTAACCTTGTCATTAACCCTCCGGTGCTGTTCGGTCAAATTTTTGACCGAAAAATTTAGCGTTTTGATTTTATATAATTTTTTACTTCATCGGAATGGTACGAAATTTGATTAAGGTTTTGGCACTTGCAATGTGAACACAGACATTATTTGAAAAAGGTTAAATGGTCCTGAAAAAAAAAATAGTCACACTTGTGTTGTTCGCAGTCAAAAATGAATTTCGTCTAGTGGCTGCGTTTGGTATTGCGGCCAAACAAAATCTTACGGAAAGTTTTTTTTTTTTTTTTTTAAATATAAACCCTTAAATTTGCAGCCGTTGTTTAGATTTATGGCTTTGATTTTATTGCAGTTTTAGAGAAAAACATATTTTTGAAAATATATATTTCATATCAATAGTGCATTTTGTCCTGATTGTCCAAGTTTTCTCCTTCCAGGACTTCCCTATTCTCTGTCAAACATGTCTCGGGGAAAATCCATACATTCGCATGGTAAGTGATTCCAGTTGTTGTTTTTTTAAAGGGGTCATCGGGTGCAAAATTCGCTTATGCATATAAATGTGTCTTTGCAGTGTGTGGATATATTGAAAAACATTTTTTTTAAATCCTCAAAAAGCCTAAACACTCCCATTAATCAATAATCAGGCCTATTTTTTTAGCAATATGGTGTCATAATGCTCAAGCTCCACCCAGACTGTCCCGTATTAGCATATTATTATTATTTAAGTTTATTTAGATAGGGAACGATACAAAAAACATAGATAAACATAAACAGTCATCTGATGTATGTATCATATTGTTTTATTTATTTATGTTTTTTGAAGAAAGATCACAGGGTATACAAACTTAACAGGCCTGCGAATTAAATTAGCCTGCGAATAGCTCGGTATCGCCATTTGGTGTAATGAAACTTTAAATTAGAAGCTTACATTTAATATTCATGAGTTACTCTATTTTTGTTTTTGCAGACTAAGGAAAAGTATGGCAAAGAATGCAAGGTGAGCTCAGCATGTAGCATTGGGTTAAAGGGCTAACGTGAGCTACGGCTAAAGTGTGTGTTTTCAGATATGTGCTCGTCCCTTCACCGTCTTCCGCTGGTGTCCCGGCGTACGCATGCGCTTCAAGAAGACGGAGGTGTGTCAGACCTGCAGTAAGATGAAGAACGTGTGCCAGACCTGTCTCCTGGACCTGGAGTACGGTGAGACTTACACCAGAGCCCGGCCACTCCTGTTGGAACAAATTTTGGTTGTAGTTCCACCAGAGTTCCACTGGGGGGCGATCACACATGAGTGCAAAATGAATGGGAGTCTATGGAGCTAGACGGCTAAATTTGTCTTTCACCCGATTTCCGTTGAGAAATCTCAGATTTGATTTAACATGGGTTATAGGTCGAAAATTGAATGAACAAGTTCTTATTTACATTTATTAATTTAGCTGACGCTTAAAAGCGACTTACAATTGCTATATATGTCAGAGGTCGCACGTGTTTTGCTGATGGACACATTGATGTCTCACAGTGGATTCGAACCCGGGTCTCTCACACCAAAGTCATGTGTCTTATCCATCACCCCATATTTCCTTTCGATTTCTTCCAGGTTGAGTTGTTGTTGGCTATCACGCTAGCATTCTGCTAATGAACGCCGGTTGGTCAGTGAAGGACTGATTACGACCAGAGATACCGCTTGATCGCTTGAAGTTTAACCAAAACTCTTCTAGAACGTGTGTTTACCTGTGTTCGCTGTCTTGAGAGAGAAAAGAGACCAAAATGACTGAAGGATTGCCGTAAATCAGTATCTCTGGTCGTACGATGTGTATGACGGCTTAAAAGACTTTTTAAAGCAAATAAGTGACTCTAACTAAAACCTAAAACCAACATTGTGTAATTTTGTTGCATCTCGTTTCGAAACTTGTTATCTTCCCGGACACCTTAAAATGAAACTTTCTCCATCCCAGTAAAACCAATGCAATTCATTTTTGTTCTGTAATATTTATTCTTTTTAATTTAGTATTTTGAGACAATTTAATTGAATTTATTCATATTTATGCAATATTTATGGTTTATTTTTGCAATGGAAAATTATATATATATTATTTTTTTCAAAAAAATATTAATGCAGTATTTTAGTTTAATATAGAGTCTATAAAAAAAATATTTGTTGAAGAAAATTAGCACCATCTGGTTACAGTATAGAGAAAAAGCGTAGGACCATGGTGTAACCACTAGATGGCATGTACAGCTCTCTATGGAGAGGCATGTGAATTCCCCAGATGTTTATAAACACATTTTTTTGTTGTTGTTGTTGGTGGATTTGAATATATAGTTGAAACAATCTCAAAAACTATTTCTTATAAAAAAAATTGACAAACAAAAATTCACAATTTTTTTTTTACAATTTCCCATTCATTTCCTATGGGGGTCACTTTTGACCAAAGACCACAAGTGTGACTATTTTTTTAAGCCCACTTAGCATGCTCAGATCATGACCTCAATTTTTTTGTGTGTTCACATACATAATGCCATAAAAGTCACCAAGTTTCGTAACATTGCGATGAAGCTGTGATTTTTAAAAATTCAAAACATACTTTTTGTAATCAAAATTTATTGGTGTGTATGTGTATAAAAGTGTGTTAGCGTGTTGGTGGGTGTGTCTGTTTTGCACTCTAGATGTTGTAGAGTGTCACCCCTTTCTTGCTGTGTACTTTTTTTTAGAATTGTGGCCGATTTGTAGATTGTACATAGAAAAATTCGGACAATTTAGTTTTTTTTGTCAATTTCCCATTCATGTCCTATGGGTCGGTCATTTTTGACCGAAAAGCAAAAGTGTGACTCATTTTTTTACGACCACTTAAATTGCTCGAATCATGACCTCATTTTTTTTTGTGTTCACATACCCAATGCCATAAAAGTCACCAAGTTTCGTAACATTGCGATGAAGCTGTGATTTTTAAAAATTCAAAACATACTTTTTGTAATCAAAATTTATTGGTGTGTATGTGTATAAAAGTGTGTTAGCGTGTGTGTGTGAGTTGGTGGGTGTGTCTTTTTTGCACTCTAGATGTTGTAGAGTGTCGCCCCTTTCCTGCGGTGTACTTTTTTTTAGAATTGTGGCCAAATTGTAGATTGAACATACAAAAATTCGGACAATTTAGTTTTTTTTTTTTTGTCAATTTCCCATTCATGTCCTATGGGTCGGTCATTTTTGACCGAAGAGCAAAAGTGTGACTCATTTTTTTACGACCACTTAAATTGCTCGAATCATGACCTCAATTTTTTTTGTGTGTTTACATACCCAATGCCATAAAAGTCACCAAGTTTCGTAATTTTCTGAATAAGCTGTAATTTTTAAATATTCAAAACAGATTTCTTTAATCACAATTTATTGGTGTTTTTGTGTATAAAAGTGTGTGTGTGTAGGGGTGGGTATGTCTGTTTTGCACTCTTGATGTTTTAGAGTGTCACCCCTTCAATGCTGAGCACTTTTTTTCTGCATCGTGGCCGATTTGTAAATTGTACACACAAAAATAATTGTGTTTTTGTCAATTTCCCATTCATTTCCCATGGGTCGGTCATTTTTGACCGAAGAGCACAAGTGTGACTATTTTTTTTACGACCACTTAGCATGCTCGTATCATGACCTCAATTTTTTTTGTGTTCACATACCAAATACCATAAAAGTCACCAAGTTTCGTAACATTGCGATGAAGCTGTGATTTTTAACATTTCAAAACTTTTTCAGAAATGACCGAAGAGCACCTGAGGGTTAAATAATGTTTTTGTCTCCTGTTATATGTGTCCAGGTCTTCCGATCCAGGTCAGAGACACAAGCTTGTCGATTAAAGACGACATGCCGAGATCCGACGTCAACAGGGAATACTACACCCAGAACAAGGAGAGAGAGGTGACGTCTCATCGCAACCTACATCTCAGAAACACAACACAACACAAAGCATGATGAACTCTTGCGTTTCTGTGTCTGTCAGATTCAGAACTCTGACGGCACCCGACCGCTGGGGATTCTGGGTAAATCACAGAGCCCCAGTGACATGCTGCTAAAGCTGGCGAGAACCACACCGTATTACAAACGCAACCTACCCCACATCTGCTCCTTCTGGGTGAAGGGAGAGTGCAGGAGAGGAGAGGAGTGTCCGTACAGGTCAGTGCAAAATCATCAGACTAACACTCCGTTTAGTTTAGTTTAGTTTAGTTAACAGGGACCGTGCAACCGATGTCGTTAGCTAGATGGCTAATTTGCATATGTAGCCTCAGATAGCTCATTTGCATATGTAGTCTCTGGGCAGGATGTTGCATTTACAGTTACGCTTAATTATTTAATCTGAATGTCAAATGTTGTTATGTAAACTTACAGCACTTTATTACAATCCAGAAAAAAATAGTGTAATATCACATCACAAAAATCTGAATTAATGATCACATGATTGATTTTTCTTAAGCCATATTTTAAATGCAGTTTTAAAACTTTTTAAAAACTTTTTAATATAAACAGGCACTGAATTTCATCTTTCTGCTCCTCTAAATGAAAAAGCTGAACGTCCAAAGACAGTTTTCTTAAATTTACTTAAACACCAATGATGTAAGTTATGTTTCCAAATATGGTAATGGTTTATATTTTAAGGAAATTTCTCTTTGCATGTGAAATGAGATTCGCAGATGAAGTGCTATTCACTGTCGAGTCATTTTAATAAAACTTCGTTACAATAAATATAAAGTGTTTTATGAGTAATATTTGTTATCATTTAGATACTAAAGTTATAGTTTGTTGATATTTTTTATGTTTTATATTTTTTATATATTCATTTTAATTTTAGTAATTTAAAATTTGAAAATATACATTTCATATCATAAATAAATATTTTTTTATATGATTATAATATATATTATTATATTATTATTTTAATAATATATAAAAATATATTTTTTGTGAATTTTTCATAACAATGAATGTAAAATTGTGTAATGTTTTTTTCACTCTATCAATAATTTGAAAAAATATGTCTATCATTTTTAATTTCTATTTCAGTTTTAGTAATTTTAGTGCACTATTTTCATTAAACTAAATGACGAGAAATTTTGCTCGGGCCACAAAAAGAAAATGTACATATTTTTTTATATATATATATATTTTATTGTATTTCAGTTCAAGTTTAATATCAAGTGATGAGAATGTTTTTTTTTTTTTTTACTTTTTTGATATTTTGATATAATGCAGGGATTGAATCAAAAAGTTCATATGACATTTATTAGATATGTGTCTTTTTTTATTTAGAACGATTGGGTTAAATTAATTTCTATGGTTATGGCTAAAATGATATCAAGCAAAAAATCATGTTGTTTTTCATGGTGGGAAACATCTGCAATGCTGATAACTGTCCACACGGTGGCAGTAGCAGTGTTTAATTAAAGAGCCTAGGCCTTTTACAGAGTGATTGGTCGAGTGCTTCGAGTGTGTTTGGAAAGTCCCGCCCCTTCCCATAACCGCCAGTTTAACATACTACTAACTAACTCAACCAGGCCCCGCCCCTTTATTCTGCACATAAATTATTATAATGAGGAATATTGTGACGTGTTCGTTCCCGGGAGAAACTCGAGACTACAATGGAGGCGTTTCAGGAGTTCAGAAACACTGACACTCATATAGAGAAGAACTTTGCAGAGCTTTTTCATGCTCAAACAGCAAGAAAGCATAATATCTTTTCTTTCAATCACTCAGACATGAGAAGCCCACAGACCCTGAGGATCCTCTGGCCGATCAGAACATTAAAGATCGTTATTACGGCATCAACGACCCGGTGGCGGATAAACTCCTGAAGAGAGCGTCCACCATGCCTCGACTGGAGCTTCCCGAGGACAAGTCCATCACTACACTTTACGTCGGAGGACTGGGAGAAAACGTCACGGACTCTGATCTCAGGTGGGAGGAGCTTCAGTGGGAATAGAGATCCTACCATACATATTTTTCCCGAAATAAGGGCCCATTGCATTGTGGGATAGTTTTGCATGCCTTGTGCTCTCTCTGGTTGCATCATGCCGTATGTAATTCCAGGCATGCAAACTATTATGTTATGCATTTTGCATTCACAATTATGTATTTTGTATGTGTGCATTTAGTAGGTGCTTTTAATCAGAACATATTTACATATTACATGTTTTAACAGTTCACGCATTCCCTGGGAATCGAACCCATAACCTGACGTTGCTAGTTCCTGTTTGAGCTACTGGGCAGTTGCAGTATGTTTATGTTTACTGTGCTGCATAATTGATTTGAATGCATGAAATTACAAAATGCACAGGATACAACCAGAGCAAAGCACATGGAAAACTGTAATGTAGTGCACACGACTTTCCATTGTGACAAACACGTGCATTAAAAATAACAATTCATTGCAGTTTCTTCTTAAATAAAAAAGTTACGTTTCTACACAAATCGAATAACAAAAGAAATCCATTAAAAACAGTTAATAGATGCATGGATGTGATTTTTCTCAAACAATTGTGGTTATTATTTGTACCGCTATTGTTTTCATGCACACCTTGGTCAGAGTGAAATACACAAGATTAAAGAGTTAACATGCATGCCTATTACGCGTTTAACCGCAATATTGTGTTAAAGGAGTAGTTCACTTTTAAAACAACTTTTGCTGATGATTAACTCACCCCCACGTCATCCAAGATGTCCATGTCTTTCTTTCTTCAGTCGAAAAGAAATATTGGAATTCCAGGATTTTCTCAATATAATGGACTTCAATGGGGACCAAACGGTTCAAGGTCCAAATGAGAGTTTCAGTGCAGCTTCAAAGGGCTTTAAACGACACCAGATGATGAATAAGGGTCTTATCAAGGACCCTTCGAGTCATGACTCGGAAAAAGATTTGTTCGTTTTGATGAACAGGAGAGTCACGAACGCGCATCACAGAACAGAGCAAGCCGAGCATTTGAGCTTATAAAACTTAAATGTTTTATCTATTTTTTAAATGAGTGATCGCTTCGCTAGATAAGACCCTTATTCATCGTCTGGTGTCGTTTAAAGCCCTTTGAAGCTGCACTGAAACTCTCATTTGGACCTTGAACCGTTTGGACCCCATTGAAGTCCATTATATGGAGAAAATCCTGGAATGTTTTCATCAAAAACCTTCATTTCTTTTCGACTGAAGAAAGAAAGACAGACATCTTGGATGACATTGGGGTGAGTAAATTATCAGAAAAAGTTGTTTTTAAAGTGAACTACTTCTTTAATCTCATAATGAGGGTCATGTGACTTTCTGTTTAAAATGATTATTGTTGCACACTCTACCTGCTGCATACTTTTTCACATACTATTGCAGTGTGCAATTATTAGTGCACTAGTATTCTATCCCAACCTTGTATTTTCTGTTTAAGATTTATTTGTATTTCCGTCTTGTCTGTCAGGAATCATTTCTACCAGTTCGGTGAGATCCGTGCGATCACGCTGGTTGAGAGACAGCAGTGTGCGTTCGTTCAGTTTGTGACTCGAGAGGGCGCTGAGCTCGCAGTGGAGAAGTCCTTCAATAAGCTGGTCATTAACGGGCTGAGGCTGGTGGTGAAGTGGGGGCGCGTGCAGACTGCCAGAGGGCCAGACGCCCAGGAAGGGTTCAGTGAGATGGGCACCAGACTACACCCAGTCCCGGGTCTCCCTACGAGTATGTTGTGTGTGTGTGTGTGTTACTGGCATACAGGTTGTAATGTTAAAGCGATACTTCAGTATTTTCGAATTAGTAGTATTTTCAAATTACCACCCTCATATCCCCCTGAGACGAGAGATTTATGTATTTTTTGTCTGGAAAAAAATCCTCCGATGACACAAAAATCGGCATCTGAGGATTTTTTGTCCAGAGGCTGAAGACAATCATGCATGTATATATCATTATAGCTTCTTGCGCATATGTGTATTTTATTGAAAACAATTTCTGGGTCATATTGCACCCCAAATATATACATAAAGTAAAAATTAATTAAATTAATATTTTTATTTTATTTTTGGGAATGCATTTGGACCCAAACATGTTTTAATATATAAAGAAAATCAATTAAATGAATATTTGTATTTTATTTTTGGGGATGCAAAATGACCCAAATGTTTCTTTTTCCATATATATAAAGAAAATAAAAATAAATGCAATAAATATTTTTATTTTATTTTTGGGAATGCATTTTGACCCAAATATTTTTTTTTTTTTTTCATATATAAAGAAAATAATTTAAATGAATATTTGTATTTTATTTTTAGGGATGCAAAATGACCCAAATGTTTCTTTTTCCATATATATAAAGAAAATAAAAATAAATGCAATAAATATTTTTATTTTATTTTTGGGAATGCATTTTGACCCAAACATTTTTTCATAAGGAAAATAATTTAAATTAATATTTGTATTTTATTTTTGGGGATGTAAAATGACCTAAATGTTTCTTTTTCCATATATAAGTAAAATAAAAATAAATGCAATAAATATTTTTATTTTATTTTTGGGAATGCATTTTGACCCAAACATGTTTTAATATATAAAGAAAATCAATTAAATGAATATTTGTATTTTATTTTTGGGGATGCAAAATGACCCAAATGTTTCTTTTTCCATATATAAAAAAATAAAAATAAATCCAATAAATATTTTTATTTTATTTTTGGGAATGCATTTTGACCCCAAAAATTTTTTTTCATATATAAAGAAAATAAATTAAATGAATATTTGTATTTTATTTTTGGGGATGCAAAATGACCTAAATGTTTCTTTTTACATATATAAAGAGAATAAAAATAAATGCAATAAATATTTTTATTTTATTTTTGGGAATGCATTTTGACCCAAACATTTTTTCATAAAGAAAATAATTTAAATTAATATTTGTATTTTATTTTTGGGGATGCAAAATGACCTAAATGTTTCTTTTTCCATATATAAGTAAAATAAAAATAAATGCAATAAATATTTTTATTTTATTTTTGGGAATGCATTTTGACCCAAACATTTTTTTTTTTCATATATAAAGAAAATAAATTAAATGAATATTTGTATTTTATTTTTGGGGATGCAAAATGACCCAAATGTTTCTTTTCCATGTATAAAGAAAATAAAAATAAATGCAATAAATATTTTTATTTTATTTTTGGGAATGCATTTTGACCCAAACATATTTTAATATATAAACAAAATCAATTAATTGAATATTTGTATTTTATTTTTGAGGATGCAAAATGACCCAAATGTTTCTTTTTCATTTATAAAGAAAATAAAAATAAATGCAATAAATATTTTTTTTATTTTGTTCTTGGGAATGCAATGACTCAAACCTGTTTTTAAACAAATCACCCACTTATGATAATGAACAATATTCCCTATTTATTGTGATTTATTTTATATATTATTATAATTGCATGAATTTTTTTGAACATTAGTGAATTTTGTCATATTGCTGTTTCTTTGCATCGTGACTAACACAACCCTATAACCATGATAAAATGACTGTAATGCAGCGTCTCAGAGCTCATTGATCTGTGTGATTATATCATGTGTGTATCGCAGCTCTACCGCCAGCGTCTGCTCTAGAGGAGGAAGCGTCTGCCAACTATTTTAACCTGGACCCGAGCATCTCTCCTGCGCTCATGAACATCAGTCTGCCGCCAAACCCGCCAGCGCCCGGTACACACTTCATCTCCACTCACACCTGCATGTTACCGCACAAAAAATATTTACAGCCCTAAAGTAGGCTTCATTTTCTTTTTGCAAAATGTGCTTTTATATAACACAACCAGTGCTGTTATTGTTAACGGAAATGAAAATGGTTGAATCTGCCCCAAAATGGCTCATGAATGTTTTTTTAATAGAGTCTGGTTGTGGTTTCAGGTTTTCTCCAACCCATGTGTCCCCCTCCACCGCCTCCTCCGACGGGTTTGAGACCTCCAGGCCACATCCATTACCCTTCCCAGGATCCTCATCGCATGGGTGCGCACGCTGCGGTTCGCCACAGTGACTGATAAGATGACTGTTGTTGAACTGTGACGGTGATGTCATCACTGAGTGATTGACTGGAACACTATGGGAAGTGCCTGTACTGGTAATATGGGAGTGTGATTGGGCGCTGCTGTTGTAAATGCAGTGGCAGGTGTGTGTTACAATCATGCCTCAGTCACATGGTATTTACAAAGCAAGCTCACCAACAAATAGTTTACCGTGCACAAAACCTGCACTCTCTCTGCCTTCTGATTGCTGGAAGCTGCTGAATCTGTGAGCTTTTTGTTCAGAAGACACGACTCACAGTGAGTTTACATTGAAAACCAAGCACTGTTTACCAATATGCATTTGCATTTAGACATTTTCATGAAAATATAACTCATTTCACCCCAAATTGTAATTAGTGCTGTGCAAAAAAAAAAATCGTTTTTTTCCACATTAGAGTTATTAGTTCTTGCATTACAGTAGGTAACTGTGAATTTGGGTTGATAATTAATGTTTAGTTAGTGCTTTTTCATGCAAAAAAAATCTTTATGGTCCTAAAGTAGGCTTCGTTTTTTTTTTTTTTTTTTTTGCAAAATGTGTTTTTTTTTTTTTTTTTTGAGGGTGATTGTGAGATTCACAAACCCACACACACATTTCAGTCTTGCATCTAGAGATTTAACAAGCATAAAAATTGTGTCTAGGATGCAACTATACTCAAACACATCTTTAACATGAGATATATGTGTAGCTGCTGTCTTGCATCAAAGAAAAAATATTTTTGTTGTTTTTCTGATAATTATCAGTTTCTTATTTTGCAACGAAACATTTTTTGTTCAGTGGTTTCCTTTTGTTGTAACAAAAAGAAAAAAAACAACATTTTTTAAAATTTAAAAACAACAAGAACCTTATTGAAAGAACCTACGGTTACCATTTTCTTTTGTGAACATTAAACAAGCTGTCATTAAATGCACCGTCTTCTCCGTTTTTTAAGAAACACAGCGGCCCATAAAAAGTATTCAGACACTGTGCATCTTTCTTTAGATAAATGATATTTTTTTATTTAATGCAACAAACACATTTTACAAGCAAAAACATTTATTTATTTAATCCTCTGATGCAATGATAAATGCACATTTTCCATGTGCCGAAAGTGTCCAAATACATTTTAGGGCCATTTTAAGTGTGAATGCACACAGTATTTGCATGAAAAGCCAGTATTTCAAAGTTCTGAATTATTGACTCATTTCTTAATGTATAAATGGATTTGTGTTGTTCTAGGAGAGCAGCCATGACTTCCCTCATCCAGCACTGAGCTAAAACATCTCCTCATCCGGATCATTTTTATCATGATGTTAAATTTGTGGTTTTCAAAAGTTCACCTGCAGGGAACTTAATGGGGCGGTCTGAAAGTGCAAAGCGCAGGTCTTTACGGCGCGACAGTCTCCTCCTCTAATGTTACCGCTGTGGGTCAGCGTGGAGCTCACAGGTCGTTGGACTCGGGCGAGTATCCCACGCCCCATCCCCGCGGGGCTCTGTTGAAGTTGCGTCGTTTGGACATGGTGGCCAAGGTCATGCCAGGAAGATTTTGAGTCTCCAGAGTTTCAAACCCAATAACAGGAATCACCCTCTGACTGCGCACAGGACCTCCAAACGGCACCGCGGCTCTGAAATAAAAACCAAACGATGAAGAGTTGGATCAGGATACATTTCAAAACAGTGTTTCGTTTCAAAACACACTAAATGCATGCATAAACCGAATGAAAGCTCACTGAGGTGATACCACAGAAACCAGAAGTCATAGAAGTCCTCTGCTATTCTTCTGGCACAGTTATTATATTATCAAACTCACTGGTTCGTCCAGGTCGCGCATCGTATGGCCTAATGTTTTGCTGCCATTTTAGTACAATTTCTGACATCTTTGCAGGAATGTGATGTGAATATCTATCTTTAGCAACACTGAAAGTGAATAGCACATATTCAATTCATTGGGGTTCTATATTATAGTGCAGTAGATTAATGGCATATTTCAAGAGAATCGTTCAAATTGGTATAGAAGCATAACGTTTGGCACAGATACTCACTAAAGGTCACTTTTTGTGAAAAAGGCGTTGGCCACCCAAAAATTCAACATGGTGGCCATTTTTTCAAGATGGCCGCTATTTCTGTCAAATGCGGATTATGTCAACCGTTCAAACTACTAGGGTTGGGTATCGTTTGAATTTAAACGATTCTGATTCCGATTCCTTGTTTCGATTCCGGTTCCTAACGATTCTCGATTCCGATTCTTTTAAGAGGAGGGGTCAAAAAAGTTTAGCTAACCTTGCTAACCAATGGCCTTTCTGAAGGAAATACTCCTTCTGTAAAAATACTCCTTTTGTCACAAATTTTGCATTTTGCCGAGATTTCGTTATTTTTAGAAAAGTGAAGCCACACTTTGGATCGCCAACGTAAGGTACTCATGTTCGACTCGCGTGGTTATGCCAACACTTCCGGTAGACGCTTCTTCATTGGTGTTGTTCAGCGGTTTCTTCTTCCGCTCGGCGGACTGTGAATATCGAAACTAGGATTCGAATTTTTTACTTTTGAACGATTCCGGGAAAAACGAAAAGTTAGTCTCGGTTCCAATCGATACTCTATTCTCGATACCCAACCCTACAAACTACTGTATGAAAATACTCTCTTCTCTCACAAAAAAACCGTGCTTGTCCCCTTAAAAAGTTTAAGATGGTAACCATTTTTTTCAAGATGGCCGACATTTTTCTTGAATCCTTAAATCTTTTTTTTTTTTTCAAATGGTGATGCAATCGTGAAATTTGGTACAAATATTCTTCAATGAACATTATCATGGAAAAAGGGTGTGTGCCACTCAAAAATTCAAGATGGTGACCAAGATTCAAGATTTTTCCAAAAGAGTGTTCCTCGAGTATGTCCGCCTAATTTTATGCTTGCATCACCATTTGAACAATTGAAAAGGAACGGTGGACATCTTTAAAAATGGCGACCATCTTGAATTTTCGAGGGACAAGCATCTTTTTCCAATAACATGTTCTTTGGAGAGTTTTTGTATCAAATATTATGCTTGGATCACTGTTTGAATAATTGATATAATCTACATTTAATAGCAATGGCGGCCATCTTGAAAATTGGCCGCCATATTGAATTTTTGAGTGGCCAACGCCTTTTTCCAAAAAAGTGGCCCTTAGAGAGTATCTGTACCAAATTTCAAGCTTCTATACCAAAGTGAATGGTTTTTTTTTACTAATCTGCTGTACTAATATAGAAATCTAGGGTTCTTGACTCAATTTTAAGTTTTCGATACAGGGCCTGATATGAACAATCCCCAAGCTCCGAATGAGAGTAAAAGGAGTGTGTTTCCCATAGACTGCCGTAACTCGATGCTTCACTACCGTAGTATGACGCATCGTTGAAGAAATCAACTAGATAGCAGTGACTGTTTCCCAAAAGCATATTGTCGCAAAGTGGCCGTCTCAGTGTGGAAGGAAGGACAAAACAGAGAAAACGAGTTTTCAAATGAATCCAGATTAGGTTATAAATCCATAATATAACATATTTCATAAGTATTCAATGAGATTGAATGGTTTTATCCATCAGGTCTTGATGGTATAAAGTGGGAAGTCAATCTGGAATACAACTGAATATAAGTTTCGAGAAGCTGCATTTGATTTTGCCCAGTTTCAAAACGATCACTCAATGCACATCCAGACCCAAGATATTCCTGTCTGGATTGGACTCAACCTGGTGACGCAATTCTACTTTGTATCTGAGATTCTCCCGTGTGCCAGCCCGGTTCCTTAAATAGTTCCTCAGTCATTCGCTCCTCTGTGGATCTCGTTTCAAATGGGAAGACGCAGTGGAAACATTGAAGCTCTCTTAAGTGCACTTCATAATTCGATAGGGTGGATTAGTTTCGTTGGTTACGTTAAAGTAATCATCACGCATGAAGTTAATGTGCCAAAACCTCTCCGTGACCATCAAGGCCGCTTCTCGGATCAGGTTTAGCCTCCGTTTTATGATCCCGTGGACTGGAGAATGGACTTAATCCTTCCCATATAAAGAAGTTGTTAGGGGAATCCCAACCCTACATGGGCCAAAGTATTGTGTCACGTTTTTGTGATTGATCCAACTTGTTCTTTTTTGTTTCAGCCATCCAATAGGTTTTCAATCAGATTTGCACTCACAACTACCAGTCCCAAGTGATGTGCAAATTAAAGTCGATTGGTAGGTTGGCACATTCTCCGACATGTTAAGCTCAGGTGGGTGACATAAGTTTGAATGTGCCTTACATTATCATTTAGTTTTTTCATAGTTTTTACATCTTATCCAAAGCACTTACAAATGACTTGCATGTCGTTACCATAGATATCTATATAAAGGCCATCTTGTCACAGGCAGCTCGCTCACTGGTAACATTGTGTTAATGGTACATGTACTATTTAAATGACCATAACTTGCTCAATTTTCTACCGATTTTCAAACGGTTTGTTTTGTTATAAACGTCAGAGATGTAGTTATGACAAAAAAAGAGGTGTAGTTATGACACTGCATATTTATGAATAAAAAGTGTATAAATAAACAATCATCCAGATAATTATAGCCATGTTAATAACGTTTGTAAGAAACCAAACCGTTTGTAAATCCGTCAAGATTTCAACGAGATAAGAGTATTTGTGTTCGTGCTGACCACTCATCTTACATCAGCTTGTCTGTGACAAGATGGCCGCCGGTGATGACGATGGAAACTCCGCCATAACACATCTAGCATTTATCTATCTTGCGATCGAGAAGGCCCTTAAAATGGCAGACTCCCAGATCAGTGCCCTGACTACTCAACTATTTTTTTATTTAACCTTTATTTAACCAGGTGAGCAAGTAGAGAACACAGTCTATATTAATTTCACCTTTTAAGTAATTACTGAAATAAATGAACTTTTGAAGAATATTCAAATTTATCGAGTTTCACCTGTAACGTTAGAGGACATAACGTTTTTAACGGTTGTGAAGTAAATACTTATTCAAAAATATACATATCTTGCGATCGAGACGGCCCTTAAAATAGCAGACTCCTGATCAGTGCCCTGACTACTCAATTATTTTTTTTATTTAACCAGGTGAGCAAGTAGAGAACACGGTCTATATTAATTTCATCTTTTAAGTAATTACTGAAATAAATGAACTTTTGAAGGATATTCAAATTTATCGAGTTTCACCTGTAACGTTAGAGGGAGGACATAACGTTTTTAACGGTTGTGAAGTAAATAACTACTCAATATGCGATCTAGGACACTTGTTTTGTACCGTCTTACCTGTTAAAGCACCGGTAATTCGCTGGCGGGAGTTTCTGTGGCGGTTGAGGAGGTAGCTGAGTGTTGAGCGAAGAGAGAAGCTCTTCACTTTCTCCTAGGGCTTCTTGCCACGGTGAACAATAAGACTTCGGGATCACCGTGGCGTTGAATTTCTCCCGAGGGATCTCTCTTAGCGGTCCGGAGTAGCCTAAAAGGATAGGATGGTGCTTGGTGATTCACAGGGCCAATAATAGAGGGAGCTTTGCTGTCCTGAAGCACATTCTAGCATGCGACTAGCACGCAAACGCATTAGCGGAAATTATTCGGACTGGTCTGTTCAGGGTAAACTGGCAGATAAGGAGACTGAAACAGGAGATGGATGTTTATTTAGGGATCCACAGACGGAGATCAACATTAGAGTTAATTATGAGACGAGCTAATGATATCAGCTCAACGTCGCTGTCAAAGACGTCAGAAAAAAAACGTTACGAGCATATTCCTCTTGCGCACTGTAAAATAATTTTCTTGACTAGCTCTGTTTGAATTCCAGTTAAAGATAAATATACTTGAGAAGCACCACTAATAGTTCCAATTACGCTTTAAAAAAATTATTTACATTTTTAAATTTTTTTTTTTAATTATTTTAATGTTTGTTAATATTGAAATGTGTATGTTTTTATTATGTATTCTAATATAGTCATAAGATTGTGTTGTATTTTATATTTTATTTATATTATTATAGTAATTAAGATTCTGAATTAGCTTTTATTTTTATATTTTCAGTGTTATTTTGTTTTAGTAACATTATGTAGCCTACTTTTAAAGAAAAACATTCTTTATTGCTTAATTTAAAATTTTAAATTCAACTTTAATCCTATTTATTTCTGTTTTACTTAACCTTTGTTTAAATCACATACAATTATTTAGTTCTCGAGTACATTTATCTTGTTTTGAGGATTTTACTGTAGACATTTTTAGAGATTTTGATTTTACTGTAGAGCCTAAAAAATGATTAAAACGTTTAAGTTTTTATGTGTACTGATTTTAAATCAACTTATTCATAGTAAGATAATTTAACGTCTATATCTTGCTGCCATTTAAGGTGGGTGGTTGCTAAGGTGTTGCTAAGCAGCTGATAAGTGTTTAGTGTGGTTTTTGTTTCATTGCTATATATTTTCTGGGATATTCTGAATGAATGATTAAATGAGGTATCACAGGATATTTTTGGATTCAGATTTGCTCAAGTCACAACAGTCGTATTTAGTAGTATGTGATATAATGTGATTCATCCAAACTCATTAAATGTGTTTGATATGTAACAATTGGTAATATTGTTGAGAAAGCAGTGAGTACCTGGTGCGAGGACGTTTGGGCTTCCTTTCTTGGCCACCGTGTTCTTCAGGCTTGTGACGAGACTGTGTTTTCCAGCCACTGGATACAGCAGGTTTTCTTTCCCGCCCTGCATGTCTGTCATCATGTGGTTCTGGTTCTGGATTTGATTCTGATCCATGTCGTTCTGTTGGAAGAGTTTCAGGGTGGAGAGGTTCGTTCAATGTCTTGTAAAGCATGAATGTGGGACCATTAACCTGGATATTATATAATATTACGGACACATAGTTTTCATTAAATATGTTTCATTTTGCTTAAGCTTTATTCAAATTACAGTTAACTATCATTAACAGTTTTAGTTAGCAATAACAACACAGTTCTCAAGAAACAATTATCTTGTATTTTGATATTTTAACAAAAATGTTGCCTTGGCAAATATATATATAAGCATATTTTGGGTAAGTTGAAAGTGGGTAAGCTCAAAATATTTAACAAGCGTTTTTACACTTTGTTATTTATTTTTTAAATGAGCGATGTTTTCGCTAGATAAGACCCTTATTCATCGTCTGGTGTCGTTTAAAGCCCTTTGAAGCTGCACTGAAACTCTCATTTGGACCTTGAACCGTTTGGACCCCATTGAAGTCCATTATATGGAGAAAATCCTGGAATTCCAATATTTCTTTTCGACTGAAGAAAGAAAGACATGAACATCTTGGATGACATGGGGGTGAGTAAATTATCAGCAAAAGTTTTTTTTTTAAAAGTGAACTACTCCTTTAACTCGATCTTAATCCGTTTAATCTCAAATTTGTTTGTGACCGTTTAACAAATTTACACGTTTTACGAGTAAAATATATATGCTGGAGTATAATTCTCAAAATATATCAGAAGTAGACCCTTTAAAGAATATATGTACAAAATATGATAGTTCTATCTGTTAATTAAGATGTTTTACATACTAGGCTACGTTTTGTAGTAGTCAGACGAAGACATCTTCTTCTAGATGTGCAAGCAGGAAGTAAACTAATCTGGTCATGTGACCTTTCACACTAGTTACATGACATTAATAGATTTTAATCAAGACAATTTTTTATTTTTATTTTACTTAAAGGGATACTCCACTTTTTTTGGAAATAGGCTCATTTTAACACTCCCCCAGAGTTAAAAAGTTGAGTTTTACCGTTTTCGAATCCATTCAGCCGATTTTTTTTTGATATTTCGAAGAATATCAGTAACCAGACAGTTTCTGGTCTCATTGACTTCCATAGTATATTTTTTTCCTACTGTGGAAGTCAATGAGACTAGAAACTGCCTGGTTACTAATATTCTTCTAAATATCAGAAAATCAGCTGAATGGATTCGAAAATGGTAAAACTCAACTTTTTAACTCTGGGGGAGTGTTAAAATGAGCCTATTTTCAAAAAAAAGTGGAGTATCCCTTTAAAAGTTGAATTTCTTGCCCAAAGCCTTAAATAACAACATCTTTAGAGCTTCCAGAAATATGAAAAAAGATGCGGTCACAGTTGTGACGCTGTAAACAGGGCCGTAGTGATCCGACGAATGCCTCTCTTCTGTATTGTTGTGGTGTAATCCAAACTCTGGATATGCATTTGTTTCTCTTACGTATATGCCGGCGGTGTGAGCGTCTCCTGAGTTCTCCAGCGTGAATCTCTCCACTCTCCTCTGACGCTCCTGGAACATGATGGATCCTCTGTTGCTGTTCAGCTTCAACTCCTCCATCATCACATCCCTGGGAACGCTGATCTTCTTCCCCAGGTTAAGACCTACACACACACACATGCACAAAAGTTTAAAATTATAGATAGATTTAAAAAGTTTCAATTAAATGCTGTTCCTTTGAACCTTCTCATCGTAGAATCATGACAAAAAAAGTTTCCACAAACAAAAAATCTGGAGCAACACAACTCTTTTCACCATTGATAACAATCATACATGTTTCTTGAGCAGCAGAAGGATTTCTGACGGATCATGTGACACTGAAGACTGAAATATATTCCCATTGAAAACAGCTATTTTGAATTGCAATAATATTTCACAATTTTTACTGTATTTTTGATCAAATAAAAGCAGCTTTGAGACTTCATTCACAGGGTATCTGCGGGGTCTTGAAAAGTATTAAAAGGTGATAAACCAATTTTGGGAAAATTAAGACCCTTAAAAAGTCTTATCACGGCTTTATAAAGTCTTAAATTTTAAAAGTATTTTTTTCTGAATTAGCCGTCCAACAGTTTGAGTCCCAAAAACATCATAAAAGTGTGTGAATTTAGTCATTTTTGTTAAAAAAAACGAACAGATAGTTAAAAAACTAGGCTATTGTGGGTGTGTTCGTAAATTGCCTCTGAGAGGTGGGCGGAAGTTCAAAAGCACAATGTACACTCTGGCGTTCCCAGTGCGTATTACAACGCACCAAAATGTTTTAAGTTTTTTTAATAAACTTTGCTTTGATTTACTATCCCAGCCTTTTTGATTTTTTGTATCAGAGTGGTCTATAGTCTTTATCGCAAACTAAAACTGTTAAGTTAAAAGTATCACTGATGTAAATGGTTATAGCTTGAAGTGGCGGTGAGGTATTAAAAAATATTGAGAAGGTCTTGAAATTAACTTCAAGATTCCTGCATATACCCTGATTCAGAAAAAGCTTACAGAGCCGAAATGATGTAATTCAGTGCCCTTGTGGTTCAAAATCTGGATTGGTTTAGTTGTGTTTGTGAGTGGGGCTTTGCTGTCCAAACACATTTCTAGGGCCGCTCCGTATATATTTCCTTTCCCCCGAGAGGTTCAAGAACATTGTTTGGTGAGTGAGTCGTCTCTGGGTTCTCCTGTGGCGGCTGCTGTCGTGTCTGCGGTGTTATGAATGTTAACAGTGATGATTATTATTAGACTCGGTGTTGGGACCCTTGGAGGAATGGACTCGCCCTGAAGTGGCATCTTCAGTCGTGTATTCTTCTACAGTTCCCTCTGCAGAGTCGGGTTCAGCTGTGATGCGAACGAACACACGGAGGCGAGTGTTGGGATAGTTTCAGGAATGTTGGATGTGGAGATTCTCCTCTGTTTAAATCACTCGAGTCACTGCGGGAGAATCTATTCCTGCTCCTGTCAATCAACTCTGAGTCTCTGCAGGACTGAAGTCCATCCAGAAGGACCGTCTCTGATTCTTTGTTTTTTTTTTATCAGGATATATTATTGGGGGTATGTAAGTGTAGGAATGTGTGTTTTTGTCTATAGGGCTTCATCCGAGTGTGTGTGTGTGTGTGTGTGTGTGTGTGTGTGTGTGTCGTACCTCCCTTTGCCTCTCTGCTCAGGATCATGGCCTGCTGCTGTCTCTGTTTGGTCAGACTATGATGTGCGTTCTGCATCTCCGTCTGCACACACATCAACATCACTGTGAATGATTGCATCTTGCTTTTAATAATAAATATTATTATTATTTATATAATATATTTGATGCAAATATTATTATTTATGTTAATATCAATTATCAATATTATATGTTATATAAATATTAAATGTAATAATAACATTAATATTAATAATTGTTTTTGTTTAATTGATTTAATTGTTAAGTTCTACTCTAGTTGTGTCCTAATCCTTTGTAATGATTTCCTTTGTGTTGTAATTGTAACATCCATTACATTTAAATATATTTATTTCAATATTTAATTTCAATAATGTATTTAAAAATATTATATTATAATAATAAAATAAAATGATCAAATTTTGTAACATCCAGTACATTTTATTTGACTTATCTTTATAAAGTAATTATATTCTAATAATATTCTTTCTAATTATATTCTAATTATATTAATAATATATTAATAATATCATTATTAATATTATTTTTATTAATAATAGTATTAATATAATATTAATATATAATATTCGTTCTAGTTATATTCTAATAATAAAATAATTATTAAAATAATACAATTATAGTATTGCATATAATATGACTTATATATTGATATCATTTTATAGGTAAAAGCCTATATATCAGTTAATTTTTTTAAATTTTTTTTTTACATAAAGTAAACTATGCCCCTCAAAATCAACTCCAGGGGTAAAATGTTGGCCCCCATAGTTAATTATTAATAAATAAATAAAAAATATTGGAGAAATTGTAATTGAAAAAGTTATTTTTTATTTACTCTACTAAATGCTACAGTTTAGTTTAGTTAATCTGTTCTCATAGAAGCAACAGGAAGAATTTTGTCATGCTAAAAGTTCAGATTTTACAGATTGCAATGCACACAGCTGGCATGCGGATTACACACACACACACACACACTCATTTAATCCCTCGTACTCTGGCTTACCTGAGTGTGTGCTGGAGAAGATGATGTTGTGTGTCTTGGCTGAGCTCTGTGATTGTGTGTGAGAGGGTGAAGCTCCTTTCTATAGACTCACCGCCTGATGACATCATCGCTGCTAATTTAGCCAAACGACCGGAGCTAAATGGGGCAAAGCATTTTGTCCCTGACGTGCACCTGCCAACCCCTCATAATAAAAACCTGATGCCGGTTTTGCTTGTGGAGCGGTCCAAGCCTGTCTGCAAGTTGTGTGACTGTGTGTATTTGTGTTAGTTGTCTTGCTGTCCTAAATGTCCATTTGCAAGAACGGTGACTATAAAAGAATAAAGCTGTAGGCAGCAATTAAGGGGCCAAACACAAAGAAGGCACAATACGTCATGCCATCATTGCTGGGAGCACCCGCAACAATGAGAAATTAAAGGCTTATTAAAAGGATTTCAGGCAAAAAACACAAATAAAATCACTAGTAATGTGATTTAATGGTTTATCACTTTTGACCAATAAGTGGCGCTGTTACAAAATGGGTTAGAGTAAGGTGACTGACACAAAATTTGGTGTCAATCTGTCAAAGCGGTTTCATCTATCGATATGAAATTCATAACTTTTTGCCGGCATAGTCTGAAGATGATACAAATCGATTTTGGTTAAAATTGGACCAATGATCTAGGAAGAGTTTGAAAAAGTAGGTTTTTAAAGAAAAACAAAATGGCGGATGGGGAGTTCGGCCAACAATGGCAAAATTTGCATCTATGTTCCTGGCATTACCAAAGGAAACTATTAAGACCAGTTTAATTATTATAGGTTAATATAATCAAAAGTTATTAGCATTTTTAAAAATATTTTATTAAAACTTTTAAGCACAAGGTGGCGCTGTCCCAAAACATTTTGAGTATCTTCAGGGCATGGCTGCTGAAGACACATACCAATTTGTGTAACGATATACACCAATATGTTAGTAAAATAAAGCATTTTACGACAAAAATCAAAATGGCAGACTCCCAAAATGGCCGAAATGGGAAAATTGGGTATTGTTCGACTTTTTTTGGCCAAACTTTTCAGAAGTTATAAGCAAAAAGAGCCATTTTTCATACCTCCTGACCACTAGGTGGCACTGCGCTGAAACTGTGCAGGTAGCCTCAGTTCATGGTTGTCAAAACACACACCAAGTTTGGTCTGAATACGCTAAAGCGTTGTGGAGAAATAGCCTACGAATACGTTCGCGTGTTATTCGAGAACGGCTTGATGAATCAACTTGAATTCCATAACTTTTTTTCAGCAAGGACAGAAGACGATCTGGTTCAATCTTCGTGAAAATCGAACAAATTTAAAAATGGCGAATCGAATTGAATTGAGCCAAGGAATCAGGCGCAAAAATAATTTTGTTTCTAGCCCTTATGGTTCAAAAGTTATTAGCGTAAACATGAGTGCATCTTTGGCCAGTTGGTGGCGCTAGAGGGATTGAGATGGAGACTCCAAATTTGGTATGAAGAGAGTTCAGACTGTCCTCTATCTTTGTGCCAAATTTCACAACTTTCCTGCAATCAGGTCTATGGGCTGTCAATCATAGACTTCCAGAGCGGAAACTTTGATGCATTTTTTTCTAGGATTCTTTGATGAATAGAAAGTCCAAAATAACATAATTTATTTGAAATAGAATCTTTTGTAACATTAAAAATGTTTTACTGTCACTTTTAATCAATTTAATGCATCCACTATTCATATAAAGCGAATAGTATATGCATTATTTGTTTGGTAAATATTAAAGTATTAATATGGTTCTGCCAATACGTTTATTTTGTTGTTGCAAGGAACAAATTTCCAACACTAAACTATTAAAAACTCTCCTAACACGCTTACTGTTATATCAGACATTATATTTGTGGAAAAAGCAGGTGAAAGGAAAGAGCAGCATGTGTCTGTGAGAGGTCTACATCTGTTAATACTCAAAGTCACCAGCCGCTGACATTATAACAATAGAGCTGAAGAGTTTGAGGACGTTTAAAACCATTCCTGATTCTCCTGAGCGATTCTCGAGACCGGGACTGTGAGCCGCAAACCTCTGAGACGGTCAGTTCAATTTCTCACACTATGCATTGAGTTTTCTTTAATGAGAGATTGTGACAGGTCAGGTTTCTTTGTCAACATGCTATCTGTGATTTGTGCATTTTAGAAAGATCTTTTTATTTTCCTGGACATACTCCGTTGTGTGTCGGGATGTACGGGCTGCTGTGTGAAAGTCTCCATGACTTCATTAAGGAGTCGTACGGTGACGATGTGTGGAAACTGGTCAGAGAGAGAGCCGACGTCAGACTGCACTCCTTCGTAACTCATCAGGTTGGAATCTCATATTATTGTGAGAGAAAATACTAAAAACTTGTGTATAAGAAAAATCATTACATTTATAAAAAGAGTTCCTCAGGAAATGGCAAGCCGGATTGGATCAGAGTTGCACAAATATAAAGTTCTGTCATGAAACTGTACTGACGCAGGATGATCGGTCCTTAACTCAATCTGCTATAGTCACATCATTCTCTATAGGCCACAGCTGAGTGGTTACTGCTGTATCAGTAGCCAATGAGCTCAACCTTCAACAACTGCTCAGGGGTGTAAATCGGAGCCTTAATGACCGATTTATTAAGCCAATCGATTACTCGATTCTCTTGTGGACGCAACAATGCATTGAATCGTCGGCTGTATAATTGATGGATCGATATGAATCGATTAATATTTACACCCCAAGTGTTTTCTGTAGCAGTTGCAGTGTGCTTTCCGAAACGCTCCAGCATCCCCAGCTCCGCCTGTATAGATCTGCTTCGGGTTATTCGTGCTAAATATAATGCTATTCTGTACAGTAGCAGCATGTCTTACTGATCACAGCAGAGTGTCTTGTGTGTATTGGTAGTAGCAAGTCCTTTATTTGATTTGCTCCAGCAGTAATCACCAAAATCAGCAGCCATAACCAAAATCTGCAGCAATAACCAAAACCAGCAGCCAAAACCAAAACCAGCAGCCATAACCAAAACCAGCAGCCATAACCAAAATCTGCAGCAATAACCAAAACCAGCAGCCAAAACCAGCAGCCATAACCAAAATCAGCAGCCATAACCAAAACCAACAGCCAAAATCAAAATCAGCAGCAATAACCAAAAATCTGCAGTAATAACCAAAATCAGCAGCAATAACCAAAAATCAGCAGCCATAATCAAAATCAGCAGCAATAACCAAAAATCTGCAGTAATAACCAAAATCAGCAGCCAAAACAAAAATCAGCAGCAATAACCAAAATCAGCAGCAATAACCAAAATCAGCAGCAATAACCAAGATTAGCAGCCAAAACCAAAGTCAGCTGCAATAACCAAAATCAGCAGCCATAACTTAAATCAGCAGCAATAACCAAAATTAGCAGCCAAAACCAAAATCAGCAGCCAAAATCGGCTGCCATAACCAAAATCATCTGCCATAACCAAAATCAGCAGCCATAACCAATATCAGCAGCCAAAATCAGCTGCCAAAACCAAAATCAGCAGCCAAAACCAAAATCTGCTGCCAAAACCAAAATCTGCTGCCAAAACCAAAATCAGCAGCCAAACCCAAAATCAGCTGCCAAAACCAAAATCAGCAGCAATAACCAAAATCAACAGTCAAACCCAAAATTAGCTGCCAAACCCAAAATCAGCTGCCAAACCCAAAATCAGCAGCCAAACCCAAAATCAGCAGCCAAACCCAAAATCAGCAGCCAAACCCAAAATCAGCAGCCAAAACCAAAATCAGCAGCAATAACCAAAATCAGCAGCCATAAATAAAATCAGCAGCAATAATCAAAATCAGCAGGAATAACTAAAATCAGCAGCCAAACCCAAAAATAGCAGCCATAACCAAAATCAGCAGCAAAACCCAAAATCAGCAGCAATAACTAAAATCAGCAGCCAAACCCAAAAATAGCAGCCAAACCCAAAAATAGCAGCAATAACCAAAATCAGCAGCAATAACCAAAACCAGCAGCAATAACCAAAATCAGCAGCAATAACCAAAATCAGCAGCAAAACCCAAAAATAGCAGCCATAACAAAAATCAGCTGCAAAACCCAAATTCAGCAGCCATAACCAAAACCAGCAGCAATAACCAAAATCAGCAGCCATAAATAAAATCAGCAGCCATAACCAAAATCAGCAGCCATAAACAAAATCAGCAGCCATAAACAAAATCAGCAGCCATAACCAAAATCAGCTGCCAAACCCAAAATCAGAAGCCATAAATAAAATCAGCAGCCATAATCAAAATCAGCAGCAATAACTAAAATCAGCAGCCAAACCCAAAAATAGCAGCCATAACCAAAATCAGCAGCCATAACCAAAATCAGCAGCCATAACCAAAATCAGCAGCAATAACCAAAATCAGCTGCCATAAATAAAATCAGCAGCAATAATCAAAATCAGCAGTAATAACTAAAATCAGCTGCCAAACCCAAAATCAGCTGCCATAAATAAAATCAGCAGCCATAATCAAAATCAGCAGCAATAACTAAAATCAGCAGCCAAACCCAAAAATAGCAGCCATAACCAAAATCAGCTGCCATAAATAAAAACATTTTTTTTAACGAAAACATTTCCAAGTTGTGAATTTTAAAACATCAGTTAATGCTAAAATATGATCCATATAGAGTTAGTGAGTGAAATATTCTATTATAGTTGTCACTTTGATGCTGTCAAATTACACATATAAAGATGGAATCAACATTGCTCTTCATAACAAAAATATTTCTGTGTGGTTATACGTGTGTGTGTTCGTGTAGGTCTACAGTGAGAGTGTGATTCCACGTATCGCCAAAGCAGCGAGTGGCGTTACAGGAACACCCTATAATGAGCTCATGAACTCATGGGGGGTTTATTTCCTTGGATTCGTGGGGAAATACGGATATGACCGAATCCTCAAGGTGCGTTCATAGTCTGATATTAGTTCAATCCCTGTGCTTGACCTCTAAGGTCAGAGTGTTCGTATCCTCTTGTATCTGCATTGAAATGCACACTTTGCCTTTATGTGTTTGTATGTTGTTCATGTGTTTTTGTGCGTCAGGTGTTGGGCCGCCATGTGCGTGACTTTGTAAACGGTCTGGATAACTTGCATGAGTACCTGCGCTTCAGTTACCCGAAAGTCCAGCCTCCGACCTTCTTCTGCCAGGAGGAATCAGCGACAGGAGTCACACTGCATTACAGGTGTGTGTGTGTGTGTTTGTAAAAGTGTGTGTGTGTGTTCAGGAGCAAGTGTAAAGGTGTGTGTGTGTGTTCAGGAGCAAGCGTAAAGGTTACCTGCACTACGCGATGGGTCAGCTGAGACAGATGGGGAAACAGTTCTACGACACCGACATCCACGTGGAGGTTTTGTCGGAGCAGCTGGTGGGAGATTATTCCCACGTCACCATGAGGTGAGACGACGTGTGTGTGTGTGTGTGTGTGAACCAGTTTACCTGATCGACTGGTGCCATCTGTGGGGCTTGAGTTATTAAACACAAATAATTCAAAGAGTAATCAGCATTTCTGGATGTTGAACAACTAAGTATCAAATCGTACATGGAATGAAACGATGGTATTTTTATTTCAGATTAAACTTTGATAACTCTGCGTATCGATATATCCAGAAAGAGGACGAAGAGGAGCAAGAGATCCTTCCCATCACCAGCGACTTTTTCTTCGAAGTTTTTCCCTTCAACATCGTGTTTAGACAGGTGAGTTCCTCCTGTCGTCTCCTCTTCTCTGGTGAAGTGACCATAACACGTCTGCTCGGATCCGACAGGATATGGTTGTGCATAACGTGGGCTCCGGATTGGCCACTGTCTTTCCTGATCTGGATGGGAAGAAGATCAATGATGCTTTTCTACTCGCGCGTCCTCTTGTGGAGTTCACATGGAATATGGTGTGTCATTTTTAATAACAATATACAGTGTTAAAATATTTTAGTCATTATTGTAATGATTATTATTTATTCTTTTAAATGTACAGTATTAATTCATTAAATATTCATTTAAAGTCATTTTAAAGTAATTTGTTAATGTAATGATGAATAAATAATGTATAAATTATGTATATTATGTATAAATTATATATATATATATAAATATTCATTTAAAGTCATTTTAAAGTAATGTGTTAATGTAATGATGAATAAATAATGTAGAAATTATGTATATTATGTATAAATTATATATATATATATATATACACACACATAAATATTTGATATTGATTAATGTTATTAATTATAGTAATATAAATCATATATATATATATATTACATTTATTAAATATTTTTGTAATTTAAATCGTAATTTAAAATGACAATAATATTAACTATATAATATGAATATTTATTTTAAATATATTAAAATAATATGATATTAATTGTTATGAAATAACTTAAAATTTTGATTGTTTATTGATGTTTATTTTTATATATATATAATATACTTGTATTGTACGAATTATAATATTATTATTATATACTGTGTATTTGTGTGTGTTTATATATATATATATATATATATATATATATATATATTCATTAAATAATTTAATTTAAATTACAATTTAAAAATAATTGTTTTCTTTTTGAATATATTGTATTTGTAATTTAATACTTTGAAAACGGAGCCGATGCTCTGCCTGAGGGTTCAGTAATCTATACTTATCCACAGTTATTCTTTAATTTAAACAATTAATAAATCAGTGATACCAAACTTACAATCATCAATAAAAGAGAGTTGCATTATATTGAAGAATATCAGTTAATAAATCTCCCCATGGTCTCTGACAGATCATCTCCCACCCCAACAACCTGTTTGAGATCATGTCGAAGGAGCCGGTGAAGCGAGAGAGGAACCTTAATAACAGAGTTCAGAGTAAGAAAGGTATTTATTCACTGAAGATCTCATATATATATATGTATAGATATGTATATATGTATATTTGATGATGATTCTGTGTGTCAGACTCTGATTATGAGAACGCCAATCGCTCGGCTGACGTGGATGTGGAACTGATGGCCTTTCAGTCGATCATCAAGGACGATTATAAAGGTCAGTCGCATCTCTCACCTCACTCTTTTGATTTAAAGAGATCGTTCAGTAAATGCCAATAATTCTATTGCTATATACTCACGCTCATGTTATTTCAAACCTGTTTGACTTCCTTGATGCCATTAAATACAAAAATAGAGAGCGTGAGTAGAATGTGCCTGATACTCGTTTTCATATAATATAATATAATATAATATAATATAATATAATATAATATAATATAATATAATATAATATAATATAATATACATACATAAATATAACTTATAATTATATTTAATTCTGTGTGTATTTTTGTGTGCGTAAAACACAACATTTTGATTCTCTACTACATAGTCATACAGATGAAACGTATTTCCTTTTGAAATTAAAGGTCAAATGGGTTTGAAACAACATGAGGGTGAATAAATGAGTGTTTTAACAGTAGTGTAGTTTTGATCAATTAATTTTTGCATTCTGGTCTATTTTGATCCATCCATCCATCCATTCATTCATAACTATCCGTCCATCCATCCATTCATCCATCCGTATACTCTACACACAATTAATGCCAATAAAGCACTACATTTTTTAAAAAAATTTGAAATTAATATGGGTTTGAATCAATATGTTGAAATTTTGCATTTGGGTCCATGTGATATGTGAGTGAGTGAGTATGTATGTATGTGTGTGTGTGTACTGTATGTATTTATGTAGATCTGTATGTATGTTTAGACAACTTATTAATACTCTACAGTCATGCCAATAAAGTGTATTTGATTTTGAATTTGAAAGTTTTGATTTGAAACATGAGATTTGAAGAAAATACAATCATAAAGTAATACTAACATGTCAGATCAAGTTCTTCTGTGGATGGTGTCAGATGGAAACAGTGTGAACGCCACGGAGAGCTGGGGAGACGGCAGCCGCTGCCTGAAACTGAAGGGTCAGATGAGGTTCATGCCGGAGTGGGACTCCATCATCTTCCTGGGGACTCCAGTGTAAGACACACACACACACACACACACACTTATAGTAAGACTTGCAGGTGCATTTTTTATGCACTAGTGTACTCTGCCCCACCTCATCCAAGATGTTCATGTCTTTCTTTCTTCAGTTGAAAATAAATTAAGGTTTTTGAGGAAAATATTCCAGGATTTTCTCCATATAATGGACTTCAACGGTTATCAGTGGATTGAAGGTCAAGATTTCATTGCAGCTTCAAAGTCTCGACACGATCACAGCCGAAGAGTCTTATCTACACAAACCATCGGCCATTTTATTTAAAAAAAATATATATATATTAGGTCTGTCAAACGATTAATCGCGATTAATCGCATCCAAAATAAAAGTTTGTGTTTACATAATACAGTATATGTGGGTGCACTGTGTATAATTATTTTATATATATATATACACACACATGCTTGTATATATTTAAGAAATATTTTCATGTATATACTGTATATTGATTTATATATAATTTATAAATAAATAATTTTTTTTTTCTTAAATATACATGCATGTCTGTGTATTTATATATATATATATATATATATATAAAATTATACACAGTGCACCCACAAATATATTATGTAAACAGAAACTTTTATTTTGGATGCGATTAATCGCGATTAATCGTTTGACAGCCCTAATATATATATACACACAGGTGAAACTCGAAAAATTAGAATATCATGCAAAAGTTCATTTATTTCAGTAATTCAACTTAAAAGGTAAAACTAATATATTATATAGACTCATTACATGCAAAGTGATATATTTCAAGCCTTTATTTGTTATAATTTTGATGATTATGGATTACAGATATGAAAACCTTTTCACAATATTCTAATTTAGAATTTGGAGTTTTCATATCTGTAATCCATAATCATCACAATTATAGCTGCACTGAAACTCACATTTGGATCTTGGACCCCATTGTAGTCATTTTAATTCTGAAGTGAACTAATCCTTTAATGCGTTTTGTCTTTGCAGCATGGAGAGTTTGAGTGCCATGTTTAAGACGGGGCTGTACATCAATGACCTGAGCATGCATGACTCCAGCAGAGATCTGGTGCTGGCGGGAACTCAGCAGTCTGAAGAGCTCAAGAGAGCCCTCATACAGGTACAGCTGGCTCTCTGAGGGCCCTATCTAAGCACATGGTCTAAAGCAGCGTAAATGCACTTAGACTTAAATAGTGCACCATTGACTTTAGCCCAGGGTTCAGTCGGTCAACGGCTCAGTCTATTACAGCTCCTCTCCTGAACACACACTCGTTCTCAGACCAGCAGCCCATGGGCCACAGATGGGCACAAATGCATTTGCTATTTAATCAACGAGGCGCAGAATGTGAAAATGAAAACTGCGTCGGGCTGAAACTAGCAAAACACACTAGCGTCGCACCGAGTGTGTGTGATAGCGCCCTGAGTGTCCTGCTTTTCATGGGTCAGGACACTCAACCTGTATATCTCTGTGTTTCTCTTTCTGCACCCACAGGAGCAAAAGAAATCCAGCAAACTAGAGGAGAGCATGAAAATGTTGGACTATGAGATGAAAAAGACTGATGATCTTCTGTACAGGATGATTCCTAAACCCGTTGCTAAGCGACTGCGTAAGGGAGAGCCAGCTGTGAACACCTGTGAGGTCAGAACACCTGCAGCTTTCACAAAACCAATATATATATATATATATATATATATATATATATATATATATATTATTTTATTTTTTTTACCTTAAAATAATGTTTCCAAAATCGTTTCCGTGGTTCATTGAGTCGTAACAGGGTGAAATGCACTTCTAGATTCGCTTTGTGGTCCTACAGTATATCTGCTATAACCACGCTATGTGAGATTGCCAGATCGGGTTGAGTTTCTGTAGTTCTAATGAGACTTAAGAAAACTACAAACCTTCCACTTCCAACCTGTAGGGCGACCGCGGACAAAAAGTTACGTGGTGTTGCTTTAAGAACCGTATGTAAGATTGTGGCCAAAACTGGTACTGCAAGCACTTTCAAATCACTGAAGAGCGTATATCCCAGATGTGTCCTGGATAACGCAACACCACTGACTTCGTGATTGGGAGATCGGTGGAGGGTGGTACGTGATAGGTGGAGGGTGGCGCATCAGACCAAAACACAACATGACAACATCAACACCAGTTGAGGGCTGCAACTTCACTTTTTAAATGACAGTATCCTGGCTGGACTACTGTTGTCACTGATATAAGTATTTGAAGTGAACATGATTTCTTAATGTCTAGTGACATATCAGGGTCATTTTATGATTAATTGAAATACATTTCTTACATACGGTTAAAGATATTTTTTCAAAAAATAAAGATTTTCAGCATCATTGCTTAATTCATAAGTTTGGGGTTTGTGGGTTTTTTTTGTTTTTGACTGCTCACCAAGGCTGCATTTATTTTTATGACAAATACAGTAAAAAATAAATAAAAAAAATTATATATATTATATTATATTAAATAAAAAATGTGAAATATTATAATGATTTAAAACAGATGTTTTTTATGTGAATATATAGTAAAGTGTAATTTATATCCTGTGATCAAAGCTGTATTTTCAGCATCATTACTCCAGTCTTCAGTGTCACATGACCCTTCAGAAATCACTCTAATATGAGGATCTGATGCTTAAGACACATTTATGATTATTATTAATGTTGAAAACAGTTAATGTTAGTATATTTTATCCAGGTTTCTTTGATGAATAGAAAGTTCAAAAGAACAGCATTTATTTTAAATGGAAATCTTAGAAATCTTCTGTCACTTCTAATCAGTTTAATGAGTCCTTGCTGCCTTAAAGTACTAATTTCTTCTTTAATTTCAACATAATCTACTTATCAGATTTAATAATTCATTAAGTCAGCATGAAACTGAAGTTACGCTAGGCTTTCGCTTATATTGTGTCCTATATCCGAGTGAAACTGGAATAAGAACAAATGTGGGCGGGGCTTGATTTTGTCTGTGGGGAATTGATTCGGTGTTTGTGGATCGCTATTGGCTGATCTCATGTGAGTGACAGGTTGCCCCGCCCACTTCATCAGAGAAGAGAAGAGATGCTGTGAGAGGAAGATATTCTGATTCAAGATCACGAGACACATTAATTTAAAACAATGATGTGCACGGATAAACAATTTCTTTAAAAAAATTAGATTTTTGCTAATGAACTTTCTGCAATGGTTCCTCAACCTGTCCCAGGTGTTTCCTGATGTGACCATCCTGTTCAGCGATGTGGTGGGCTTCACTCGGATCTGCAGTCACATCACACCCATGCAGGTGGTGTCCATGCTCAACACCATGTACACACTCTTCGACACGCTCAGCGAGAAACACCGAGTGTTCAAGGTCAGATCCTTTCTTCTGTGGTTTCAGCAATGTCACATGTTAAATCACATGTCAGATGTTAAAATGATTTAACAATTATAATGCATGTTTTTTATACAGCAGGTGCTGTGAGAGATCCTGCATTTATCAAGTTCACTTACAATATTGGGAAAAAAGTTCACTTATAAAGTTTTTTTGAGCCGAGATGATTTAGATGTACATAATATATATTTTTTGTAAATAAAACAAATATGATTGAGGTACGTTTTACAAGAAAATATTACGTTTAAATTTCACATGTAATCCATTGTGTTACTTGCTGCATATTTGTAAATTTATTAGCAGTTTCTGAGTGAACATTGTTTCAGTAAATCCATAAAATTAAAAAAAAAAAGTTTAACTTGTCACCTACGAATTTAACTTAACTTAATTTAACTATATATATTTATATATAATTTAAATTTTAACTTAATTTAATTTTAAATTTAATTTAAATTTAATTTTAACTTAATTTAACTATATATATATATATATATATATTTTTTTTTTTTTTAATTTTATGGATATATATATATATATATATATATATATATATATATATATATATATAACAAATATTAAATTCTGACTCTAAATTATGATTGGATGAGATTCTAAAGCCCCACCCAGGTGATCACATATTAATGAGCTCATGTTTGTGGCAGTGTTATTTTCGTTTTTTTTCAATAATTTTTATAGTTTTATCAGTATTTTGAATTAGCTTTTATTTTTTACATTTTTAGTTAAATTTTTAGGCATTTTGTTATGTGCTTCTGTCATTTTATAAGTTTTTTTTTCTGTTAAGATAATTAGGTTCAGTTTCAGATTGAATTTTTTTCCAATTAATACTTTTAGTGCTTCAACTAAAATGTATTTCAGTTTATTGCCAACATTTAAAATTTCCATTTAGTTACAAGTTTTTCAAAATATATTCGCATTTTAATTTATTTCAGCTTTATTTCAATTCATTAATTTTATACAGCTTTATACAATACAGATTCATAGCAGCTTTACAGTGATAAACATGAGAATAATCCATTGATGACGATAAAAGGACAAAAATGTCATTGTGTTGATTCAGTTCCGTTGTAAAGATCATCAATTATTAAATAAAATGATCAATTATTAAATCTCATCAGAAAACAGTGATGTCATCGTACAGCTCAGTTCAGTTCTTATCCAATAGTGTTAATGCAGTCAGATCAATAATATTGTTGAATTGCGTGTGTGTGTGTGTTTCAGGTTGAAACTATAGGTGATGCGTACATGGTGGTGGCAGGCACTCCAGAAAAGACGAGGTATCACGCCCACAATATTTGTGACATGGCTCTAGATATGGTTCGCTCTATTGATCATCTCAAAGACCCGTCCAACGGGAACAACATCCAGATCCGCGTGGGTACGTCCTCTGATATTTCTATCTGTGTTGTTCACTAAATTAACTCTTATATAGACATCATGCGCACAGCAATCATTGAATTTTGTCTTTGAACTTCCGTTTTTGTGGTCGCTCTGTATATTTCCATGGCATCGTTCTCGAAGAGTGGATTCACTTATTGTAAAGTTAACATCATCACGATCATTGTAATGTTTAAAATAGGGCTGGGTATTGACACAAATTTCACAATTCGATTCGATTTCGATTCACAAGCTTGCAATTCGATTCGATTTCGATTCAATATTGATTATTTTGGATATCAGTTACAATAAATGGCCCTTTTTCTCAAGGGAATCAAATCTCTTAACTAATGTTGTAAACTATGGGAGTCAGTTGTAACCTATAGGCTTCATTAGCCTAATATGAAGGTAATAATGAACTGTTTTGTAGCTACAAACACTTAAATTACACTTTTATTTATTTTTATAATAAGAAGATTATATAAACATTTAAATGGTGGCTGTCATAAAAACTTGCCAGATTTATTCAAATATGCATTAAATATTGAAGAACATTAAGATTATAATGCATATGTAATATGGTGTATATATTTAGCAAAATGCTCCTCTATCTAGAGTTATTTTTTCTAGCTGACTAACGAGTTGATGTGGGTTTTCTGAGGTAAATATGACGATACATGACAAGCTGTTTAACTGATGTCTTTCCACGGTTGAAACGCTGATTGAGCGAATCAATGTGTCGTGCTTCTCCTAGGCATTCACTCTGGTATGGTGGTCGCTGGGGTCGTAGGTCACAAGATGCCTCGCTACGGTCTTCATGGGGACACAGTCCACACAGCTTCAGCCATGGAGTGCAATGGGAAGGTAGATGGATGCATGCATATTTATTATAAAACTTTATTATATTTATTGTACAGACATTTGTGCATCGTTAGCTACTTTCCATCCAACATTTTAACGCGAGAATAAAGATGCTAGATGGAAACATAAATTTTAAAAATACACACAAAAACATTGCAATTGAGACAGTTCATTTTTATCTAATTAAGACACGCACATAAACTGAATATATCCCTCGATGCGCGAAAAACAAACAAAAAAACATGAATGGATTAGCCAGCGGACCAATCACATCGCAGCATCTCAAATGTTGTTTTGCCGTTTCTGAGCCAAAGTCTGTCATCAGAATGATTTGGTTTAATTCCCTCCAGAGGCGTCTCACATGATTTTGTTCCCGAACATGACGGTGTTTACTGAAATGAACTCATTTATGACGGAGGAAAGAAGAGCCGCAGTTTCTTCCAACAACGTCCGTTTTTACTGCAGATATTTCCCACCAATTTTCCTTATTATTTTGCTCATTTCCTCATTAATGTCCTCGTCCCAAGCCCGTCAGGTGATAAATGCTCATTAGTGTGATGTTTGTGGGTTTTATTGAGGCCTGAACCCCCTCCCTGACTTCACTGTACTGATGTATAGGAGATGCACATTCAGCTGAGCAGCGCTACTTACGAGCACCTGAAAGGAAGTCACTTCATCTTTGAGAGACGTGGGACCATCACCATCAAGGTCAGTCACTAAACAACTGGATAAACCCTGATCCGATACCCATCAGACCTTTGAAGTTAGTGTCGTTTACTAAAGAAAGACAATTTCTCGTAACAGCTCGTATATTTACACTGACTAGTCACACAGAATCCCTAAAGAAACCTGTCTGATAACAGGACGGTTCGACTCTTCTCTGAGCTCGGAAAGGCCTTTATTTTTAAATGAAAATTAAGGAAATATTCACAAAGTGGAAATAATGTGGCTAGCGGTTATTTAATAGTGTGAATAAAGTGTTTATCGGTTAGGGAAGGGACAAGTCATTCGCCAATAAAGCAGCGTCCAATTATGATTTTAATATATGAAGAGTTCAGATGCAAAAGCCTCTAAATGCCATTTGAAATTTTCTTCTTTAATGATGATTTTTATCAAGCTTGTATATTTAAGTTCAGTAATTTCACTTAAATAACAATTAATAGGTAATTACCATTGCCATTTAAGTGAAATCACTGAACTTAAATATACAAGCTTGATAAAAATGATCATTCTAGAAGAAAATTTCAAATGGCACTTAGAGGCTTTTGCATCTGAACTCTTCATATATAATCATATACACTGAATATAATGTTATTATTGCATATTTTTTATAATATACCACAATACACAGAGGTGCAAATGGTATTTGCCATTATATGCACTAAATATAAATATAATCTAACTACTATTTATTTACGCTAAATACTGCTATTTTCGCTTCGTGTAAATATCCTTTTTCGTAACTTGGAGACTTATTAATCACATTTTTCACAGAATTCTTCCAGTGTGATTTTTTTTTTATTTATTTTTGTTTTTTTATTGATTTAACCTTAAACAAAAGTAAACAGTGTTGGGGAAAGTTACGTTTACGTTTACTCCCTAAAAACAGGAACCAATTGCGTTACTTTTTATGGAAAGTAATGTTACGCAAAGACATTGAGATTAAATACATAAAGTATGTTCTGTTATTTAACATTTAATTATTGCAGGTTTGCATTTCACAGTGACCCTCGTGTTTGCGGGTTTCTTCTGTGGAGATCGAGACGTACTGGCTGAAGGGAAAGCGAGATAAGGATGGAAACGCTCAGGCCGCCTGCCCACAGTTTGAGGCTCAGGCCGTCAGTAAAGCCACCGCTTCTCCTGAACCACACGCTGACGAGGACCTGCCGGTAAACACATGATGTTAGTTAGGACCACTCAGGACAAATGTGGAATTAAAAAAGGAATTTATCTGAAATCTTAGGTGGACTTTAAATCATATATTATATTATACTATATTTTATTTTATGATATGATATTGTATTGTATTATTATGAAATTAAATTACATTTATATTATATTATATTATATGATATTATATTATTATAATTAGGGGTGTGCAAAGATTAATTGCGATTAATCACATCCAAAATAAAAGTTTGTGTTTACATAATATATTTGTGTGTGCTGTGTATAATTATTTTATATATAAATATGTATATATTTAATTATTATTTGCACATAAATGCTGTATATATATATATATGTGTGTATGAATAACACATTTTGTGTGTGTATTTATATCTACAACATAATTATACACAGCACACACAAATAAATTATGTGTAAACAAACTTTTATTTTGGATGCAATTAATCGCAATTAATCTTTGCACAGCCCTAATTATGATATAATATTTTATATTATATTAAATTATATATTATATTATATTACTTATATAAATATATGACTTTAGCCCTTAATAAAATTTAAGATTCAATAATAATAATAAAAAATCATATTTTAATATTTAAATGTAAATGGTTAGTCTGGAAATACACATGTTCTCGTTAACATAATTTTATGATTATTGATATATATATATATATATATATATATATATATATATATATATATATTAGGGCTGTGCAAAGATTAATTGCGATTAATCGCATCCAAAATAAAAGTTTGTGTTTACGTAATATGTGTGTGTGTGCGCTGTGTATAATTATTTTGTATATATAAATACACACACATGCATGTATATATTTAAGAAAATGTGTTATTCATATATAAAATATTTATATTTATATATAATATATAGATTATGTATTTATATATATACAGTATTTATTTACGTGCAAATAATTCTTAAATATATACATGCACGCATATGTATTTATATATACAAAATAATTATACACAGCACACACAAATATATTATGTAAACACAAACTTTTATTTTGGATACGATTCAATTAATCTTTAGTCTTTGCACAGCCCTAATATATATATATATATATATATATGTGTGTGTGTGTGTTTATTAATTCTTAATTTTTTTCATCTTTTATTTTTTATTATATTAACTGTTCTCATTAGAGACTCGTATTGTATTTTCGAAGCTGTGTGCAGGACGGCTAAGGACACTCATTGGTGATTCTTGACTCTTCTCCTCAGGTGTTTCCCTCAGTGACCGATGAAGACGAGGACGGTGTGAAACCCCTTCGCTCTCAGCGCATGCAGATGAAAACCTCAAGACACTCTCGGGAGGAGTCCATGAAGGAAGAAGCGTCGGTGCGTACGGTGAGATCCTGATGCCTGTGCTTGAGTCAGATATAATAAAACACACAGATAATACCTCAGTCTCATGATAAGGGCGTTCTGCAGGACAACAGTCTCCAGGACACACACACTCAACTCGACTCGGACGAGTTCGATGGCCGAGAGTCTCCCGCCGGATCCTGTGATTCCCACGGCTCGGAGAAGAGCACCATGTGCTCCGTGTGCTAACGTTTCTGATCTGAATTTATAGACTAAATAATTCTGTAATTTCTGGATTCTCTTGTAAAGAGATTAGATGTGTTACTGAACTGAAATGTGCTTATTGTGTTGTTTTCTCATCTCTACTCAGTCTCATTTAGCTTAAAGCTTAATAAATCTATGTTTTTATTTTTTTCTAGTTTTATGCTTTTATGTTGATAAATACCTTTATTCGTTCGTTTTTTTTGAAAGAATCTCACAAAGAAATGTTCGGCTCACATTTCATCCCAAAATTATAATTTTAGGTCTGTCCCTTTAAATGCAAATGAGCTGCTGCAGACACAGGGGGAGGAGCTACAACAACCTAGCAGCTTTGATTACCTCACACACATACACTGAAAATTTCAAAAACGTTTAGCCTTTTATGTTCAAAAGACTCAAGAAGAGAAGCGACAACATTTCTGAATGGTTTGTTGATCAGTTTATGTAGCTTATGTGTTGTCTTTGATTAGCATATTCTGTCACGATAATCTATTAAGCGTGTTCTCGGGGGCGGGTTTATGTAAATTCTAGGGTCTGTGACGTCACAACCCAGACGGAATGTTATCAGCCGTTTGTTGTAGTCCTAAAAAAATAAATTTTTATATAAGGAAATATCTCCCTTTGCCTTGAATTTTGAGCGTTGTAACTTTGCAGATGTTGTGTATGCTCTTAACTAAAGTTAGAAAAGTGAAATCATAATCAACCACCCCTTTAAAATAGCAGTGAATTAAAACTCATTTCTTTTTTAATCCCTCCTTTTTAAACTATTAACATTTTGCAAATTCCCCAAGGCTGACTCCAACTAAAGTTTTTGGTAACACTTTAGTGACCAAATAATTAGTAAGTAATAGCTCACAGATGAAAGTGTTACTAGATACTTCTGTGGGAATTACTAATTATTTGGATCCGTATTATAAAGTGAAGATCATTGGAACTAACTAGTAATTACTCAAGTGTTACTACATGATCTAGTCATGATTTGTGCAACCGTTTGATATTTTTGGTGAGCTTTAGTAACTTTTAGAAACACTTGAGTAATTACTAGTTAGTTCCAATGATCTTCACTTTATAATACGAATCGAAATAATCATTAATTCCCACAGAAGTATCTAGTAACACTTTCATCTGTGAGCTATTACTTACTAATTCGTTAATAAGAGTTTATTTTAGTTAATAGTAGTGACTAGATTGTTAATAAACTTTTTCAGTAGTTCTCTGGGAAGTATTAAAAAAATAGAAGTTATTGACTACTTAATAGTGAACTACCACTTTAGTCTGTGCCCTATTACTTACTAGTTCGTTAATCAGAGTTTCTTGTTAGTTAATAATAGTTATTAGATTGTTAATATTAGTTCTTGTGTAGTTATTCATCAACGAAGGAACCGTATTCTAAAGTGTTACCAAGTTTTTTTTAAAATTACTTTTGGTGTAATAAACAATCCTCAATAGTTTCTTTCTCCCGCAAGACACATGAGAGAGAAAATACATATTCAAAAAAATCCTTTAAATGCATTTTATTTAAATCTGCAGTCCGTACAAAGTTTTTCCTCTGTCGCCATCTCTGTTCAATTAAATCATCTCTGTTCATCCTTGTGCGGATGAACACAAGACTTAATATCGGAAGTCCCTTAGCATCTCCAGCAAATGTATCTCTTTTTAGATATTTGCACTGGAAAACAAGTAAAAAAAAAATATTTCTGCATTGCATATGCTTGTTTAGCTCAGAAAAGTTCACTTCTTCCTGGTGATGAGGTTATTGCAGATCCAATTCATACCGTCCTGAAAGCAAACACACACACACAGAGAATGGAAGAAGGGTTAGAAACCTCCAAACTCAAACCGCTGTAATGTAAAGAGATCCAGTGCTAGTAGTTGTGTATTAGAGCTAGACCGATATTATCGGCCGATATTAGGCATTTTACAAAATATCGGTATCGGCAGTTATAATGGCTGATAAATGAATATTTCAAAAATAAAATAAAAACGGACGAAACACGCTTGAACCATGTCATGAGTGTTGGAGTTGCATAGTTTGTCCACTAGAGGGCGCTCTACACCGTTCCTTTTGGCAACACTCGTTGAGTTGGTCACGAGACATACGTTGCTTGAATAACAATTAAAAGATCATCCCCATCAGTTCTCTGAACTCAAATAAGCAGGACAAAATTTGACTATCATGTCCAGTTTTGCTGCTGTTAAATAAGCCGAGAGTGAAGCGGAATTAGCTAGTAATAGTTACGTTTCGTTGTTATGGTGTAGTTGACTGACTGTCCTTTTAACTTTTGACAATGTGACTGAAGTATTTCTTTAATAGCGCGTGACAGTTATAGCAATGAGACGGATCATCTCTCCTCGGCCTGTTAGAATGAAAATGTATGTTTTACAATTTGCAGTATGACGTTATCCATTGCTAAATTATGGCTCATTATAGACTAGCTAACCACAAAGCTAGCTAATGGCACTATCATCAGTCTGTTCTGTTGTGACTATAAAAGAAACAAGTTTCTTTTTAAAATGCATTATTATATTATTTTAGTTAAAACTCATAAATAACTACAAATGTTAGGGAAATCTGTTAATGTTTTGTTGCGCGTTTCTGAAAAAAAAAAAAATAAATAAAAAAATATCGGCCGATATATCGGAATTTAAAACCCAAAATATTTGTATCGGTATCGGCCTTTAAAATCCTTTATCGGTCGGGCTGTATTGTGTATATGCGAGTCTGCGGCCCCTAACAAATGAACAACTTACTTAAACTGGGGTGTGACGCTATTTTCTTCTAGAAACAAACTCTGTTGCATTATTTTCCTGTTATCTCTGTAAAGCTGCCTTTGAAACAATCTGATGTAAAAAGCCCTTCATAAAACGGACAGTTCCAGTCCTTGATTCAGTCTTAAATGACTCATTTTATATTGCTTAAATATAAATAAAATGGGGCTGTGCAAAAATTAATTGCGATTTAATCGCATCCAAAATAAAAGTCTGTGTTTACATAATATATTTATGTGTGCTGTATATAATTATTTTGTATAGATAAATACACACACATGCATGTATATATTTAAGAAAATGTGTTATTCATATATAAAATATTTATATATATACACACAGAATTTAAGCGCAAATAATTCTTAAATATATACATGCATGCATAGGTATTTATATATAAAAAATAATTATATACAGCACACACAAATATATTATGTAAACACAGACTTTTATTTTGGATGCGATTAATTGCAATTAATTTTTGCACAGCCCTAAAATAAAGGTAACTATTTCCTGAAAACACACAGAGGGAATGGACAATTTAGGTGATGCTGTTCTTAAACTGCTTTAGTAAGTAATGAGACACACTTTGTGTGTGTGTGTGTGTGTGTGTCTCACCGGCACTCCCTCTCCGGTGAGCGCAGAACAGGCCTGGATCTGCCAGACTCGATCTCTGTACGTGTGCAGGTTCAAGCCCTCCGCGATCTCGCTGGCCGGAGACGCCGTGCCTAAGTCCTGTTTATTGGCAAAGATGAGGACGGGAACGCCTGCGAGGTTTTCCTCGTCTATCAGCTCTGACAGTTCCTACAAACACACACACACCATTTACATTTAAAGTCACCATGCAATCAAAATGATTATTATCTGTGGCTGCACATCATTAGTGTTTCAAATTTGTGTCTCGTGATTTTAAATCAGAATATCTTCTCGTCTCTGATGATGGGGGCGGGGCAACCTGTCACTCACATGAGATCAGCCAATCAATTCCCCACAGACAAAATCAAGCCCCGCCCACATTTGTTCTTGTTCCTGAAGCGTTTTACTCAGCTACACGTCATAATAGGGAAGAAAACACTTCAGTTTCATTCTTACTTGAAATTCAGATTGCTAAATCCAACGACTGAAGACTGTCATGACACCTTCATAATCATGACATGACACATGATGAATATGAAGGTTTTATGCATGTTAAGGACAACTGTTATTAAGTGTCATTCGCTCAATTATGACATTTTGAAGCAAGTATGACATTGTTTGAGATGTCTTTGTTATGACATCTTGACATTACTAAGACAACACAACCTGTCATAAACATGACATAGCAGATTAATTATTAAACTCAAGAAACCACTTAGCTTTATTGGTTAACATTGCATTAAACTGTCAGGTTGTTGGTTTTGACATTGGCCGTCAAGAAGCCATTACAACTTTTTAATGACAAATTCAATTAGTACCAATGTAGAAAAATATTCATGACACAGTTATAATGCCTCATGCCAGACAAATACAAACACCTTTTGTCCCGGAAAGATGTATTTGCATATAATTTCCGCATGTCTTACCAATCCTGTTTCCTCAAAGCGCTTCTTGTCAGTGCTGTCTATGACATAAACCTACAGATGAACCAACAAACAAGTCTTGTTAGTTTGCAAATAGTGACACTTGACACGTCCAAGTACTGCTATCTCTCTGTAGTATTGTGCTGTCTTTCTAAAGTCATAATTTCTCACCAATAAATCTGTGTTTTCTAGGTATTTTTTCCAGAAAGGTCGGATCTTTCTCTGTCCACCGATGTCCCACACATTCAGTTTCATCCCGTGGGAAGCCACGCTCTTGATGTTAAAGCCCTGGAAACATCTCACTGGTCAACATCACCCAAAATAACTTCATTTGCAAATCAAAGAACATGTCATATGATACAACAGTCTCTGCATGTTCCAACAGGCTCCCATAATGCATTGCAATGTGCTTCAAGGATGTTCATGTTTGTTTTAGAATGTTCATGTTTGTTTCGGTGTGTTCATGTTTGTTTTAGAATGTTTCAGAATGTTCATGTTTGTTTTAGAATGTTTATGTTTGTTTTAGAATGTTCATGTTTGTTTTAGAATGTTTGTTTGTTTCAGAATGTTCATGTTTGTTTTAGAATGTTTATGTTTGTTTTAGAATGTTTATGTTTGTTTTAGAATGTTTATGTTTGTTTTAGAATGTTCATGTTTGTTTTAGAATGTTTATGTTTGTTTTAGAATGTTCATGTTTGTTTTAGAATGTTCATGTTTGTTTCAGAATGTTCATGTTTGTTTTAGAATGTTCATATTTGTTTTAGAATGTTCATGTTTGTTTCAGAATGTTCATGTTTGTTTTAGAATGTTCATGTTTGTTTCAGTATATGTTCATGTTTGTTTTAGAATGTTCATGTTTGTTTTAGAATGTTCATGTTTGTTTTAGAATGTTCATGTTTGTTTTAGAATGTTCATGTTTGTTTCAGTATATGTTCATGTTTGTTTTAGAATGTTCATGTTTGTTTTAGAATGTTCATGTTTGTTTCAGAATGTTCATGTTTGTTTTAGAATGTTCATGTTTGTTTTAGAATGTTTCAGAATGTTCATGTTTGTTTTAGAATGTTCATGTTTGTTTTAGAATGTTCATGTTTGTTTCAGAATGTTCATGTTTGTTTCAGAATGTTCATGTTTGTTTTAGAATGTTCATGTTTGTTTCAGAATGTTCATGTTTGTTTTAGAATGTTCATGTTTGTTTCAGTATATGTTCATGTTTGTTTTAGAATGTTCATGTTTGTTTTAGAATGTTCATGTTTGTTTCAGAATGTTCATGTTTGTTTTAGAATGTTTATGTTTGTTTTAGAATGTTCATGTTTGTTTTAGAATGTTTATGTTTGTTTTAGAATGTTCATGTTTGTTTTAGAATGTTCATGTTTGTTTCAGAATGTTCATGTTTGTTTTAGAATGTTCATATTTGTTTTAGAATGTTCATGTTTGTTTCAGAATGTTCATGTTTGTTTTAGAATGTTCATGTTTGTTTCAGTATATGTTCATGTTTGTTTTAGAATGTTCATGTTTGTTTTAGAATGTTCATGTTTGTTTTAGAATGTTCATGTTTGTTTCAGTATATGTTCATGTTTGTTTTAGAATGTTCATGTTTGTTTTAGAATGTTCATGTTTGTTTCAGAATGTTCATGTTTGTTTTAGAATGTTCATGTTTGTTTTAGAATGTTCATGTTTGTTTTAGAATGTTCATGTTTGTTTCAGAATGTTCATGTTTGTTTCAGAATGTTCATGTTTGTTTTAGAATGTTCATGTTTGTTTCAGAATGTTCATGTTTGTTTTAGAATGTTCATGTTTGTTTCAGTATATGTTCATGTTTGTTTTAGAATGTTCATGTTTGTTTTAGAATGTTCATGTTTGTTTCAGTATATGTTCATGTTTGTTTTAGAATGTTCATGTTTGTTTCAGTATATGTTCATGTTTGTTTTAGAATGTTCATGTTTGTTTTAGGATGTTCATGTTTGTTTTAGAATGTTCATGTTTGTTTTAGAATGTTCATGTTTGTTTTAGAATGTTCATGTTTGTTTTAGAATGTTCATGTTTGTTTCAGTATATGTTCATGTTTGTTTTAGAATGTTCATGTTTGTTTCAGTATATGTTCATGTTTGTTTTAGAATGTTCATGTTTGTTTTAGGATGTTCATGTTTGTTTTAGAATGTTTCAGAATGTTCATGTTTGTTTTAGAATGTTCATGTTTGTTTCAGTATATGTTCATGTTTGTTTTAGAATGTTCATGTTTGTTTTAGAATGTTCATGTTTGTTTTAGAATGTTCATGTTTGTTTCAGTATATGTTCATGTTTGTTTTAGAATGTTCATGTTTGTTTCAGAATGTTCATGTTTGTTTCAGAATGTTCATGTTTGTTTTAGAATGTTCATGTTTGTTTCAGAATGTTCATGTTTGTTTTAGAATGTTCATGTTTGTTTTAGAATGTTCATGTTTGTTTCAGTATATGTTCATGTTTGTTTTAGAATGTTCATGTTTGTTTTAGAATGTTCATGTTTGTTTCAGTATATGTTCATGTTTGTTTTAGAATGTTCATGTTTGTTTCAGAATGTTCATGTTTGTTTTAGAATGTTCATGTTTGTTTCAGTATATGTTCATGTTTGTTTTAGAATGTTCATGTTTGTTTTAGGATGTTCATGTTTGTTTCAGAATGTTCATGTTTGTTGTTCATGTTTGTTTTAGAATGTTCATGTTTGTTTTAGAATGTTCATGTTTGTTTCAGAATGTTCATGTTTGTTGTTCATGTTTGTTTCAGAATGTTCATGTTTGTTTCAGAATGTTCATGTTTGTTTTAGAATGTTCATGTTTGTTTCAGTATATGTTCATGTTTGTTTTAGAATGTTCATGTTTGTTTCAGAATGTTCATGTTTGTTTTAGAATGTTCATGTTTGTTTCAGTATATGTTCATGTTTGTTTTAGAATGTTCATGTTTGTTTTAGGATGTTCATGTTTGTTTTAGAATGTTTCAGAATGTTCATGTTTGTTTTAGAATGTTCATGTTTGTTTCAGTATATGTTCATGTTTGTTTTAGAATGTTCATGTTTGTTTTAGAATGTTCATGTTTGTTTTAGAATGTTTCAGAATGTTCATGTTTGTTTTAGAATGTTTATGTTTGTTTCAGTATATGTTCATGTTTGTTTTAGAATGTTCATGTTTGTTTTAGAATGTTCATGTTTGTTTCAGAATGTTTCAGAATGTTCATGTTTGTTTTAGAATGTTCATGTTTGTTTTAGAATGTTCATGTTTGTTTCGGTGAGTTCATGTTTGTTTTAGAATGTTCATGTTTGTTTCAGAATGTTCATGTTTGTTGTTCATGTTTGTTTTAGAATGTTCATGTTTGTTTTAGAATGTTCATGTTTGTTTTAGAATGTTCATGTTTGTTTCAGAATGTTCATGTTTGTTTCAGAATGTTCATGTTTGTTTCAGAATGTTCATGTTTGTTTCAGAATGTTCATGTTTGTTTTAGAATGTTCATGTTTGTTTTAGAATGTTTCAGAATGTTCATGTTTGTTTTAGAATGTTCATGTTTGTTTTAGAATGTTTCAGAATGTTCATGTTTGTTTTAGAATGTTCATGTTTGTTTCGGTGTGTTCATGTTTGTTTTAGAATGTTCATGTTTGTTTTAGAATGTTCATGTTTGTTTCAGAATGTTTCAGAATGTTCATGTTTGTTTTAGAATGTTCATGTTTGTTTTAGAATGTTCATGTTTGTTTCGGTGAGTTCATGTTTGTTTCAGAATGTTCATGTTTGTTGTTCATGTTTGTTTTAGAATGTTCATGTTTGTTTTAGAATGTTCATGTTTGTTTTAGAATGTTCATGTTTGTTTCAGAATGTTCATGTTTGTTTCAGAATGTTCATGTTTGTTTCAGAATGTTCATGTTTGTTTTAGAATGTTCATGTTTGTTTTAGAATGTTCATGTTTGTTTTAGAATGTTTCAGAATGTTCATGTTTGTTTTAGAATGTTCATGTTTGTTTTAGAATGTTTCAGAATGTTCATGTTTGTTTTAGAATGTTCATGTTTGTTTCGGTGTGTTCATGTTTGTTTTAGAATGTTCATGTTTGTTTCAGAATGTTCATGTTTGTTGTTCATGTTTGTTTTAGAATGTTCATGTTTGTTTTAGAATGTTCATGTTTGTTTCAGAATGTTCATGTTTGTTGTTCATGTTTGTTTCAGAATGTTCATGTTTGTTTCGGTGTGTTCATGTTTGTTTTAGAATGTTCATGTTTGTTTCGGTGTGTTCATGTTTGTTTTAGAATGTTCATGTTTGTTTCAGAATGTTCATGTTTGAGTGATGTGTGTGTGTGTGTAACTCACCCATAATGTGTGTGTGTGTGTGTGTGTGTGTGTAAACTCGCCTGTGTGTGTGTGTGTGTGTGTGTGTGTGTGTGTAGACTCGCCTGTGTGTGTGTGTGTGTGTGTGTGTGTGTGTGTGTGTGTGTGTGTAGACTCGCCTGTGTCGGTGTGATGGTGCTCACGTCCTCCGAGGCGAGACACTTGAGTAGAGTGGTTTTGCCGGCGTTGTCGAGACCCAGCAGAACGATCCTGAGCTCCAGCTCTGCGGATCCCTTCAGCTTCTGCATGACCGAGAGCAAACCCTGAGGACACAAGCCAACACAGGGATAAGATGCACTCGTTATTGATATGATTCTAGATAGAGGAGATAACATTAACGTTCAAGAGTGACATTTATCAGTTCGTGCATTCCATTAAGTCAAACCCATGAATTTCCCATTCGAGATTCATTGACGCTGCGTTGTTAGATTAGATTTTTTACAACCACAATCTATAACATTCCCTGAACGTTTCAGAGCATGTGTGTGTGCCTACAATTTTTGCTTTGGTTTAATTTGCCGGGCAAAACGTTAATATGATCGAAAGTACCAACAAAAAATTTGATTTGAGGAATTATTTATTTAGAGGTTTATTACATGCTATTGTAAACTAAAACCAAACCATAAAACAACTTTTGTTACCTAAAATAATAACAAACAAATGGTAAAATAAACTTTTATTATACATATATATTTATGAGACATTTCACATTTTTATTTAGTTGAACTTGATGTAGCCTACTAAAATAACTAAAGCTTAAATAAAAAATAATAAACATATAGTCATATTTTAAACTAATAAAAATTACAAAAAACAACAAAACTACTAAAAATTGAGAGTGAAACACAGATCAAGGCTTACAGTAATGAGCTTTATCTGGGTCAGGTGACCCGTCTCTGATTGCTTAGGCCCTTTATATAAGACGATGCTAATCGTCCCAGTACCTAAAACATATTGAATTCATACTGATTATTGAGCGTATAGTTTGTTTATATGTGTGTATTCAGCTGATGAATAATTCTATATGACTAAATAAGGTTTCAAAAGGTTTTTTATTTTAAAAAAAAACCTCTTGTTTCGTGGATGTTTAAGGTTTTTCGTGGAACCAAATAATCTTTTCTTTTTGGGGATTTATATACAAAAATTAGAATATGGTGCAAAACTTCATTTATCTCAGTTATTCAACTTAAAAGGTGAAACTAATATATATACTCATTACATGCAAAGCGAGATATTTCAAGCCTTTATTTACTTAAGAGGATGTAAATGTAAATGAATGTGTTGTTCTCCCACTCAGAGAAAGTGATAAACGTACCTTTGGAGCTTCGCCCATTTTGACTTCTGTTGCGTCCCGTTGTCTCACATTCCTATGGGTGTGTGTGTGATGGCAATCCCTCTCCCATGTTCAGGTGTGTGTGAGTGTGTTGTGTAGGAAGAAGGCTTGCAGAATGGAGGATTATGAGAGAATTAGTCTCTCTCTCTCTCTCTCTCTCTCTCCTTCCCACCCCCACTGAGACTTCACCAGCTTTATCTCTGACTGACTGTACCTGCTAAGTGCTAACTAGCTATATTAGCTAACTACTTTTTCATCTGTGAATTTTCTTTCATTTTTCAGTCGTTCGTAGAGGTGTAACAATAAACTGGGTCGATAAGTATCGGAGATAGTGACAGCAATATTGTGTGTAGTTGTAGTTCAGAGTTTTAGTGGAGCTACTGTATAATAATGCAATGGGAGAAAATTTGTAGGTCCTGATAATGTCTTGATACCATTAAAAAAAATATTTTGATGTGTTGTCTAACTTACTAAATCATATGTTTAGTACTTGATTATATTTTTCACTGTTAGATGTTATTCGGTATTAGAATTGAAATATAACTGAAATCAACCTTGTGATTAAAATGATTTATACATGACAAACAGGTTTCATAATTACATTAAGTATATTTTAGTTTAGCTTAATGCTTATATTATATTCATCAGTACATTTTAACCATATTTCACAGACCATAAAATTATGAACTTAAATATAAAGATGTACATACGTTCAACTATTTACTTTTAATTTAAATGTAAACTACAATACATTACAATACATTTACAATTTTAAATTAAGTGTCTAAAAGCATTACATTCGGTTACTTTGTATTTATTTTTAGTTGTTTTTTTTAAATTATGTTCGAAATAACGAAAAAAGTATATTATTTTTGTGAAAAGTTATTTAAGTATGCTAAAGTGTACTTCCGAGCATCACGTGACCAAACCGGAAAACAAGTCTCATCGCATCCGCTTGTCAGAGAACGGCCGTAAGAACTGACTACGATATCTATGGATTTTTAAGGTAATCAGCTAACCTACCTAGTTCACTTTGTTATTGGCGTTTTATCCATTTAAATATCTAAACGTAACTGTGAAGAAGAAAAAATATAAAACGTTTAAATATCAATCTGCACACATGTGAGGGACATTGGTTATGCTAATCTTTGCTCGCTCCTTTTAAGTTATCTTGAGTAAAACCGCAAAAAAAAAAAAAAAAAAAAATCACGAAGCACAAACTGGAAGCGATGAGACCTGTTTTACAGAATGCGGAAGTTGAGCATAGAGCCTATTCCCGTTTTTCTAGTTTACAAGGAGTCGATAACTGTATAATTCTCAAAAACGTTCACTTTGAAACCCGTTTTTTAGAAAAAAGTTTGCGTTTTCAGGACCGTTGCCTTAAAATGATTTAGTAGCCTGAATTAACGTCATGCTTAATTAAAAAAAATAATTAATGTGGAATTGTCAAGTTCACATAACTTATTTTTTTCAATTAAGCATTATATTTATTTACTTAATAATTTTAAGGCAATGGGTGTACAAAAAAAAAGTAATGTGGAATTGTGGAATTTTTTTCAATTAAGCATTACGTTTTATTTAATGTTTTTTTTAGTACACCCATTGCCTTAAAATTATGAAGTAAATAAACATAATGGGTTTCCTCCATTGTTTTAAAGTAGGTGAACTGAACACTTATTATACAGTGAGACTAATCAACAAGAAAAACTACAAAGAACTACAAACATGGCCCTCGAGACAGGAAGTAGTCCAAACGCTCAATTTTCTGAGTGTAAAATGAAACGTTTCGAAATGCAGAGACCGGATCGGGACTCAGTCTCAGTCTCAGTCGTAGCTGGAGACGGTGTTCATTGTTGTGCTGTGGATGTTCTCCATGTTCTGTTGTCTTTGTCTCTTCCTGGCCCGACTCTGAGCTGAGAGAGAGAGAGAGGGATGAGATGCAGTAGGACGACAGGCAGATGTTTAATGGCAGATATTTACCTTGTCCTCTCCTCAGCGAGATTTTCATGGCGATGGCGAACATCATGAGGAGCGCAGCCGCGGCGCCCACACACAACAGAATAATCACCATATTATTGGCAACTGAAAGCAGAGAGAAAACAAGAGGGATATTAGAAATATTGCCTGTCACAATATCTCCATCAGCAGCATTTATTTGAAATAGAAATATAACATTTTAAATTTCTTTACTGTCACTTCTAATAATAATCAAATAATAATAATCATAACTGTTTCTTGAGCATCAGATCCTCATATTAGAGTGATTTCTGAAGGATCATGTGACACTGAAGACTGGAGTAATGATGCTGAAAATTCAGCTTTAAACACAGGAATAAATTACACTTTACTGTATATTCACATAAAAACAGCTATTTCAAATACTAATAATATTAAATTATTTCTTTCTGTATTTTCGATCAAATAAATGCGGCATTGGTGAGCAGAAGACGAGTAATTTCAAAAACAAAAACACAATCTGAATTATTTCAAACTTCCGACTCGGTTATACATGTATAAAATTAAAACTTCTACAGTTATTTACAGTCATGTTAATTTCAATGTTTACTTATACATAATTCAAATCAAAAGTTGTATTAGTTAGTTAGCATTAGTTAATGCACTGAGAACTAACATAAACAAACACAGTATTATTATCATTTACCAACATTAACAAAGGTTAATAAAAGCTCATTGTTAGTTAAAATATATTAAATAATGTTAACAAATGAGACCTTTCTGTAAAGTGTTACTAAAAGATTTAAATAATATTCATATATCTTTTTTTTAGAAATATGTATTTATGTGATTTACTAGTATTTTATAATATTATGGTCAGTGATCTCAAATTCATCACAGAGTCCAAAAATATAGAAATAATGAGTATAATCACCGTTTACAGTAATGGTTATATTAGAGTTGATGAGCCCACAGATACTGTGAACTTCACATTCGAGGAATGTTTCTCTTAAAATATTCTGGATCTCGAATTTTTCTGATCGCTCTTCTTGAAGCTGATTGTCCATCTTCCAGCTGATGAAGGCGTTGGTGAGATTATGAACGCACGTCACGCTCACGTCTGAACCCTCGTCGGCTGGGAGGGCCGTATTGTTTATTATGGTCACATTAAAATCTGGGAAGCAGAGCAAAAGGTCAAAGGTCATCATACATGAGGATCAGTCAGCAGGATTGGTTTGATCAGTGTGTGTTCCCGGCATTAATTGTACCTTTTATCGTGCAGTTTCGTGGATCACCTGAGGAGAAGGAGAACAGATTTAAAGGGATAGTTCACACAAAAATGAAAATGCCTCATGTAGTTCAACCCCGCCGTAAGACTGTCGTTCATCTTCAGGACACGAATTAAGATATTTATTTTTAAATCTGAGAGCTGGATCACTCTTGCATAGGCTTCTTAAGGGATCGAAACTGGCCGGCCCAGAAAGTTATTAAAGACATTTTGTTAAAATAGTCCGACTTACGACAGCGGCTCAATCTTAAGTTTATCGAGCGACGAGAATACTTTTTGAGCGCAAAAAACTAATTTCCTTTTCCGTGGGCCTCGAGTGAGTTCACGTAGTGTAACAGCGCAGAGCTTCCGTGTTGTACGTCACAACGCAGGCTCACTATTGGCCGACGCTGGTCATGTGTGTGATGCTGGCCTAAAAAGTATTCTCATTGCTAGCCACTGTCATCACTCGGACTATTTATACCTTATGGGCCGGCCAGTTTCAATAACAGAGAAGCCTATGCAGGAGTGATCCAGCTCTCAGATTTAATCACAAATATATTTATTTGTGTCCCGAAGATGAACGAAAGTCTTGAACAACATGAGGGAGAGTCATTACTGACTGAGTTTACATTTTGGGCTGAACTATCCATTTAAGTTTCAAAAACTGCATTGTTTTTCTGTTTTTATAAAATTAGTGATTTGTAGGTGATTACAAAGAAGCTATTTTTAAAACATGTGTACATTCATTTTTATACACAACCTGCTTGTTTTAAAGTAATTGGATAAGAAGACGATATTTTACTGACCATTGGTGGAGTTCTGTGTTATATTCAAGTAAGAATAACATTCAGCCGGTTTGCTACATGTTTCTAACCGTCCTTGATCCGCTGAGAGAGAGAGAGAGAGAAAATATGAAATATATTGGATTAAATATTAACCTCACAATATTAAAAGATGTAAATCTTGTTTGCGTTCTACTATCAATGAAACTAAAATTACTCCTTCTGAGCATTATCAGGTTATAGTTTCCATGCGATCAGACATTATGGACACATTTTCTTTTCACTGTGAAGTTATATGAAACTTAACTATATTAAGTTTAATATGCAGAGAAATACTTACAGAGATGAAGAAAACAAACAGTGACGAGCAGCGTTTCCCCAAACACTCTCATGATCCCTCGTCCCATCATCTATCCCCAGTGTGTTTCAGTCAGCACAACAGAGCTCTGTTCATAGACACATATTTACTGATATAAATACTGATAATAATGCAAATCACCTCAGTGACGCTGCAGGAACAGGGATATATTTCTATATGCAGCTTCAGACTACTTTGCTTATGTGATGAGATACAAACACTAAGAGAAGCTTCACGTATTAAATCAATTGTTTGGTTTTTATACATTTTAATTTGAGCCTAAATTGAGTTTCCTTTTCAATACTATTTGTAATAAAATGTAAATTGTAAGATCATTTCTGTTGGCTAACTTTGTTTAGATATAGGCTGTGCTGTGTACACCTCTTATAGTAGCAAGTATTATTTTATAATTAAAGAAAGGCATTCGGTATTAACATACATATTTTATATACTTTAACAGCTTTTTTGCTTTTTTTTACATCAATTCTTTAATATATATATATATATATATATATGAAGAGTTCAGATGCAAAAGCCTCTAAATGCCATTTGAAATTTTCTTCTTTAATGATGATTTTTATCAAACTTGTATATTTAAGTTCAGCCATTTAAGTGAAATTACTGAACTTAAATTTACAAGTTTGATAAAAATCATCATTAAAGAAGAAAATTTCAAATGGCATTTAGAGGCTTTTGCATCTGAACTCTTCATATATATATATATATATATATATATAGTTGATATATATCAACAAAAATCAAACACTGTTAATTCAGTTAATTCAGAGATTGATGCAATACTGCAAATAACCATTTGTTTCCTGATTGCTCTTTATGCATCTATTTTGTATTCAGATGTCAGGAAAATATGGCACCTCATAGTCATATGGAGTCAGAGTTACCTGGAGCTGTAATTTTGCATGCTGGACACAATATCATATTTCTGAAATGTCATGCATAGGCTACTGTCGACTGAATAATGTATAAATTATTTTACAAAAAAAAAAAAATGCCCCAAGATATGGGTCAGTTCAAGAATCTCATCTACATCACAGCTAACTGTAGCTTATTTAGCCGGTCAGCAGGGGGAGGCAGATCCGTATACACACACCAGTCCTTTTTTTATGGAGCTGCCTCCCCCTGCTGACTGGCAAAGGTTATAAACCTCTACCAGCAACTAAATAAGCTACAGGTAGCTTTAATTTAATTTAATTTAATTTAATTTAATTTAATTTAATTTAATTTAATTTAATTTAATTTAATTTAATTTAATTTAATTTAATTTAATTTAATTTAATTTAATTTAATTTAATTTAATTTAATTTAATTTAATTTAATTTAATTTAATTTAATTTAATTTAATTTAATTTAATTTGTGACATAAAAGTCATGTGCGCGGTCTGCGCATGCGTGTCAGCTGATTCCCCGCTCACCTGTTTGAAGTTGAGGCGCGTCGAACGCACATGAACGCGTGTGTCGCACAGGCCAGGTAAACGCACACAGTCTCCAGTGTTCTCGGCTGCTGTTCAGGTGTTGTTATGGTGGCGATAAGATATCTAGGCCACAGCTTCTGCCGGCTGGCCCGAGGAGCGTCTTCACAGATCAAGTTCGCCAGGAGTCGCGTGCGGCGGGAGATGCGCTCGAGCGACGATCAGGTATTCTGGACAATCACGACGATCTGTGTGAGAATACAAACCCATGATGTGATTAAACTTGTTTATATAAAAATACATATGGTAACATGGGGACAGATGTCCCTCTTAGGGACGGTGTGGATTAATTGTAACATATTAAGATATGTCTATTTAACGAAATGTAGGCTATGGGGCAAACTTTACAGAATGATATATGACTTTTGATATAATTTATAATTTGATATTTTTATTTTATTTAGCATTTTAATGGCTCATTTTAATTGAAAATATGTTATAGGCCTTATAGCAACACTATGAATGAAAAATTTAATGATTTCACTCAACTTAACATAAAGGTTTTAATGAAAGCAAAGATCTCTGAAATGTAGATCAAATCCGTGGAAATATTGAATAATAACCCCATTAATTGCAATAATTTTTACATCTAAATATAACAAAACTATAACAACATGCTAAATCTGGTGGCTCATCTTACCCCTATGATCAAATTCGATCTTTTTACTTCCTCTAACTCCGTCTTGCCCTACTTATTAGATTTGTGTCTCTTTTTTAAATGATTTTAGTCCTTCAAATTTCCAAAATACACATAGCTTTTTGTTTCCTATGAATCGAGAGACTTCTGTTGAAAAATACAGTTGACCCAATAGGAGGCCATGTTTTTTTTGGTCCAAAGTTTTTAGCTAAATAAGGCAAGCAAAATGTTCAAGTTGTCTGAAATGTAGATCCCATTCATGGAAATACTGAAAAATAACCCCATTAATTACTATAAGTTAAAAAACAGTAACAACGTATTACTTGGGGCCTTCTGTGCCAATTCTGGTGGCGCATCTTACCCCAATGGTCTAATTTGATCTTATTCTGACTTGTTTTTTAAGCCCGATTTGCAGGTTGAATATTTAAAAAATAAAATAAAAACGGACGAAACACGCTTCAATCATCTCTCCTCGCCCTGTTATATTGAAAATGTATGTTTTACAATTTGCAGTATGACGTAATCCATTGCTAAATTATGGATCATCATAGACTAGCTGACCACAAAGCTAGCTAATGCCACTATCATCAGTGGAAGACCGCTAACGTTAACATTAATGAGCTTGGAAACCACAATGAACTTTTTCAGCCTAAATAAAGTAATGATTACTGTATTTATAGCTAGCATATCTCTAGTTACAGTCCCTGCATTGTAAAAATGTAAGTTATACTTGCGAGGAGTGAACATTTAGACATAGAGAAAAAGTATCAAACGTATCTTGTGCAGAAAAGTTAGCTTTTCTTTTACACCTGTGTGAAATCCAACAATATTTAATAAAAAAAATATATCGGCCGATATATCGGAATATCGGATTTTAAAACCCAAAAATATTTGTATCGGTTTCGGCCTTCAAAATCCTTTATCGTCGGGCTCTAATTATAACTGCCGATACCGATAGTTTGGAAAATGCCTAATATCGCTGATCTCACGACCAAGTCGTACGAATTCGACGAATGATTAAAAAGTGGCTAATTCGTAGCAATTCATACGACCTCACTCGTACGAATTAATACGATTTTGCTAAATCGTACATATTTTACGAATTGGCCAATTCGTATGAATTCGTACGAATGACCTACCCCTGACCCCGCCCCTAAACCTAACCATCACGTGGGTTTAGACAAATCATACGAATTAGTACGAGTGAGGTCGTACGAATTAGCCACTTTTTAATCATGCGTCGAATTCGTACGAATTGGTCGTGAGATAGTGTTGTATCGGTCTGGCTCCAGTTGATGTATTATTTATTATCTCCCATATAATCTGTCTGCTCTCATCACAGTATCACATTGTTTAGTGCTCAATAAAGGTGTCCATGTTGAGCAAGCGGCGGTTTGACGGCTTCAGGGCGTCAGGTGGCGGTTCTCGTCTGTGGTTGATGTTGATTTACAGTAGGTCTCGTTGATCTGTTCGTTTAAATGGACGGGGCGCAGGGTTAGGTGGGTCTCGCACCACACAAAGCCCTGCTCAGTCACGGAGGAGGTTTCACTCCGACAAACCACAGTTCCTCTTGCGGTGTGTTGCTATGGTAAGACTTCCCTTTCGAACAGGAAGTGACAGCGCTGTAAGAAAGAGGGTGTGTCAGACAGAGACTCAGTAGAGGGAAACGCTTCGGCTCGACCCGATCCTGATGTGGACATGTCCAAGAAAATGAAGACTCTGGCAGTGCCAGCGGGTCAGATGGTGAGTCGGGTTCAGGCCTGCGGCTTCTCTGATTGGCTCGTTCTGATGATGATGCGAGAGTTGCTTTATTGTGGGATCCTGCTCATGTTTTTAGCCTTGTTGCTATTTTAACTTTATGCGAGAGATATTTGTAGTCTGGAGAGTGGTGTTTGGTGGATCATCTCTGATGGATTACAGATGTTTACTTCTAGTCCTGGTCTGTTTTTACTCCCACAGCGAGTCTGAGGGGACTTGTGTTTGCACACTGTCTGTGTGTGTGTTTGATTTGAGGACAAAATTGTCCCTAGAAGTTGGTTAAATGGTTTTTGGGTGTCTTATGAGGCAAATATGATTACTATTTGTATTGCACTGACAAGAAATTAACTAATTACACATTTTTCTATAATTAATCGCATCTAACATTAATATATATATATATATATATATACTGTGTATATATATATATATATATATATATATACACACACACATAGATAAATAAATAAATAAAATTATATATATATATATATATATATAAATCTTTAATGTTAGGTGCGATTAATTACAGAAAAATGTATGTAATACAATATATATATATATATATTAGGGCTGTGCAAAAGTTAATTGCGATTAATCGCATCCAAAATAAAAGTCTGTGCTTACATAATATATTTGTATGTGCTGTATATAATTATTTTGTATATATAAATACCAATGCATGCATGTATATATTTAAGAATTATTTGCGCTTAAATTCTGAAAATCTTAAAATCTATATTATATAAATATATAATTTATATATGAATTTTCACACATTTTCTTAAATATATACATGCATGTGTGTGTATTTATATATATACAAAATAATTATATACAGCACAAACAAATATATTATGTAAACACAGACTTTTATTTTGGATGCGATTAATCGCAATTAATTTTTGCACAGCCCTAATATATATATATATATATATATATATATATATATATAGGCTATTGTCTTTGTTGCTATATATTTTTATATACATTTATAGTTGATTTTATATACATCAACTGGTTTTAAGTTGATTTTATATACATCAACTTTTTCAAAGCATTAGCATAAAGCAGATACAATCAAAGTTAAAGCTATTCCTCCACAATAACCCATTCCGCCAAAATAAATATAACAATACTTTACATACAAGTCAAGACAATAATATCAATAATTGTTGCTATATATTTTTTATGAGACCAATATCAAAATTGTCTTCATGAAATAGATTTTTTTCCTCAATTTTGCCCCTTATCGTTATTTATTAGGATTTAAAACGTATAACAATTTAATTTAAGTGAACTTGTCTTGTACGACTCCTTTTCCCATCTGGACTTTGCATTGGCTGTTGAATTATCCTCAGGGCCCAGTTGTTGGAAAACATTAATCTGGATCAGAAATATCTAGTTTTGTCCAGGATCAGGTAATCCATCTTACTTTTGTAAGAAATATGAAATTAGAGAATAATTATATATTTAAATGCTTATGTTTGTCCCCTTGAAACCTTGTGTTCAGGGGCAAAGAACTCAAGAGAGTGAATGCAAAGTCTCTTGTGGGAACGCAAAACATTTGCAAGAGAACGTAAAAACATTAAAATTATTTTTTCGTCCCATCACCATGTCCCTTTAGGGTTTCCGTAGCTCCTCATGTGACCCACAAATAAATGATGCAGTTATTAAAAACTACTTTCGACTGGTTCATCTCTGATTATGCCAATACAGTTATTTATTTATTTGTTTAGAGGATACCAAATAGGGATGCACGATATATATCGGTCAACATATCTGTGTCGGCTGATATATGTTCATTTTGACTGTTATCGTTATTCGCCCAATATATTAAAGCGGATAAATAATGTATTATTATCTCCTTTTCAGATGCGCACTGTTCAACATAATGGTTTTGAACTGGTTGAAATATGTTTGGAATCACTTCAAAAAAGAAAATATAGTTCAGTTCAACATGTGCAAGTCTGTCAAATCGGCTACATAAAATTATATTGTGTTTGGGACATGGCTTTTAATGGTGAGACTTTTGTTTTTGTAATCAGGCTCTCAGAATATATATAAAAACTTGGATTTAGATTTATTGGCCAATATATCGGTTATTGGCTTTCAAATAGTATTAATTATCGGTTATCAGTATCAGCAAAGATGTTCATATCGGTGCATCCCTAATACCAAAATCTTTTTTTTTTTTTACTTTAAGCCTTATATACTTCTACGTTATAACTTTGATATTTAAAAATCAAGAGTGAAATAAAAATATATACGGTCAAAATTAGAATATTGTGAAAAGGTTTTCATATCTGTAATCCATAATCATCAAAATGATAACAAATAAAGGCTTGAAATATCTAGAGTCTATATAATATATTAGTTTCACCTTTTAAGTTGAATTACTGAAATAAATGAACTTTTGCACCTTATTCTAATTTTTTGAGTTTCACCTTAACTGATATTTTGATCCTGATCAACCTCAATCCAATCTGGGTTTCTTAACTGATTTCACAATCCTTTTTTTTTTCTTTTTGAACAACCCTTTTTCAAGATTTGATCAATCGAATTGCTTCCTTTTGAACAAATTGGCGCTGAAGTTAAGCTGAATCTGAAAGGCAAGGGATGTATTCTAAGGCTTTATAATGATTGGCGCTCGCAACGCAAAGGTCAAGGGTTTGATTCCATGGGAAATGCATAAACTGATCAAATGTGCACTCTTGGAAGAAATGGTTCTATTTAGAACCAGAAATGGTTCCATCCCCCGCTTCATATATGGAACTCCAAAATGGTTCTATATAGAACCATTTTTTTTGGTAAAAGGTTCTATTGCCCAAATATGGAACCCCAAGGTTCTAGGAACCCTTTTTTAAGAGTGTATAGAACCTTTTAGGGGTTCCAAATACGTAGCGCTGATAGAACTTTTTAAGGTTCTATATAGAACCTTTTCTTCTAAGAGTGTATAGCTTGGGTTATTCTGCAATAATTATAATTCACTTCTACGGTGAGAAGAAAATACAAATGCATGTTGAGCCACAGAGAAAATGAGCATTTCTCAATCAGGTTTCCACATTGTTTCCATGGCGATGAGGCTTTCAATCACACGGATGTGTTTGGTCGGAGAGTCAGTCGAAATAATTAACACCTTGCACTCTTTTTGGTCGTGTGTGTCATGCTGTCATGTCTTCCAATACAATTTATAAATGTTGTTCAACACCCATTTCCTGTGAGCTGAGAAAAAAAAAACCATGCAGCTGTTAAAATGCTGTTTCCTGTGATGCTTTTCTCGTTTAATTCATGACTATGACACACTATGACTATTCATGATTGTGTGTGTGTGTGTGTGTGTTTGCTCTTGCAGACCCAGGCGGTTTCTGATGGTGGTGAGTTTCATCTCTTTACATTGTAGAATAAGCCTGTCACCATCATCAACTTCTGACAATTAATTGTAATGTAAATAATTGCTATTAACAATTTAATTCTGTTTTGGTCATGTCATTTACAATGTACAAACTAACATGATGGTTTTTTTTTACTTTGAATCTATTAAATAATAATAAACAGTAGTGGCCAAAAGTTATATCTAGCCTTGGAAAATCAACATCTTCACTTTTTATTCAAATAATATTAAAGTTAAAGTCCCCCTGTAGTCAATAATTTTATCCCTTTTAAACTCATCTTTTATCACCAAAAGTTTTCCGTTTTTAATTAAAAAACGAATTCCTTAAAATATCTTGAATGTAACCCGACACCCTTGCCTTATTTAGAATGCGCGGTTCTATGAATATGCAAATGAGCCCCGCCTCCACTCATAACAAATTGTGCGGACAATATTTTTGGTCAGGCTGTCATGCAAAGTTATACTAATGTTTGATTGTTGTAGACAATATAGGCTTTTTCATGTGTTTTTTTTTTTTTTTTTGCATTGTAAAAAAATACTTATCTGTAATTTGCCAAATAATTGAGTCTGATAAATACCATAACCAGGTTTAGGGTTTAGTTTTTTCTACTAATGTAAAATATATAAAAAATATAACTGTGTTTCTCATGTTTGGATCCTTTAATTGAACTTCTTAAAGATATCACTTTTGGCCACTACTGTGTAAATAGGCTCATATGATTCAATGCTTTAAAAAAAATTAATAACTTAATTTTATTTGCTTTGTTTGGCATTGATTAAATCCACAATCCATTTTTTTTAATGTTATTATATTCTGTTACTGGAAAAGTAGATTATATTGTACATGAGTGGCATTTCTTTAAGTGCTTCAATGTCCTTTTTTTGAATAACAATTGCAGTTATTTTAAGTATTTGCGATTAGACCAAATAACCCTGATCAGATCATTAATGAATAATGGAGACGGGCCTACTCTAGAACTTGCTGTAACATCGGTCTCGTGGTCATTAACTCGATCGCACTCCTCACAGAGCTGAACCTCAAGCTATCCAGCCGTGGCAGCAGCTCCAGCCTATCAGAGAGCTCGAGCGGGTCAGGTGGTCCGGCCAGTCGCGTGGTCAGCTGGGCCGTGTGTTTCGAGCGGCTGCTTGAAGACCATGTCGGTGTGCGATACTTCACTGTAAGTTTTTAGACTTCTTACCGCTGTTTAGTTTAATGCAATATCTTTTTATTTATTCACATTATCTATAATATTAGTGTTAAAGTGCTTAATCCTAACTGTGCCATTTAGCTTTTTCATATATATTTATTTAATTTAATTAATGTCTTGTTGTATTTGTGCGCTCTGGAAGATTAATTTACCAAGAAAATTTTTTTTTTATTCTGCTTCTGCTTTAAAATCTTATATAAAGATCAATATTGCTGTCCATATTACAATAAAGATGCAAATAAGATGATGTAATCGCTGTAGAAAAATATATATAGTTTCTGTGAGCATTTAAGAGATGTACCATACTATTTAAACAGGATTTATGTACAGTATATTGATTGTTTACAACAATTTAACAATTTGGTCTTAAAAAAACAATGTATTGAAGTGATTGTAATCAGTTATTTAAAAAAAATTAAATCCTGTTGATTGTCATTAATATTGCCATTGCTGCTAATATCGTGTTAAATCATAAATTAAAAAAAAACAAGTTTATTTACATACACTCTAAAAATGCTGGGTTGTTTTAACCCAAATCTGGGTCAAATATGGACAAACCCAAATGTTGGGTTAAAAATATTGTTTAAAGTTGAAGTTGGGTTATATTGTTAACCCAACATTTGGGTTTGTCCATATTTGACCCAATTTTGGGTTAAAACAACCCAGCATTGTTTAGAGAGTATGTTATTTCCAACTTTAATCCACATAATATAGTCACATAAAGCAATATAGCAAATCTCAGCTGCTTAAATAGCTTTTATTGTCCCAAAATGTAATTATATTACTGTCCAGCTCTAATCTGCGAAATGTGACTAGGACATAAAGATATTATAAACATTAACACATGATTTTCTGATAGAAAACCGAGAAATAAGGCTCTTGTCTTCCCGTTCGCCAAATAGGGAGGAAAACTTCAACACCCATAATGCACTGGGCATGTTGCCGACAGAAGCCACGCCCACCAGTCTGCTATGGACACGCTTGACCAGTCAAATATCGCATTGCTTTAGTGTGTTAAATGTGTGCTATTACGTTTCAAGAGATTCTGCATGTTTATTCATAAAAACACATACTTTACGTTTGGATATGATCTGTGAAGCATTGAAGTGTTTTGTTTTTCCCGCACAGGCGTTTCTCAGATCAGAAGTGAGTGCTGAGAATATCCTGTTCTACCAAGCCTGTGAAAAGTACAAGAAAATCCCGTCTACGAGACTGGAAGAGGTATGCACAGATGTTTAAAATTGATATGGGAATTAAATTTCATTTTAAAAAGGGGGAAAAATCCCATTTTAAACAAGAAAAGACAGTTTTGGATTTTTGTAGATGCATTATGACTTCCAATGAGTGAGAAATGTGTCTGTGTGTATTGGACTCGATTTGTTTTTTTGTTTTTTTTCATCTTTATGATGTTTAATATGTGAATGTGCAGTCTTGTGAAATGCACGCCATCTTATAATTGCATATTAGCATTTTACACAGACACTTCCTCAAACTAATAGACACTTACTAGTCGTCTTGAAGCTATCTGGGGTTTAACGCCTTTCTCAACGGCACAATAGATCTCCAAACCACTCCTAATCTCACGAGATGCAACGTAACACAATTAAAATGTGGTGCAACATTGCTTGATTTTAGTGTAAAACGTGTCTCAAACCATTAAATGAGGAGCAAGTTCAACTATGGGTGGTGTCTGACAAAAAATGATCTATATAATCAAGAAATGGAGCCAAATCGCGGAGAATGGGGGTTAAAATGCACTATTTAAACTTAAATGGTTGTAATTCAAGAATGCTTTGGAATATACCCAAGTTTGGTCTTGTTTTAAAGAAAACACTCAGCAGATTATTGCTGAAGTGAAAACACTTCAAAAAATGAAAGTATGAAAAAGTTATGGAAGTTTAAATTCACAGTGAATCAAATATACTGCACTATATATTTTTTATTTTATATAAAATATATTTTTTACTATAAAATCAAAGCCATAAATATAACCAAGCTATGTTCCAAATTTGAAGTTGATATCACAAAAATTGAAGTTCCCATGAGATTTTGTTTAGGCGTAGTACCAAAAATAGCCACCGGGTGCCATTGAATTCCATTGAATTTAGTTGTATACATTCTGCCTTAACAAATTAATACATTTCTGTCCGAATATCAATTCTGTCACAAAATTTGGAACCTTAAGACTCAGACCTTTCTGAAAATATGTGTTTTGTCAAGATTAGAAAAGGTTTTGATCATAAATCATGAAATATAATGATGCCCAAAAGGGGAGGAGCCTGATAAAATAAGTACCGTTTCTATGGTAATGCAATGTTCAACTATAAAACGGTTTTCACAGGATGAATTCTGAGTTTATAAGATTTCAAATGATACCTAATTTATGATAACTACTAAAATATGTGATATAATAAAAAGGCGATACAAATATTATATTTTAGAAGATTATATATATATATATATATTATAATTTTTAGAGGATATGTTTTATTATGAACTTTAAGCATGAAAATAGAAGTTTCAATGATTAAAAGTGGGTGCATCGACTTTTTGTGACAGGTCAGACCAGATTTTTTTGAGGTGCACTCTTGTCATAAATTCATCAATTACTCTTCCTACATAATTTGTAACACAAAACAGGGGTAGAATATCTATTTAGGAGTCTTAGACCTTTCCAACGATATATAATTGATCATAATTAGATTAGGATTTAATATATAGTAAAGTAAAGTTAGGCGTCCGAGTTAGTGTAAGAGCAAGTCTAGGTTTCTCTGCTCACTTATGCATGTTTAGCATAAACCGCCACTGCTATGAACTCGTTATTTTTACTTAAATAGGGGTTTATAATGAATTAAAATCATATTAACAAATAATAAATTTAAAAGACGCATACATCGTCATATGTGATGCACGCAAGCACAGAACTTCTGTAACGCCCACGTCTAGAAAACACACACTTGACCTCTGTAATAAAAACACATGATGCATGAAAACACCATTTAGAAAACAGGGCTCTAGGACTCTTTTATATCTCAATTCTGATTGGTAAAAGAGTCAGAATTGCAAGTTTATAAACTCTCACTTGTGTCTGAAATGAGATATACACTTTTTTTTGAGTGAGAATTTTCACACGACTGTTTAAATCACAATTTTGACTTTCTTGCAATTAAAGTTGCAATTACCTATTTTTTTTTTCAATTCATGGCGGAAACAAGCTTCCAGTCATAATGAGAATCAAATATCAGCAATATACTGTGTGTCCCCTCAGCTGAAGAGAGAAGCACGCTCCATCTACGACAGTTTTCTGTCTGAAAGCTCTCTGCATGCGGTTAATATCGACGATACGGCGCAGGTGGAAGTGAGCGCTTTGGAGACGCCGACACCAGACATGTTCGATAAAGCACAGGAACAGGTACACACTGACAAATCACATACCAATACTGTGATATTTATAGCATAGTTATTTAAAGTCCCCCTGTAGTGAAAATATCGCTTTTAATGTTGTGTATGTGGTGTTTTTAAAGTTCATAAGTATTTTTAGTGAACCAAAGACGGTCTCAAAAACACGGTTTGAAATCGCTGGTGTTTCTGACGTCACAAACGACCAGATCAACGTGTGATCATCAACCAGTGGAAGGGAGTGAGTGGGGGCGGGGCTCGTTTGCATATTCATATAACCGTGCATACTAAATGAGGCAAGGGTGTCGGGTTACGTTCAAGATATTTTAAGGCATGACGAATTGTCATTTTGGTGATCAAAGTTGAGTTTTAAACAATACAATTATTGACTACAGGGGGACTTTTTGTGTTTTTGTTTTTAAAGATGCACTGTGTGATTTTTACCTCCATCTAGTGGTGAAATGGTATATGACCATCCAGTGAATATTAGTTTCTGTTTCTCAATTCCGATTTCGTTTTAACTCCTACGGTGGCCAATGTAGTCCAAGATTAACATGGCTTCCACTTCGACCTCGTTAATGAGTGTTAACTCAAACGTAAACGCGAAAGGCGAAGCTTATGTCCCTCTTTGGCTAATGTACTTTCAAGATGGAGGGGCAACATGGCGACCCCTTACCTGTATGTATTTTCAATGGCGTATTATACACTCACGAGAATACTTTATTACTTGAACGAAGTAAATATACATTAATGAGCACATATATTAGTGTTTTTAGCTAAGAATAAACTAAAAGAGTTGCACAGTGTAGCTTTAATTATTTGCAATTTGTACCAAAAGATCTGATTATTCATAACAAATGAAGTAGTCTGGCATTGCAAAAGTTGCTTCACTTGATGTAACTAAACAGTAAAACTAAGACTATGAAGCGTCTGGAATGATTCGACGGTGATGGTTTATTCTTTCCCCCTGCCGCAGATCTTCAAACTAATGAAAATGGACAGCTACACGAGGTTTGTTCGCTCTCCGCTGTACCAGACCTGCATGCTGGCCTGTGTGGAGGGTCGTCCTCTCCCCAGCGTTGGGACCCCGGAGCCCAAAAGCAAGATGTCCAAAAAGAGCGCAACGCCTCCCAGTTACAGAAAGGTAACGCATTTAAAATCCCTTCAACACAGGTTTAGTTACGTTAAACTACCCTTCAAAGGTTGAGGAGTTGATAAGCATTTATTTCATGTCAAATACAGCAGAAAAATATCATTTGAAATATTATTACAGTTTAAAATTACTTTTTTTCTATTTTTTTTGACCAATCAATCACTTAATGCTGCTTTTACACCGTCAAATTCGCCCCGTGAACACTTTAAATCCATTTTTCTTTCCATTTCCAGATTTTGTTTTAGTATATTTTTTGGGACAATTAGGGCGGATTCGGGATAACGGCTTAGATTTCGGGACTGTCCCGAATTTTTCGGGACTTCTGGTCACCCTATACTCCAGAATCCTTCAGAAATCATGTTAATATGATGATTTGATGCTCAAGAAACATTTCTGATTTATTGTCAGTGTTAAAAAAAAAAGCTTCATATTTTTGTGGAAACTGTGTTGCAGTTTTTCTTTTGGAAATGTTTTTTTACATAATTTAATGCATCCTTGCTGAATATAAGTACTAATTTCTTTCCTATATTATATTTTTAATTATTAATATTATATATATATATATATATATATATATATATATATATATATAATTAATAATTATAAAATTTATATAATTATTTTGTATATATAAATACACACACATGCATGTATATGTTTAAGAAAATGTGTTATTCATATATAAAATATTTATATTTATATAATATAGATTATTTATTTTTATATATATATATATATACAGAATTTAAACGCAAATAATTCTTAAATATATACATGCATGTGTGTGTATTTATATATACAAAATAATTATATACAGCACACACAAATATATTATGTAAACACAGACTTTTATTTTGGATGCGATTAATCGCAATTAATTTTTGCACAGCCCTAATTTTTAAATGTTTATACTAATTAGGGCTGTCAAACAATTTATCGCGATTAATCGCATCCAAAATCAAAGTTTGTGTTTACATAATATATGTGTGTGCTGTGTATAATTATTTTATATATATAAATACACACGCATGCTTGTATACATTTAAGAAGTATTTTCATGTATGTACTGTATATATAATTTATATTATATATAAATATAAATATTTTATATATAAATAATATTTTTTTCTTAAATATACAAGCATGTGTGTAATTATATATATATATATATATATATATATTTATATATATATTTATATATATATTTATATATATATATATATATATATAAATATACACAGTGCACCCACATATATTATGTAAACTCAAACTTTGATTTTGGATGCGATTAATCGTTTGACAGCCCTAAATATATTTAGCAAACACACAAAACAATGTCTTGATTCATCCAGATTTAATGAACCGAACGCTCAAAGTTTTGCTCCAATGGTTTGTTGCTTCATATTGCAAAATATCACGTTGATGGAGTGCATTTTCCTTTCGCTGCGTCTTATGTTGAGTTCAGTTTGCAGTGTAAATTCTGAAACTGCTTCTCCACGTAGGCCATGAAATGAACCCTCAAACTGTCTCTATATATCAGTATATATCTTCATATCTCACAGTGCAGATGTTTAAAGTGTTTGTCAGTCCGCCGTGGGAATATGATGCCGTGTGTCAGTGAGTAAGTAGACCAATAACCACAGAGGAACAAGTCTCACGTAGATCACTGTGTGTTTTTGAACAGAGCGTTGAATTGAAAGTGCCCTCGTCAGACAGCAAGACCAACAGGAAGAAGAGGTTAGAGAAGAGAGGCTCATGGGGAGGTACCATCTGACTCAACACTTCTCTATCTGTGTGTGGCATCTCTGTGATGTGCTTAGCTCTGGCCTTATGCATGTTTCATGCCAGTGATGGTTTGCAGATGCCCACAGTTTGCACCATTCTCTTCTCTGTCGGTTTGAACTGCACTAACAGCGTGTGTTTCTCAGCCGACCAGTCGTACCAGCACGTGTCGGTGTCTCGTAATGAGTCTCAGATCTCGGTGAAGTCCAACAGCAGCTTGGAGTTGGTCTCTGGATTCAGCCGAGCTGAGGTATCTTCACCAAACCAAATGTTCCTGGAGATTGTGTATTTCATGAAGGGAGTACAAATGCAAAATTATAGTGATTGATCGCTGTTTCGAGTGTCACAATGTCATACTGTAGTGCTGAACTGGTATTACCAAATTAAGTCCTTTACCTAAGTTCAAAAAAGTGACCCATTATGCCCTTTTACAAAGTCTTGTTTTCGTGCAATGAAGCGAGCAAAAGTCAGCGAATAAAACACTGACACAATGATGAACAAATATCAATAATATTCACAATTACATTTCGTTTTACTGAATTAAGTGAACAGATTTTCTTAATTTATCTTTGTAAAGAAACCGCATTGATTAACTGGCTACTCTCTGCGGTGTCAGACGACGACCTGTCGACCGCCATAACTTCTGTTGGTTGCAATTCGCATCCTCACCACTAGATGCCACTAAAATTGACAAACTGCACCTTTAAATTAAAGGAGTAGTTCACTTTAAAAAAAAAACTTGCTGATAATTTACTCTCCCCCATGTCATCCAAGATGTCCACGTCTTTCTTTCTTCAGTCGAAAAGAAATGAAGGTTTTTTGATGAAAACATTCCAGGATTTTCTCCATATAATGGACTTCAATGGGGACCAAACGGTTCAAGGTCCAAATGAGAGTTTCAGTGCAGCTTTAAATGATTCCAGACGAGTCATTTGGTTTTTCGAGTCATTTGGTTTGACTCGAAAAAAAGATTTGTTCATTTTGATGAACGAGTTCGAACAGGAGAGTCACAGAACAGAGCAAGGCGAGCATTTGTGCTCATAAAACTTAAAGTTTTTTATTTATTTTTTAAATGAGCGATCGTTTCACTAGATAAGACCCTTATTCATCGTCTGATGTCGTTTAAAGCCCTTTGAAGCCGCACTGAAACTCTCATTTGGACCTTGAACCGTTTGGTCCCCATTGAAGTCCATTATATGGAGAAAATCCTGGAATGTTTTCATCAAAAACTTAATTTCTTTTCGACTGAAGAAAGAAAGACATGGACATCTTGGATGACATGAGGGTGACTCATTTAAGTTAAATGGACATCTTTTGATTGTCTCTCCGTCAGAATGGGCGCTGCAGTGTGGCCGTCTCTGACCCAGAGGCCTTGAGTTCTGGTTCTCCTACAGCTGATAAGTACTGTTGTGTGTATCTGCCGGACGGGACGGCCAGCTTGGCCCCTGCCAGACCGGGCCTGACCCTCAGAGACATGCTCAGCAGCCTGTGTGAGAAGAGAGGCTTTCCCCTGAAAGACGTGCTCATTTACCTGCACGGCAAAGACAAGGTCAGTCCACAACCCACTGCGTTTAATCTGGACTTCTCTGTCCATGCTCCATAGACCACCATTATATGACTGACAGACAAGAACGGTTTGACCTAAAAATATCAATTACAAATCTTGGATGCCCTTGAGGTAAGCTAAAACATACCAAAAATTAATTTCAAAGTGAACTGTCCCTTGAAGTAGGACTACACTGCAATGCATTCTGGGTAAAATAAGACGCTTTTCAAAACAAAACAAAAAACGTGGCGGATGGAGTAAGCGCATTTTGTGAAACAGTCTAACTTGCATTAGCAAATCGTAGACTTGTCTAACACTATAGATAGCTTTATGCTATTGGTCCAGGTTTGTCTTGTAGTATTCGTGAAGACACTGAACACTGTGTGTGTGCGTCTCCACAGCCTCTTTCTCTGGACCAGGACAGCTCGGTGTGTGGAGATCAACAGCTCACGCTGGAACTCAAAGTTACTTTTGTGTGAGTCTCATTTAGAAACGCTTTTCATACCAACATATTTACTGTTTCCTACCCGTTTTATTCCCCATCAAACTGAAGTTGCGATTAGTCTTTTTTTTTTTTCCTATTATTAAACCAAAATTTATTCAGACACCTTCAACATTTCTCACATTATCACCGTTTATTCGCTATAGTTTAGAAAATGGTAATAAAATATGAGGTTCTCGGATCAGTGGATATTTGACTGGTTTTGTCCGTCCATCTGAATTATGTTGAGTATCTGTTAAATTGAACTCCACAATTAGATAATACCAGTTTAGCTCAGCCAGGGACCAAGCAGTGCTTCTTGTTCAGTGTGTGTGTGTGTGTAAAAAGAGCATTTACAGAAAACACACTTAAGTGTCCGGACTACCAGTGAATAATTTTTTGCCCAAAATTTGTATACATTTTAGTGTATGAAGAATTTTTTTTACATTATTTTGCTATCCTCACTTACATAAATTAACTACATTGTCCTGCACCGACTAGCAAAAAAAAATCAAAAATTAAATTTGGTGTCTGAATTATTTTTGTTATTTACTGTATATCCGAAACGCTTCTGAACTAGAACAAATGTGGGCGGGGCTTGATTTTGTCTGTGTGGAATTGATTGGCTGGTTGTGGTTTTCTATTGGCTGATCTCATGTGAGTGACAGGTTATAGCTCCGCCCACGTCATCAGAGAAGAGATGCAGCGAGATGAATAGATTCTGATTTAAGATTATTAAAACAATAATGATGTGCACCGAAGAATCATTTATGCAATATCACACACACACACACACACAAAAAACAAAACAAGAATTGTCCATTTTGAATTCATAACCAACATTATTACCGATAGAGCAATATGTAATCTAGGCTGATATTTTGATGATATTAGCATCAGCCAATAGCAATACCTGATGGTTGATTGACAGTAGCGTTAGTTCTCATTGAAACGGTATATATTAATCTGTGCATTATAATATGATTATTAGTCATTTTTGAAATAATTATATAGATCTAGACTAGTTATGGGGTGTTATTTTAGTGTCATTGAGAATGTAATTGTTTATTAATATTTTCAATTAGTTTTTTTATATATATATATACATATATATTTTTTAGTTTTACACACTTTGTGTTGTCTTTTTTTATTAGTTTAAAAAAGTTTTTATAGTTTGATTTATTTCAGTTTTAGTTAGAGTACATCGTTAATCTAAATGAAAATGAGAAATGTTCCCTTGTCCACAAGCTGAAATGATATTTTACATATAAACTTCTTTGAAAATGGTTTCATCTTGCTAGAATAAGCCTGTACCTGTTGTCTGTACAGGCTGGAGATTGTGTTTTTAGGAAGAACGATTGGCATCATTGCGAAGTCCAGCAAGACGTTGGGCGACGCGGTTTCGCCCGTCCTCCAGAAACACGAGCTGAGACCTCAGGATGTGCAGATCACGCTGGTGTGTAAACGCGTGCAAACTCATGTGAAGAAGCACAAATATCATATAATAATTAACTTTTTTTTTTTCTTTGTTGTTCCAGAGTGGCTCAAATGAACCTCTAAGTCTGAGCACCAATGTGTTTCGTCTAGCCAGCAAAACCATGCGTCTGGACAGAGTTAAAGGTGTTCTATCATCAGTTCATTGATTTGTCCATCAAATTATTTATTAAAGTATAACTAACATTTTTTTTTATATATATATATATATATATATATGTGTATGTATGCATGTATGTATGTGTGTGTGTGTGTGTGTATATATATATATATATATATATATATATATATTATTTATATTATATAATTATTATTTTTTATTTATTTTTATTTATTTTTTACATATGCATTTAGCAATAAATTATATATTATTATTATATATTTTTAATGATAATTATTGAAATTGTTTTTATTTAAATTGTGCAATGAATATGTAAATACAAATTTAACTCATTGTGTATAATTATACTTGTAATAAATATAAATAATAATAATTTTCTGATTTTAATTGTTTAAGAATATTTTTTATTTAATTTTAAAATAAAATCTGATCTAAATCTTTTTAACTGTAAAATACTTTTAATAATTATATAAAGCTAAAAGTGTATTATATTAATTATGATAAAATCTATTGAAATTATAGAATTATAATTTAAAAAATATTTTTCTATAAATGGTGTGTGTATGTATATATATATTTGTGTATATGTGTTTTTATTTATATATATATATATATATATATATATATACACACACGCACACTGTACAGACAAAAACTTCTCAAAATGATTCAGATTAGTACATTTATTTATATATATATATGAAGAGTTCAGATGCAAAAGCCTCTAAGTGCCATTTGAAATTTTCTTCTTTAATGATGATTTTTTATCAAACTTGTATATTTAAGTTCAGTAATTTCACTTAAATAACAATTAATAGGTAATTATCATTGCCATTTAAGTGAAATCACTGAACTTAAATATACAAGCTTGATAAAAATGATCATTCTAGAAGAAAATTTCAAATGGCACTTAGAGGCTTTTGCATCTGAACTCTTCATATATAGTTTGTGTCTAATTTTGAATTTCTTTCCTTTTAAATAGATGAGTTCCACCAAGTGGAAGAAAAACCTAAACCGTTAAATAGATAAACTTCCATAAAATGACAAAATATAGTTCTGAAGTCATCATGATGAACCCTTTTTTACTTCTGAGCTTTTCCGCTTGTGAAATCTCTGTCTGAGTTTAGTTCTGCAAACCTCTCGTGATATTCCCTCGCTCTCTCTCTCTCGTGTCAGTTTGCGTTAGACGTGTTGTGCTTTCCTGTCACAGTGCTGTAGCGCACCACGAATGAATCTTCTCTGAGGACCACGTTACACACCTTAAGAACGGGATTATGGGGAGGTTTAACTGACATGACATCCAGTGATCCCTGTTTAACGGTGTGTATCTGTGTGTTTCAGTTGGTTTGGAGACTCAAGCCTCTTCATCATCCAAAGCAAACCACAGACCCAGAAAACACCAGGAGATGGACGGTAATGCAGGAGTGTTATAAACATGATAGTTATGCATCCTCAGATCTGAAGCCATTGCAAATTATGCAGTGTGTGTGTGTGTGTGTGTGTGTGCACTGCCTAGTTATTTTGAAAGAAAATAGTGTGCAGTTCATATACTACTGTATGTATAATATGCAAATCACGTATATGCATACCAACATGTACCATCGACGGGGATGTACTGGAAACTAAATGGCGGCACCATGGCTGGAAACGTGCAGATTAAGGGCCGATAATATTATAATAAGATCCTCTTCCTACATCAGAAGGGGACCGCTTATTTTTTGACATGCTTTCAGAGAAAGTCTTACAGGTTTTCATGATACGTCCACTTTATGCTACGTTCACACCGGATGCAAATCGCGCGTCAAATTCGCGCCTGACGCGTCTAGTTTGACGCTTCACCACTTTGTGTTAATTCGCGTGTCAAGAGCGAAACTGGCGCGCGTAAAAACAAAAGTTTGAAGCGAAATTTACGCGCGTCAGAATCGAAATCCGTTGGCGGCCGTTGTTTTTATGTCGACCGAGCATTCATCGAGAGAGTTACCGCTCTGTATTTACTCTGGAGAGCAGAACAGCGGCGTGGGGATCATCGGCGCCGTATATTTGTGTCCACCGGACCCTTCGGAGCCGAACCGTTTGGCGAGTTTCTCGCTCCAGGAGCTGCGCTGGATGACGGCCGCTGTCAGCGGTACTTCCGCCTGTCCCGCGCCCAGTCTGATGACCTGCACTCTCAGAAAAAAAGGTACAAAAGCTATCACTGGGGCTGTACCTTTTCAAAAGGTAAACTTTTGTCCATTTTAGGTGTTAATATGTAGGCTACATTTTAGGTGCTAATTAGTACATTTTAAGTGTTAATAGGTACATTTTAGGTGCTAATAAGTACATTTCAGGTGCTAATATGTACATTTCAGGTGTTAATATGTACATTTTAGGTGCTAATATGTGAATTTTAGGTGCTAATATGTACATTTCAGGAGCTAATATGTCTATTTTAGGTCCTAATATGTACATTTTAGTTACTAATATGTACATTTTAGATGTTAATATGTACATTTTAGGCGCTAATATGTACCACTAAGGTGCCAATATGCAGCCTTTGGGTACAAAAGTGTACCTTTTGAAAAGGTACAGCCCCAGTGACAGCTTTTGTACCTTTTTTTCTGAGAGTGTGTTGTCCCGCATCGGAGCGAGGATCACCCTCGCCCTCATCCACCTAATCTAGCTGTCATTTATTTTTGTTTTGATGATAAATAGAGCCAGCCTTCAAAAATTATTAACCTGTCCTGTTTTTTTTTTTTTTTCCTTTTTTTTTTCTCTCTCTCACGTCCAGACACGAACTTATGCACATATGTTGATTGTCTTTACATCATAATACTATTTCATATAATCTAGATATTGAATGAATAACATTCAATACAAAATGAACATGTCTCGTATATAGAAATAATGTTTTAAGTGATAAAACATTTGCTTTGTTGTGCATAATCCCAACATGCATTTAGTCATATTAACAAAATAATTTATTGAAGCATCCAGACACTTCACCACGTGAGCAAGCAGCTAGGCTCCTGATTGGTTGACGCGGCGCGAATTCACGCCAAAGTTCAGATTTTTTAACTCGGGCGGCAGACGCAAATTCGCGTCAAACGCGTGAATGCACAAATGGCACTAACGGAATCATTCGCGCGTAACGCACCAGACGCTCAATTCGCGCGAACGGCGCGGGAATTTTTCACGCGCGTAAAGCGTCTTTGCATTGACTTAACATTGAAATCATTCGCGCCTGACGCCCTATTCGCGTCCGGTGTGAACGTAGCATTAAACAGAACCGCAGCTTGTGTTCTCTTCTAACCGGATCGGTGTCTTCCTCAGTTCTGGTGGAGCTGCTGTCCCGTGCCCAGTGCAGTCGAGTGGACGACCAGCGAGGCTTACTCACGAAAGAGCACCTGGAGCTGCCGCAGTTCCTTCAGCTGCCAGCAGGGGACGGACAGCAACACGCACAAGATGAAGACTGCGCCCTTTGACCTTTGACCCTGAGGACATGTCCCGTGACCTTGAGCACTATACAAGCATCTAACAGACTCAAAGCAGTTAGTTGTGTGGAGGAGGGAAACTGTGTGTGTGTGTGTGTGAGATTTCTTAACCTGAGAGTGAATGATTTGTGTATATTTTGTACATCACAGACACTGATCGAATATAGAGCTCTTAAAAACGCTGCCCATCGAAGAATGCAGAATTATGGGAAGATGCCTTTAAAAAAAGATCATACTACATAAATGTGTATTTATTTTCATATCGGATTGTATTGTCCAATAACAAGTGTGCTCTTTTTCTATTTCTAAGAGCATATTTGTTATGGGAAGTCTTACACAGAGTTGTTCACAGTGAGTTGTAGTGTCTGATTAAAGCGGTTTTGTGTGAGCTGCTGTGGGGAAGTTGCACTGTTTGACTTGTTTTGCACTTTTTTTTTTTTGCTTTGTGTGGTGAAACAATCTGATATGAAATAAGGCACGCAAAGTCATTTTCAGAATAGTTTAAAAAATGTGCCGTTCCAAAACTGTATTCAAGCTTATTTATCAAGTTACTGTTAGTGTGTTATTTGGTTAGTGCCTCTCTCTTCTGTAAAATAAAAGCAGATGTTGTACAAAAGCCATAAAATTAGTCTAGACAACCCTGAATATAGTCCACGAGTTGTAGGAAGTAAAAGAGCAGATGATTGTACAAATGTCTCCTTTCACAGACTTTAATCTCGATATTTAATGAGTTTATTCTCAAGATTGTATTTGACTTTTTTTATTGAAATTTAACGAGTTTTTCCTCAACACAGACTTTATTCTCAATATTTAATGAGTTTATTCTCAAGATTGTATTTCGAATTTTTTCTCTAGAAATTTAACGAGTTTTCCTCAAAACACACTGACTTTATTCTCGATGTTTAATGAGTTTATTCTAAAGATTGTATTTCGACTTTTTTCTCGAAATTTAACGAGTTTTTCCTCGAAACAAAGACTTTATTCTCAATATTTAATGAGTTTATTCTCAAGATTGTATTTCGAATTTTTTCTCTCGAAATTTAACGAGTTTTTCCTCAAAACACACTGACTTTATTCTCGATGTTTAATGAGTTTATTCTCAAGATTGTATTTGACTTTTTTTATTGAAATTTAACGAATTTTTCCTCGAAACAGACTTTATTCTCAATATTTAATGAGTTTATTCTCAAGATTGTATTTTGAATTTTTTCTCTCGAAATTTAACGAGTTTTTCCTCAAAACACACTGACTTTATTCTCGATGTTTAATGAGTTTATTCTAAAGATTGTAGTTCGACTTTTTTCTCGAAATTTAACGAGTTTTTCCTCGAAACAAAGACTTTATTCTCGATATTTAATGAGTTTATTCTCAAGATTGTATTTTGAATTTTTTCTCTCGAAATTTAACGAGTTTTTCCTCAAAACACACTGACTTTATTCTCGATGTTTAATGAGTTTATTCTCAAGATTGTATTTCGACTTTTTTCGCAATTTAACGAGTTTTTCCTCAAAACATCGACTTTATTCTCGATATATAATGAGTTTATTCTCAAGATTGTATTTCGACTTTTTTCTCGAAATTTTACGAGTTTTTCCTCAAAACATCGACTTTATTCTCGATATTTAATGAGTTTATTCTCAAGATTGTAGTTCGACTTTTTTCTCGAAATTTAACGAGTTTTTCCTCAAAACATCGACCTTATTCTCTATTTAATGAGTTTATTCTCAAGATTGTAGTTCGACTTTTTTCTCGAAATTTAACGAGTTTTTCCTCGAAACACGACTTTATTCTCGATATTTAATGAGTTTATTCTCAAGATTGTAGTTCGACTTTTTTCTCGAAATTTAACGAGTTTTTCCTCAAAACATCGACCTTATTCTCTATTTAATGAGTTTATTCTCAAGATTGTAGTTCGACTTTTTTCTCGAAATTTAACGAGTTTTTCCTCGAAACACGACTTTATTCTCGATATAAAATGAGTTTATTCTCAAGATTGTATTTCGACTTTTTTCGCAATTTAACGAGTTTTTCCTCAAAACATCGACTTTATTCTCGATATTTAATGAGTTTATTCTCAAGATTGTAGTTCGACTTTTTTCTCAATTTAACGAGTTTTTCCTCGAAACACGACTTTATTCTCGATATAAAATGAGTTTATTCTCAAGATTGTATTTCGACTTTTTTCGCAATTTAACGTGTTTTTCCTCGAAACATCGACTTTATTCTCGATATTTAATGAGTTTATTCTCAAGATTGTATTTCGACTTTTTTCTCGAAATTTTACGAGTTTTTCCTCAAAACATCGACTTTATTCTCGATATTTAATGAGTTTATTCTCAAGATTGTAGTTCTACTTTTTTCTCGAAATTTAACGAGTTTTTCCTCGAAACACGACTTTATTCTCGATATATAATGAGTTTATTCTCAAGATTGTATTTCGACTTTTTTCTCAATTTAACGAGTTTTTCCTCGAAACACGACTTTATTCTCGATATAAAATGAGTTTATTCTCAAGATTGTATTTCGACTTTTTTCGCAATTTAACGAGTTTTTCCTCAAAACATCGACTTTATTCTCGATATTTAATGAGTTTATTCTCAAGATTGTAGTTCGACTTTTTTCGCAATTTAACGAGTTTTTCCTCAAAACATCGACTTTATTCTCGATATTTAATGAGTTTATTCTCAAGATTGTAGTTCGACTTTTTTTCTCGAAATTTAACGAGTTTTTCCTCGAAACACGACTTTATTCTCGATATTTAAAGGTGCCATCTAACATAATAAATCAAATCCTACTCCATATTCCATAACAGATGGGGGCAGTATACCTCCAAAAAATGACTTGTGCTCCTACCATCGCGCATGTTATTCAAATCATTTGACATGATAGTAAAAGGTTGGAAGACCGCAGTTTCACGTGGAACATTTGGAGATTTTTAGAGATCAGAGACTCAATGAACTAAACACTAGAGTGAACTAAACTAAACACTATGAATCTCAACACTAAATGATGAAGACCGCCTCATAGATCTCAAAAACAAGCTGGTGCATTTCGACGGTATGGGAAAATAAAAGCTTGGGCAATTATTTGAAGTTTATGGTATTCGTTTTGTTCATATTACACTTTTATTGTTAGTGAATTAATTTGACAGACAGCATTCGCTGATGTTGATCAAGCTAGCGCCGTGAATTCACCGTGAGACACACGCAATTGACACTTAGCAAGCAGGTTAGTTAAGCTCTCAGATTCTGTCAATTATATTATGCAATTCAAAGAATAAATACCGTTTTGGCGCTTGTACATGTTACACTACAGATCCCTAGCGCACGTGAACCGATCGTCTCTACTGGCTAATGGAAAGAACACGAACACTGGTGAAAGATACAGTATGCTACAACTTACCAAAATGTATTCCTCATGCATAATGTCGACCAATCATTTTTTGAACTCTTCCCTGAACTGAAATGTAGTAGTGGGCTGTATTTCCACACGACTGACATCAGGTTCAAGTACACACACACAAGCCGGCGCGAGCGCGACTCACTCGCGTATTGCAGTTTGGCTGGTGCTAACGTTGCCCGTCCGCATACCGCCTCCCATGGCCGGAACTGGTATTACGACACCTACCGGGCCGGGGCTAGTCATTTAGCATGCTAATTTAGGTTTATATCTCGGCAGCACTATAACTTGCCAGTTTTTTAAAGGAGCTAAACGCAAGTCTCTGAGTTTTTGCAGAACTACGCCCCCTCTGGCGACAAGCGAAACTGCAACCAGAGCTGTGCGCGTTCATGGAGGAACACACACACACACACACACACACACACACACGCACGTTTGCACGAGCTGTTCATAACCTAAGGAGCACACTGCGCGGCACACATCTTTTGTTACAGTCATAATGAGCTAATCCAGTAATAAATCTGCAAGTCATTTAAAATATATGAAAGGAAAGTCATTCGAGTAAATTACACACTAATGTGTGTGAGAGGGGGAAACGGGGGTAGTAGAAAACTTCGTTTTTTGTTTCCATCTATCTCCCTGTGCTTACTGTATCCACTTATGATTGAATTATTATGGAAACACGTTCAGTTATCACTTTGTACAGGACCTGTTTGAGCCCTAGAGTAGACCGGAGATCTCTCCGTTTGTTGAAAGCTTCCCGATGTCGACTCTCGTCTTATTCCGACGCCTGGCACTGGACAGACTGAAGTTTTATTTTCTGTCTCACGTGGAGTTTGCGTTGGGGTTTGTAATGAGCTACAAGCCGGTCTCTTTCCGCGCCATATACAGATTAAATGAAGTGCACGTCACCGAAAGCAACAGATATGAGCTGGATTTTATTTATCATCGGCTAATTTCGAAATCAGCAAAGACGGCAATAAGAGAGATCGGCAACAGGCCTGGTAAGATCAGTTCATTTCTTTACTTTTAATGAAGATGGTAGTGTTAAGCGTCTGCGACTTACTTTCACTTTGATTTGCGATAGATTGCGGCGCTGACTTGATGAAGGGGCTCAGCTGCTCATCTGAGGTGATGCGCGTCGTCATATATGACTAAAATAACATGACATAACCTGTAGCTTGGTTTCAACAACCAGATGCATTTACACTTGTCCAGTTTCGTCTGGAATACGGCACAGACCACGTCCTCAAGAGCGATCGGATTCAAATCCGTCTCGAATGCGTTTCGGAGGGCATTTACACCCTGGTCTTTTCACGATCGAATAGCTATCCGATCACAGAAAACACATGAAGTGACCAGGTGTAAACAGCCCCTATGAATCCATCGTCTACTTTTGTGGTAAGCTGACGAGTTGTGTCGCTCGAGTTGTCTTCTCTGATACGGAGAACGGCGGCGAATAGCTACACGAACCTGCCATATAGCCAGGCGAGCGTGAACGCGCATGACGTCACGCCCAGTCTCAGATTCGAGCCCGAATCCCTCTTGTATATTTCACTGTACAGGATTATAGAGGCGATCGCAGTGATCAAAGAAGGGCTCATTCAACCCATCAGGCGATTGTTTAAGCATGTATGGGTTAGAAAACGGCTATTTTTAACACGAAAAGTTGCGCAATGCACCTTTAATGACATCTTTGCACTTATTTCTTCTCATTCTTTTGATGCGTGTAGCTCATTTTTCGTATATTGTTACCTCAATTATTACATATGGCACCTTTAATGAGTTTATTCTCAAGATTGTATTTCGACTTTTTTCTCGAAATTTTACGAGTTTTTCCTCAAAACATCGACTTTATTCTCTATTTAATGAGTTTATTCTCAAGATTGTAGTTCGACTTTTTTCTTGAAAATTAACAAATTTTTCCTCAAAACACACAGACTTTATTCTCGATATTTAATGAGTTTATTCTCAAGATTGTATTTCAACTTTTTTCTCGAAATTTAACGAGTTTAATCTCGCATTACAATGACTTTAATCTCGAGATGTTTTTTTTATTTATTATGATTGCTTGGCCTTTATCCTCTTCCATACAGTTGAGCAAATGAGCTTTCAAAGTACTAAAAATAATGTATAGCTAAATGGAAATTTTTTTAAAATGGTAACAATTTATAATTATTTAACGATATTGACATTAAATCCCCATGAAATCAAAATAGTTTTTTGGCTTTTAGTATGAAAATGTTTTGCCATACTGTTTGACAATTCACATTTAGAAGATATAATTAAGCGCTCAAAGCTTGGTCCCCTTCGGCTAATATGATCAATGATTTTGATGACGTCACTGCAGATCAGACTTTCTGTCCAATCAAACATATATATATATATATATACATTTTTAGGGTGCAGCCCTTCTCTCTCTCACCCTCATTACACTCATGTGTTCGTGACTGACCCAGTGTGTGTGCGAAAATATGAATGAGGTATGAGTGAGTGTGAAAGGGAGGGAGGGATGGAGCGACTGCATCGTGAAACGAGGAGGACTCACTCACAGACTGCACACCTTCACGGACACACAGGGTGAGTCTCCTTATCCTCTCTCTTATAATCTCTCCATTACAGTGAGTCGTTTCTCTGAGTTTTTCATGTATTTACTGGAAGGTATTGTATAATGATCTCCTGAGAACATCTGTGTGTGTGTGTGTGTGTGTTATACGGCTGTATTTGTATTCGTCTGTTGTTCCTGAATCACTGAAGGGCAAATTGACTCAAACATCATTCCTATTCAGTAACTGAACTCAAATGGACAAAATCCAAGCCCTGGTTCTGCTGTCATGATGATGTCATATATGCTCTTCATGTCTCATGAATGTATTGAGTGTCTAAGATGATAATGTCCTCTCTGCTGAATGTCTTCTTTTAAAGTCCCTTATAGTCAATTATTGTATCGCTTGAAATTCCAAAATTACATATTTAACGGTTTTCATGTCTTCAAATATCTTGAATGTAACTCGACACCCTTGCCTCATTTAGTATGTGCGGTTCTATGAATATGCAAATGAGCCCCGCCTCCACTCACTCACTCACTCAGAGATCCACTGGTTGACGATCACACGTTGATCTGATTGGTTACAAGGTCGTTTGTGACTTCAGAAACACCAGCGATTTCACACCATGTTTTTGAGACACTGCAGAAAATACTGTCGACTTATGAATTTACACATCGTTTGTCTTAAACAGTGTTGGCTGTAATTGAATCACTTTTCCCTTGAAAATGTAAAGAAAGGGATTAATTTATCTGTAATTTAATTACAGTTACTTCTGATGTAATTGAGGTAAATACTGTGAATAGATCAATCCGATCTCACAGCGATTCGTATGCATTTTATGAGGTGCATGTCTAAATATTACGACCGCACTCGTACAAATTCGTATGAATTATTGTAAAATATGCATGAAAAAAGTGTGAAATGTCATGAGATCAGACATAAAACAGTAGTGGGTTTAACATCAAAATGTATTGTCTGATGCTAAAAAGTATGTTTTTATAATGTTGGTCAGTTTAAGGATAATTTATGCAATTTTATAGTATTTATTTTAAAGAATTAAAACAGATTCATGTCTATCCTTGTATTATTCAGCTAGTTGAAATTGATATGGGATTTTGAAAGTAATTAGTAATTAAAAGTAATTAAATACTTTTTAGAGAGAGCGATTAGTACAGTAATCTAATTACACTGTTGAAGAGGTCATTAGTAACTAATTAATTACTTTTTTAGAGTAACTTACCCAACACTGGTTATATATATATATATATATCTAACACGTCTTCACTCACTCAGAACACAGTGGCCTCTTAAATACTCGTCTCACAAAGTTCTCTGTGTCCTAGAGAGCGAAAGGAACATGTAGTTGTTTTGTTAGAATGATGCGAATCTCTCATTGGTTGTTCTTTCAGATCTGCGTGTGTGTGTGTGTGTGTGTGCCTCAGAAACGTCACCTTCAGTGCTGTTGACTCACTGGTGTGGATGAATCGATAGGAAGTGTGTTATCGTCCTCGAGCCACAGAGGTCTTCCCATCGAGAGCTTAACCTCACACACTACGCCTCATTGCTTTCGCTTTAACTTCTCACACACACACACTGTGGACATCTCTGGTCACTGATGACAGTTTTGTCAGTGTTAATTCACCCTCAAGACACTCCGGCTACTCATTTCTGGTGTGAAATCTTAAAAGTAGATGTTAGGTGGAAAATCAGAGCGAGAATTAATGCAAATAACTTCTCATTTTACAATCTTTTTTTAAAAGTGAATTCTTTACATTCTAAATAATTACTTTTTGTACTTTTTGAAGACTAAAGAACATGTCAAAATGATTGCGTTGTCACTGAAATGATGCCACATGTTGTCTACAGTAGTGCACAAGCGGAAGCAAGGCGAGCATTTGTGCTCATAAATCTTAAACTTGGTTATTTATTTATTAAATGAGTGATCGTTTCGCTAGATAAGACCCTTATTCATCGTCTGGTGTCGTTTAAAGCCCTTTGAAGCTGCACTGAAACTCATTTGGACCTCAAACCGTTTGGACCCCATTGAAGTCCATTATATGGAGAACTTTTCTCATTTTACAAACTTTTTTTAAAGTGAATTCTTTACATTCTAAATAATTACTTTTTGAAGACTAAAGAACATGTCAAAATGATTGTGTTGTCACTGAAATGATGCCACATGTTGTCTATAGTAGTGTGTACTGTATTATATGTGCACAAGCGGAAGCAAGGCGAGCATTTGTGCTCATAAAACTTAAATTTTGTTATTTATTTATTAAATGAGCGATCGTTTCGCTTGATAAGACCCTTATTCATCATCTGGAATCATTTAAAGCCCTTTGAAGCTGCACTGAAACTTTCATTTGCACCTTGAACCGTTTGGACCCCATTGAAGTCCATTATATGGAGAACTTTTCTCATTTTACAATCTTTTTTAAAGTGAATTCTTTACATTCTAAGTAATTACTTTTTGTACTTTTTGAAGACTAAAGAACATGTCAAAATGATTGTGTTGTCACTGAAATGATGCCACATGTTGTCTATAGTAGTGTGTACTGTATGTGCACAAGCGGAAGCAAGGCGGGCATTTGTGCTTATAAAACTTAAATTTTGTTATTTATTTATTAAATGAGCGATCGTTTCGCTTGATAAGACCCTTATTCATCGTCTGGAATCATTTAAAGCCCTTTTAAGCTGCACTGAAACTCTCATTTGCACCTTGAACCGTTTGGACCCCATTGAAGTCCATTATATGGAGAACTTTTCTCATTTTACAATCTTTTTTTAAAGTGAATTCTTTACATTCTAAATAATTACTTTTTGTACTTTTTGAAGACTAAAGAACATGTCAAAATGATTGTGTTGTCACTGAAATGTTGTCTATAGTAGTGTGTACTGTATTATATGTGCACAAGCGGAAGCAAGGCGGGCATTTGTGCTCATAAAACTTAAACTTTGTTATTTATTTATTAAATGAGCGATCGTTTCGCTTGATAAGACCCTTATTCATCGTCTGGTGTCGTTTAAAGCCCTTTGAAGCTGCACTGAAACTCTCATTTGGACCTTGAACCGTTTGGACCCCATTGAAGTCCATTATATGGAGAACTTTTCTCATTTTACAATTTTTTTTTTTTTTTAAAGTGAATTCTTTACATTTTAAATAATTACTTTTTGTGCTTTTTGAAGACTGAACAACATGTCAAAATGAATTGAAATCCACTGAATTTATGCCACATGTTGTCTATAGTAGTGTGTACTGTATTATATGTGATACACACATTTCTAAGGCCTGTAAATGATCAACATCTGCTGAAAAACCTGTCCAGTCCTTCTGTTTTCTGATTGATATAGTTTTAGTTTGCTTTTAAAACTGTTTGTGCTTCACGTGTCTTTCTGCTGTCAAATAATCAAGAGAATGTAAGAATAACTTTGATATCTTAAGATAAATACTTACTGGATTGATGCAACTTACGGAAAAAATTATTACTAGGCTTTTATTTGTTCTTAATGTATGCAAAACTACAGAACTTTGATCATTTGCATTACAAGTTTACAGGTCTGCACCAAATCGCATATTTTTGCCTGTGGGTGTAACTAATTACGAAGTAATTAGTTACTGTAATTTAATTACTTTTCCATTGAAAATGTAAAGTAATGGATTACTCTTCATTTATCTGTAATTTAATTACAGTTACTTCTGATGTAATTAAGGTAAATACTGTGTATAGATAAATCCGATCTCACAGCGATTCGTATGCATTTTATGAGGTGTCTAAATTGTATGACAGCACTCGTACAAATTCGTCTGAATTATTGTAAAATATGTATGAAAAAACTGAAATGTCATGAGATCAGACATAAAACAATAGTGGGTTTAACATCAAAATGTATTGTCTGATGTTAAAAAAAAGTATGTTTTTATAATGTAACCTTCTCCACCTTAATAATTATATGCAATTTTATAGTATTTATTTGAAAGAATTAAAACAGATTCATGTCTATCCTTGTATCATTCAGCTGGTTGAGATTGATATGGGATTTTGAAAGTAATTAGTAATTAAATACTTTTTAAAGAGAGTAATTAGTACAGTAATGTAATTAAATTGTTGAGGAGGTAACTAGTAATTAATTACTTTTTTAGAGTAACTTACCCAACACTGAATAAAAATGTAGCTTGTTTTTATATCATACTATATAAGACATGAAAGCCTGATATATCAAATGTGATAACACACATATGCAAACTATATACATCTAAGGTTAAAAAATCTCCACTGTTTGAAGAAATTAGATTTTTCCATTATTTCATACAGTACGTCGGGCTTTACAGGGTTGTATTTATTGGGCATTGATGAAGCGTGTGCTGTGGCGACCTCTAGTGTTAGTGACATCGAGTTGCATCTGTGTGTGTAATGACTGGTTTATTCTCCTCTCTCTGACAGAAACTCAGGCTCAAGCGTCTGTGTGTTCACACGGTTAAATCATGGATCAGAAGGTGAGTAAAGCCTGCCGAGCTGACTTTTGCGTATGTACTCATTTACTGTGCTGAATTATCTGTGTTTGTGTTTGTGTGTGTGCGCGCGCAGTCCACTTCACCTCAGAGACACGCGGTGAAAAGCAGGTCAAAGTCTACAGAGGAAGTCCATGAAGCTAAAAAGGTGGAAAACCTCTTTACTTCAACAAATGAATGATTGTTAGTTGCATAATTGATATACAGTAGAACTGTTGATATAGCATCTGGTTCAAACATTTGCAGGAAACACCACAGTGGTGCCAGAATGCAAGTTAAAGTGTCCCTACTTTCTATTTTAAAGGCTCCTAATGTTTGTTCAGTGTCTCTAACACTTTGGATGCATGTAAACCTCATGTATTTTCTCGTGTCTGAAACGCTTCGATCAATGCTTCAGTCTCTCTAAGCCCCGCCTCTCCGAGAGCTGCTCTGCTGTGATTGGTCAGAAACCAACCGCTCATTATCATATGTGAATCTCAGCTCTTGATCACAGTGATACGTACGGTAACGATGGCGTGGGTTTGAGGGCGGGGCTAAGAGACGCTGTCAGCCAATCAAGACCGGAGACTGGCATTATGCAAATTAGTTACAAACCTATGCAGGTTCAGCAGAAAGTGAACCTGGAATTACTGACGCGTTTTTATCGATTCATTCTTTTACATTCACAAACTGCTCTATTACACTATGCATGAAAGGTAATATCCAGAAAGTATAACAGGAGCACTTTAATGTGTTGGACCACGCTGAATAACTGTGCTTTGATTTGTTAGGCCTTCCGCATCCCTCAGAAATCCCTGCCTGGAGGATCAGAACTGGAGAAGGTGAAGGTGAGCATTACACTGTGTGTGTGTGTGTGTGTGCATCATGACCAAATGTCCCTAGAATTATAGCAAACCATGATTAAAAACAGTTTCTTAAAGGAGTAGTTTATTGTAAAAAAAAACGTTTGCTGATAATTTACTCGCCCCCATGTCATCCAAGATGTCCATGTCTCTCTTTCTTCAGTCGAAAAGAAATGAAGGTTTTTGATAAACATTCCAGGATTTTCTCCATATAATGGACTTCAATGGGGACCAAACGAGAGTTTCAGTGCAAACTGTTCAAAGGGCTTTAAACGATTCCACACGATGAATAAGGGTCTTATCAAGTGAAACGATCGCTCATTAAAAAAAAGTTTAAGTTTTATAAGCTCAAATGCTCGCCTTGCTCTGTTCTGTGATGCGCGTTCGTGACTCTCCTGTTCATCAAAATGAACGAATCTTTTCCTGAGTCAATTCGTTCATTTCGTTCGTTGAATGAACCAAATGACACGAAAAAAGATTTGTTCATTTTGATGAACGAGTTCGAACAGGAGAGTCACGAACGCGCATTACAAAACAGAGCAAGGCGAGCATTTGTGCTCATAAACTTAAAAACTTTGTTATTTATTTATTAAATGAGCGATCGTTTCACTTGATGAGACCCTTATTCATCGTCTGGTGTCGTTTAAAGCCCTTTGAAGCTGCACTGAAACTCTCATTTGGACCTTGAACCGTTTGGACCCCATTGACGTCCATTATATGGAGAAAATCCTGGAATGTTTTCATCAAAAACCTTCATTTCTTTTCGACTGAAGAAAGAAAGACATCGAAATCTTAGACTTAGATGACATGGGAGCGAGTAAATTATCAGCAAAAGTTTTTTTTTTTTTTTTTTTTTTTTTTTTTTTTAAAGTGAACTACTCCTTTAAAGAGTGTTTGAGTTGGTTATTTCAGTTCATTTTGGCAAATCTCTGTTTCAGGTTGGTTTGTGTAATCACTAAAATGTTCCTGAAAGTTTCTATTTTTTTATTTAAATGTTTTTACTTAAATAGATGTAGGTAAATGTTCCTCTTTGTTTGTTTGTACTGTATATCAAATTTTTTTTTCAACCAGCCCTATAGCGAATGTAATTAGTATAATAATAATCTTTTTATTAATATAGAAGAACTGATATAGAAACATCCACGAAGTAAAACAACTGTGAATGTATTTATCCCTTGGTGTGTGTGTGTTTTAGGAGGGACCAGAAGAAAATGTGACTCCAGCGTCATCCACAGAAAAGCTGAAATGATGACACACACACACACACACACACGCACACACACACAAATGCTTGGTTTTTATAAACAAGGTTGGTATGGTACGGTGAGAGCATGAACTCTTCCTTCAGCTGGATCCCGTCTGTCACAGCTTTTTATTGAAAGATGAACCAAAATACTCTTTTTACAGGAGCAATATATTTTTGTTTAAAGTTTAGTTTTAATGAATTAATTTTATTTCATTTTTAAGTTGAATTAAATGCATTCAGTTAAACCGCTTGTATACTGTATTATAAATCATTGCATTATACTTTAATGTTTAATGGGTTTAGACACTTCAAGAACAGTTCATAGTTTGTAACTGGTACCTTGTCCAAAAAATAAAGAAAAACATTGAACATTAAGGTCTCATTTTGTTAATTTGAGTTAATGCATTAACTAACATGAACGAACCATGAGCAATGTTGACTGTTTATTAATCTTTAATGTTAGTTAATAAACATGTTCATGTTAGTTCACAGTGCTTTAACTAATGTTTTGACCCTTATAATATTTTGGTAATTCTGAAGTTATTAAATGAGACCTTTACTGTAAAGTGTCACCGGTACATTTTCTTGGTGTTTCGGCTTGTGTTGTTGATGCCACTCCAGCTCTCTCGTGTCAAATAGTGTCAAACGTTTATTCTTTTACTTATTTATTGGCATCAGCTGAGATTACAGAGCTGACTTACTGTATGACTCAGCTGAGATGTTGTGTAAGTGCTTACAGTATTACTAATAAACTGCTCATCATGCTGAAGTTCACTTGGAGTCACTGTCCTCACAGCCATTAATAACAAACATGAAAACAGTGTAGTTTGTTTGGTGCAAGCCATTTTTGACCACAGTAATGTTAAACTGCAATCCACAGAGGTAAGATAAGATTTGTTAAGACACTTTTAACACGCCTACTCTTGCTGTCGTGGCTGCGTTAACAACTAGTTGAGTGCAAACACCGATTTTAATAACTCATTTCTCATGACCTGCATTTTTTGGGAGTGAAGTTAGTTCTTGAATGCGGTTGTCACTCCTGTAAATAACCAAACTCTGTATTTAATGTGGTCTAAACAATGCAAAAATTAATAGATGTTAACCCCTAAAAGTTGGCTTCACTAAAACGATTTGAGACAAATTTAGTCAAACTTTACATTTTGATTCTGTAGCCTAGTACATAAACATGCTACTCTTTAATTAAAATATTGTTTAAATAACTTTGCATAAACTTTGTTAATATTTAACTGTTTCTTATGTGCTAAAAAGATCACTTTACAGTTGATAAAGTGATTATGTATAGTTAGTCGTAATTTTTGCAGCCCATCCTCAACCTAATTAAATGCTAACACATCTTTCCCTATATTAATCTTGTGCAAAAATAAAACTTAATTTAAAAAATTTAAAAACCAAAAATAATAGGCTAACACAATTTTTAAGGTGTGCTTTTATTTTCAGAGAAAAGGACTAAAGTAGTTCCAGCAGGTTTTTTTGTTGTTGACCACATTAGTTTCATATCAATCCGACAACAGCAAACGAACCAAAACCCACAACGACATAAAGCAAATAGGCTAAATATAATAAACAATGATAAAAGCTAATTATTTCCATGTTTTTCCACAAAATTGCGTTTTATATACGGAAAGCACATGTTCTCCCGCTCAAACGGACACACACTCGCACAAAGTTCGGCCATTTAAAAGCTAGACATTTCTCTCTCGTGAGGAAATAACGCGCTGTTCTTGAAGCAGATCAACGTCGTTTCACTATTAGCTGTTGCCAAACACGGTTAGAGACACTTAATACTCAAAATTAATCTCTCTCTCTCTCTCTAGTAATAACTGCATTAGTTTGCTACCAGTCAAGCTCACTATAGTTCGTCTAATGAAGTTTTGTAGGCTTGGGAATAAGAAATCAGTCCTGGTACACACGAGCGTTAAAAACCTGACAAATATCGAAATACACCTGAATGTCTCGAGGTGTGGTGACAGTGTATGAGCAGAATAACTAGGTATTGATAGAAAATAAGGCAATTCGCGTTTTTCGCTTTCCGGTGGGCTTTGCCTGTATCTCGGCCCCCCGGGGGCCCAGGAAGCTGGGGGTGGTCTCTTTCGAAAGGTCTCGGTCCGTTTTTGGTGACGAAACGTTGATTTTTCACGGAGATATTTGCGATTTCTGCCGAGCTCGTGGCGCCATTTCAGAGCGCGGCCGACGATTTTCGGCTAATATCTCCGCGAATACTCTACCAAAAATCACGAAACGCATATGGTTTTGTTCAGTTCGGCGAGACGGTTCAAATGAGCCGACGAATATGTTGAGTTTTCAACGAGATATGTGTTTTTCGCTTCCGGAGGGGCTTTGGGGGCCCACGAGGCTGGGGGTGATCTCTTTCGAAAAGTCTCGGTCCGTTCTCCACTCGATAAAAATTTGGCGTCGAAACGTTTATTTTTTACCGAGATATTTGCGTTTTTCGCTTCCCGGAGGGGCTTTGGGGGCCTGGATCATGTTGACTGTGGACGCGCAGTTTGATTCTGAATGCAAGGAAAAGTTGACGTGAACTTGAATTTAATGAAGATGTTTTTATCGATTGAATTATGAGGGGGAAAAAACAATACTCGGCCAGATCTACATGTGCTATCTTGTCCATCTTTACTTCCGGGATTCTTCCAACCAGAGCCTCGCTTTCGATTTTTAAAATGGCAGCTGCATGAAATCAGCGTATTAGCCTATATTCCCTACATCCGGTCCGAAGCAAAGCATGCTGGGAATATCTGAACATAAGCTTTTTTTTCTATTAAATACAATGAAATTTCAGTAATATTTGGGTAAAATGAACTTTTTAAATTAATTTCACTGTTTGGTTTTTCATTGTATTGCAACTCAATACTTGTATTTTTTTAATGATTGTGCTCAGATTTTTTTCCAGAGGTGAGCGGGTTCATGATGCTGTTTGACTGCTGACACTGCAGGCCTCGACAATAATTAATCTGACGAAAACCGAACATGACAAGACCTTCATGAATTACAGTAGGCCTGTTGTACATCAGATTTGACTTCTCCCAGGTGGATAGTGAGGAGAGATGTCAGAGGATTTGTTGCGCACATGCGCAGCAGATCCTGAGTGTCAATGACGATATCTTATCTTGGATAGGCTAATGTGTGGTCAGAACTATGAAGTATATCATGTGTGATTGTGAATTTGAAAGCGAATGTCCCTTTAGGGGCTCCATCCGAACATTTGCCTTGTCCCCATAAAAAAATCAAGTGTGCAAGACTGTCCCATGTCTTAAAAATGCCAAAGTGCAGTTAATGCACACTGAACCCACTATCTAACCACTTCTGAGCGCTATTCAAGGCTAAGCATATTATCCCATCATGCATTATGTTCTGGAACTCAGATTAGGAACATTTAAAACAATAATGATGTGCACAGATAAATTATTTACAATAAATGCTGCAATATTTCATTAAAAACGAGAATGAACGATTTTTTTTCTCCTTGTCTTCATCTCTGCTTGAAATCTGCAATTGTATTCATTCGTGGAATTATCAATTTTATGCCTTGTCACGGCATAGCGCGGATGAACACAATGTTTGAGGAGACTGTGTGTCTGTCAGTCACCGCCGGTGTGGATACTGAATTACAGAAGCATTCAGAATCACAGATTACTCTTTTCGGAAGTATGACCAACATAATCATTTTCACAGAAAAATGTCCGAACAAGTGAGTAACACCCACTTTTGCTCTTCTGACCAATTTAGTAGAAAAAGCATTGCAATAAATCGCGCGGATTAAATCTAACGATCGATTATCATATCACGTCAAACCGTGCAAATTATGTTAATGTTCAACATCATCATTGCTTGACTACATTTAATTATTTCCATTTCTGTGCAGTTTAAATTCTAATTTTCATACCAACAAATTAATGTTCCTCAGAACTGTTTATACAAACACACGTTTTACCTTTAAGCCCTTCCGATATTTTGTTTCCACGTTGGCCGGGTTCAGTCTCTTCTTTTCTGTCGCCACTCATTAGTCTTGTGCATTTTACAGCGGGTTTTCGTTTTAACCTTTCTGGATCCGCTATCAAATTAATAAGTTTAATTATATCAAGTGCTGTGAGAAAAGGATCTCCACCTCCAGCATCCTTACACGGTGCCAACTGGTCACAATAACGCTATAAAACATCAAGTTTAGTCTTCAGAACACTAATGAAAGTAAGAAAAACTATATTTACTAAAGAAATAATGGTGTTTGACAAGTTTGGTACGAGAAAATATTTGATACTTTGAAGCTGCAGTCCGTAAATCTCGATTTAAAACCTTAAGCTTTTCTCAAAACTTCACCAATATGAGGAAGTCAGATAACCTGCAGTATAAGAGCATAAGAAAATGAGATTGATTATAGGTAACGTTTTCAAGAAGTTAAGATTCATTTTAATATGTTTATTTGCACGATATAGTGTTGTATATTGTGTCCCGGGGTTATTGTAAACTAAAATCCTAAATAAGTTTCATTATTTGAAATAAAACTTTAATTAGACTTAATAAGACTTTAATTTTTAAAATAGAAACTTTATAGTTTCTCATTTACATTTAGTTTAACTTGTACTAAAATAACTAAAACTGAAATAAAAATGTAAATATTAATGACATTTTTAATACAATTAAAATGAAAACAGAAATATAAAAATAATCTATTTTTAGATATTAACAAAAACTACACTTAGAAGAAATGGTTCTATTTAGAACCAGAAATGGTTCCATCCCCCGCTTCATATATGGAACTCCAAAATGGTTCTATAGCCTATAGAACCTTTTTTTTTTTTTTGATTTGGTAAAAGGTTCTATTGGCCAAGTATGGAACCCCAGGGTTCTATATGGAACCCCAGGGTTCTATATAGAACCCAGAGGAACCCTTTTTTAAGAGTGTATAGAACCTTTAAGGGGTTCCAAATACGTAAAACTGATAGAACCTTTTAAGGTTCTATAGATGTTAAGAAAAACAAAAGCTTATGAAAATGGCAAAACACAACACAATTACTAAAACGAATATGAAAATAACTGAGATTGAGGTGAAAATGAATTCAAAGTATTAATAAATATTTTATTGAGTATCTAAATAACACTGGAGTGTCACACATATTCCTTATTCAACATATTCACATATTGAATAAACAAACAAGAAAATGGACATTGTCTGTTCTCACCACAAGATGTCATGATTTTCCAGTAAAGAGATGCTGGAAATATGCATTTTAAACACGAAAGTCATTTTCGAACAGAATCTGTAGATTTTAGACTTTGAAATGAATGTTTCAGTGGTTGCGTCACACGCTGTTTATGCGTGACCGATCCTGCATTTGGGCCTTCGCTCGTCTGACTGTAAATGATCTGACTGAACACAGATGATCCACGAGTTAATTAGTCAGAGAAGGTCATTATTGATGCCTTATGTCATGGTTTCCCATATAAACCTCCTTTACCATGTGAACTGTCAGTCTGAGAGCCTCGTCACCCGCTGGGGAGTCAAATCTGGAGCCCTGAAAGGTATAAAGATTTAATATAACACATTCAGCTCAATCTGTCCATAGTGAATAATGACTTGCTGATTTTGGTATTCAGGTGAAACTCGAAAAATTAGACTATGGTGCAAAAGTTCAGTAATTCAACTTAAAAGGTGAAACTAATATATTATATAGACTCATTACATGCAAAGTGAGATATTTCAAGCCTTTATTTGTTATCATTCTTTTTTTTATAATTATAACAAATAAAGGCTTGAATCTCACTTTGCATGTAATGAGTCTATATAATATAGTTTCACCTTTTAAGTTGAATTACTGAAATAAATGAACTTTTTCATGATATTCAAATTTTTCGAGTTTCACCTGTATATTAGACAATCTCATATTGAGCATTAACTGTTTACACTAAAAAATTATTTTTTTGGAACATTATTGGAGTATGTTTTCTACTTTAGTTTTTTATGTTTAAAAATGTGACATTTTGGTAATTATTTGTCAAATTTAGGAATTTCTGAGTTTTTCCCAATGCATGGCCCCAAAATCATGTCTTGATGATGTCGTTGCATTAGAAAGCAATGGTTGCATTTATTTTAAAGGAAGTCCGCACATCTGTTTCAGTTGTTTAGGTTCTTCTTTGTGGCCGTTGTGCGTTCTGGACAACACTTGTTGTTCTGTGCACGTATTCCTGATTGAGTTCCTGTTTTGTGGCAAGACTAAATTCAATAAAACCATATTTGGTTCTCAGGGACACAATGGAGAGCCCGGTCCAGTGCTCAAAACGACATTGCACAAGCCATATTGCAATTTTGTCCCTTGCTGTGTTCTTGTGCTGATAAGGGTGATGTTTTAAAGCCTGTTGGGCTTAGCAGGGCAGTGCGAGTGAGAGTACACCTAATGCAGAACTCTGAAAGCATATCCCGGCTAACCAAAATGTGTTCCCAGAATGTTTTTCTGACGTTCCCATTAGGTTAATGAAACATTATTTTAGAGCCCAACCGATAAAGAATTTTGAAGACCGATACCGATATTTGTTGGTTTTAAAATCCGATATTCCGATATATCGGCCGATATTTTTTTTTTTCAGAAACGCGCAACAAAACATTTAGAGATTTCCCTAACATTAGTTATTTGTAGTTATGTATGAGTTTTAACTAAAATAATATGATAATGCATTTTAAAAAGAAACCTGTTTCTTTTATTGTCACAACAGAACAGATGATAGTGGCATTATCTAGCTTTGTGGTTAGCTAGTCTATGATGAGCCATAATTTAGCAATGGATAACGTCATACTGCAAATTGTAAAACATAAATTTTCAATATAACAGGCCAAGGAGAGATGATCCGTCTCATTGCTATAACTGTCACGCGCTATTAAAGAAATACTTCAGTCACATTGTCAAAAGTTAAAAGGACAGTCAGTCGACTACACTGTAACAACGTAACGTAATTACTACTAGCTAATTCCGCTTCACTCTCGGCTTATTTAACTGCAGCAAAACTGGACATGATAATCAAATTTTGTCCTGCTTATTTGAGTTTAGAGAACTGATGGGGATGATCTTTTAATTGTTATTCAAGCAATGTATGTATCGTGACCAACTCAACGAGTGTTGCCAACAGGGACAGTAGAGCGCCCTCTGGTGGACAAACTATGCAGCTCCAACACTCATGACATGGTTCAAGCGTGTTTCATCCGTTTTCATTTTATTTTTGAAATATTCATTTATCGGCCATTATAACTGCCGATACCGATATTTTGGAAAATGCCTAATATCGGCCGATAATATCGGTCTGGCTCTACATTATTTCTGAATGTTCTTTGTACGTTCAAAATATTTTTTTTAAACGTTGTTTAAAAGCTGAGTGAACATAAGTGACTGATTTTAAAAACATTTAAAAAAGCATATACCGACCCCAAACTTTGAACATACGGCTTTGCAATTTCAAATCTTATCAATATCAAATCTTAAACCCCGGATTATATGTTCCTCTTCAAAGAGCCAAGGACAGAGAAAGTGGCACCTGTGACAATATTGCGTTGAACAAGAACATAATCTATCATTCACTCAATCGCTCTGACATTCAAGAGCTCCTGCTTTCAGAAATGCATTAGTATGTCGTCCTATGAGAGCACTTTGCAGACAGACGGTGTGTTCAACAGTAACCTTGACATAAAAAGCACATTTAGCTGTTATTAAAAGACCTCTGAAACAAACCTGATGGCTCTGGGGGCATTCAGCTGGGAAACATGGTCCTCAGGGAGCACAAATGTGTTGTCATCTTTACAGTCCTGACAAGCATTCACTTATGTGAAAATTTGTCAGGAATAAGAAATAAATTAAGTAGACAATAATGGATTAAGTAGACAATAATGGATCTGAAATGACAGTAGGTCATTCATTTTGATGTTATTTGAACAAATACTTGATAAAATGTTTATTTTGGGTGGTGTTGTTCCATACCTGTATGTTTTATGGGTCAAAAATGGTACAAAGTACCCTACCCATGTGAACTGTGAGCCCAGTACTGACGAAAGTGTGGAAATATAGCTGCAAGCCACAATTAAGAGGACAAGCAACAGAAAAAAACAGCATTTTGATTTTGACGACGGTTTTAAGCTAAATGGTTGAAAGCCCATAATGCTATCACTTGTAATGTGACATTTTAACTTCTGACCAATAGGGGGAACTGACACCAAATTGATCTGATAAAGTCATTGTTGGGGGGTTTTGGGTGAGATTTTTCATCAAACTGTATATTTCGTGACCACTAGGTTGCATTGTGCCAAAACTGTGCAGGTACCCTCAGGTCATGGTTGTCATAACACGCACCAAATTTGGTCAGAATACACTAAAGCGCTGAGGAGAAATAGCATCATGTCCATTTTGGCGTGTTGTTCATATTTGTTCTCACATTCAATGAGAATGTTTGACTAATTGACTTGAAGTTCTTGGGGGTTTTTTTGTCAGCAAAGTCTGAAGATCATCTGGTGGTTTAATTTTCTTGATAATTGGATCATTTTTAATGAAATAATTTGCAAGTTTGTTGGTTGTGATGAAAGGATTCGCTATTTTGTCGGCTATAATGAAACGATTCACAAGTTTGTTGGCTATAATGAAAGTGTTCGTGAGTTTGTTGGCTATAATGAAAGTGTTCGTGAGTTTGTTGGCTATAATGAAAGTGTTCGTGAGTTTGTTGGCTATAATGAAATGATTTGCGAGTTTTTTGGCTATAATGAAACGATTCACGAGTTTGTTGGTTATAATAAAAGTATTCGTGATTTTGTTGGTTATAATGAAAGGATTCGCAAGTTTTTTTGCTATAACGAAACGTTTCACTTGTTTGTTGGCTATAATGAAAGTATTCGTGAGTTTGTTGGTTATAATGATAGGATTCATGATTTTGTTGGCTATAATGAAAGAATTTGCGATTTTGTTGGCTATAATGAAAGTATTTGTGAGTTTGTTGGCTGTAATGAAAGTATTTGTGAGTTTTTTTTTTGGCTATAATGAAAGTATTCGTGAGTTTGTTGGCTATAATGAAAGTATTCGTGAGTTTGTTGGCTATAATGAAAGTATTCGTGAGTTTGTTGGCTATAATGAAAGTATTCGTGAGTTTGTTGGCTATAATGAAAGTATTCGTGAGTTTGTTGGCTGTAATGAAAGTATTTGTGAGGTTTTTTTTGGATATAATGAAAGTATTCGCGTGTTTGTTGGCTATAATGAAAGTATTCGTGAGTTTGTTGGCTGTAATAAAAGTATTTGTGAGTTTATTGGCTATAATGAAAGTATTCGTGAGTTTTTTTGGATATAATGAAAGTATTCGCGTGTTTGTTGGCTATAATTAAATTATTCGCGAGTTTGTTGGCTATAATGAAAGTATTCGTGAGTTTGTTGGCTGTAATGAAAGTATTCGTGAGTTTTTGGGCTGTAATGAAAGTATTTGTGAGTTTGTAGGTTATGATGAAAGGAATTACGATTTTGTCGGCTATAATGAAAGTATTCGTGAGTTTGTTGGCTATAATGAAAGTATTCGTGAGTTTGTTGGCTATAATGAAAGTATTCGTGAGTTTGTTGGCTGTAATGAAAGTATTTGTGAGTTTTTTTTTGGATATAATGAAAGTATTCGCGTGTTTGTTGGCTATAATGAAAGTATTCGTGAGTTTGTTGGCTGTAATAAAAGTATTTGTGAGTTTATTGGCTATAATGAAAGTATTCGTGAGTTTTTTTTGGATATAATGAAAGTATTCGTGTGTTTGTTGGCTATAATTAAATTATTCGCGAGTTTGTTGGCTATAATGAAAGTATTCGTGAGTTTGTTGGCTGTAATGAAAGTATTCGTGAGTTTTTGGGCTGTAATGAAAGTATTTGTGAGTTTGTAGGTTATGATGAAAGGAATTACGATTTTGTCGGCTATAATGAAAGTATTCGTGAGTTTGTTGGCTATAATGAAAGTATTTGTGAGTTTATTGGCTATAATGAAAGTATTCGTGAGTTTTTTTGGATATAATGAAAGTATTCGCGTGTTTGTTGGCTATAATTAAATTATTCGCGAGTTTGTTGGCTATAATGAAAGTATTCGTGAGTTTGTTGGCTGTAATGAAAGTATTCGTGAGTTTTTGGGCTGTAATGAAAGTATTTGTGAGTTTGTAGGTTATGATGAAAGGAATTACGATTTTGTTGGCTATAATGAAAGTATTCGTGAGTTTGTTGGCTATAATGAAAGTATTTGTGAGTTTATTGGCTATAATGAAAGTATTCACGTGTTTGTTGGCTATAATTAAATGATTCGTGAGTTTGTTGACTATAATGAAAGTATTTGTGAGTTTTTTTTTTTACTATAACGAAAGTATTCGTGAGTTTTTTTGGCTATAATGAAAGTATTCGCTGATTGGCTACAAAGCTAAACGCTGCAAAAACACGTTGTCAATAGAAACCTTTGAGCGTTTTTAAAGCAACCGGCTCTCAGAACGTATGGGTACAGCAGAACGGCAGGTTTCGTCACAGTAAATGGTAGAAGAATAAAGCGTTGACGGTTCAAATATTCATTTTGGAGGCCGCCAACATGTTTTTAAGAAGAGAAGAGCCTTATTCGCATATGAATTTATCATATGTGCAGTAACTGTTCCCTTAAATGAAAAAGCAAACCTGAATTTCCTCTCAATCTCAATACACAATGATCATGAAATCTCTTTTGATCTCTTCACAGACGGCACCATGTCATCACGGCCAATCAGAATCACCACAACAGAGCCAACCATCAGCCTCAATGGTAAGACGTCAAAAAAATTTAATTATATATATACAGTATATAAATCAAGGGGGGTGCACACTTTTGCAGTTAGTTATTTCAAGCTATTTTCTTTCCCCCTGAAATGTGCCACTTTGGTTTTCAGTGGCATTAAAGGTACAATAGTTCTGTCTTTGTTCCCTTGTTTCATTTTTACATCACAATAACCAATTGTTTTAACAGGGGTATAGGCTTTTTATATCCACTGTGGGCATGTATGAATGAAAACAACTGTTTTCAGCATTGATGATGATAATAAAAATGTTTCTTGAGCATCAAATCATCATATTAGAGTGATTTCTGAAGGATCATGTGACACTGAAGACTGGAGTAATGATGCTGAAAATACAGCTTTGTGACACACCTTCTTCTAGCTGGGGGTCACGACCCCAGAAAAAACAGCACAAAACCAGCTGACCTGATGCAGTCGTACTAAATCACCACTATTGATGACTCATAATTTGTTAAATCTGTGTGTTTGCGTTCTTTCCTGACTAGAGTGACTGATGCACTGCAACACAGATAATGTATATATAATTTCTGCTCGCCCTCAGCACAAATGGACTCCCGCGTTCATTAGTACTTATGCATTAAATAGATGCAAGTTATGTGCTGACACTTCAGAAAACAGAAGCTCTGTGAATTTTGCAAATCATTATCAAGCAACACGGGTGATCAGCTGATGCTTTGATGATGCAGTTCAGACCCAAATAATGTAATGTGAACACAATCCAGAATTCGGTTTCAGACCAGATAATCGAACCAAGTGTAAAAAGCACCCCAATCTTTATGATTCATGCTTATTTTGAACTCTCCAAAGTAACAATGTTAAACTAGCTCTCCTGCACACCGAGACAGGACCGTGATCATGTGGTTTTTCTCGTCTGGCAGTGCCCACAAAGACGAGCGAGGACAGCCATGGAGGAAAGTCTTCCCCGTTCGCCGGTTTACTGAGGGTTCCTCTGCTCCTGCTACTCCTCTATGGGTTTGTTTGTTCTCTGGACGTCCTAAGCTCTGCTTTTCAGCTGGCTGGAGGTGATTATTCATCCTTTACCACACGTTTTGCATCTGTTAACCACATTGGGGTTTTACTCACTTTTACCTTTTAGCTGTTTTTGCATGATTCACAAGTTTTTTTGGCTATAATGAAACAATTTGCGAGTTTGTTGGCTATAATAAAAGTATTCGTGAGTTTTTTTGGCTATAATGAAAGTATTCGTGAGTTTTTTTGGCTATAATGAAATTATTCGGGAGTTTTTTTGGCTATAATGAAATTATTCGTGAGTTTTTTGGCTATAATGAAAGTATGTGTGTTTTTTGGCTATAATGAAAGTATGTGTGTTTTTTGGCTATAATGAAAGTATTCGTGAGTTTTTTGGCTATAATGAAAGCATTCGTGAGTTTTTTTGGCTTTAATGAAAGTAGTCGTGAGTTTTTTTTGGCTATAATGAAATTATTCGTGAGTTTTTTGGCTATAATGAAAGTATTCGTGAGTTTTTTGGCTATAATGAAATTATTCGGGAGTTTTTTTGGCTATAATGAAAGTAGTCGTGAGTTTTTTTGGCTATAATGAAATTATTTTTGAGTTTTTTGGCTATAATGAAAGTATGTGTGTTTTTTTGGCTATAATGAAAGCATTCGTGAGTTTTTTTGGCTATAATGAAAGTATTCGTGAGTTTTTTTGGCTATAATGAAAGTATTCGTGAGTTTTTTTGGCTATAATGAAAGTATTCGTGAGTTTTTTGGCTATAATGAAATTATTTGTGAGTTTTTTGGCTATAATGAAAGTATGTGTGTTTTTTTGGCTATAATGAAAGTATTCGTGAGTTTTTTTGGCTATAATGAAAGTATTCGTGAGTTTTTTTGGCTATAATGAAAGTATTCGTGAGTTTTTTTGGCTATAATGAAAGTATTCGTGAGTTTTTTGGCTATAATGAAATTATTCATATGTTTATTGGCTATAATGAAACTATTCGCGAGTTTGTTGGTTATATTGAAAGGATTCATGATTTTGTTGGTTATAATGAAAGGATTAGCAAATTTTTTTGGCTATAACGAAACGATTAGCGAGTTTGTTGGTTACAATGAAAGTATTCGTGAGTTTTTTTGGCTATAATGAAATTATTCATATGTTTATTGGCTATAATGAAACTATTCGCGAGTTTGTTTGTTATATTGAAAGGATTCATGATTTTGTTGGTTATAATGAAAGGATTAGCACTTTTTTTTGGCTATAATGAAACGATTCACGAGTTTGTTGGTTATAATGAAAGTATTCGTGAGTTTTTTGGCTATAATGAAAGTATTCGTGAGTTTGTTGATTTTAATGAAAGAATTTGCGATTTTGTCGGCTACACTCACTTTTCAGCTGTTTTTGCATTCTTCAGCACATTTCCCAGACAATTGTTTCCCGGTCTTTTCTTTCTGGGTCAAATGTCATTTGTTTTCATGCAATTCTTCATAATATAAGTTACTGCTTCTGAACTGCTGCATGTGTGTGAAATAGTTTGCAATCATTGGTTAGACATTAAGATTTAGTTAATCAATTCTAAACGCGTTAATGACGATGAAGAAATGGCCTTGCATGATTAACTTGAGCAGTCAGCGCTGTGGTGCATGTCATCTGTACAAAAACAAGACATAAGTTGCTGTTAAAGGGTTTAGTTCACCCCAAAAACACAGACTGTCATCACTTGCTCTTTTGTCATTTCTAAACCTGATTACTTGATGTCCCCGAAGAACATTCATCTTTGTCTTTCCTTGGCTTAAATAAAAGTGAATACACTGTAAAAAAAATATTGTTGGTTTAACTTAAAAAAGTAAGTAACCTGGTTGCCTTAAAATTTTAAGTTCATTGAACTGGAAAAAGTGAGTTAATACAATGAAGGAGAATGATTTAATCATCAGAAAACTCAAAATTATATGTTATCTGAACTAAATAAATTATTTTAGTAAAATAAAAAGAATATTTTATTTTAAAAAAAATATTAAGTTGATTTGACAAAAGGAAAAATGTAAAAAAAAAATATATTGTTGGTTTAACTTAAAAAAGTAAGTAACCTGGATTTGTTTGTTTTTGGGTGACCTGTCCCTTTAAGATTATCACATCAAAACTAGCTCACTAAAATCAATTTTTTTCAGGCAAAGTGGCTGGAGACATTTTCAAGGACAACGCCGTCCTGTCCAACCCTGTAGCCGGACTCATGGTGGGGATCCTGGTCACGGTTCTGGTCCAGAGCTCAAGTACTTCCACATCTATCGTGGTCAGCTTGGTCTCGTCTGGACGTAAGAAACACATCTCGACTAAACTCCTCATATCCTCTTATTAGAGTCAAAATACACGTAATTAAGTAACTACTATTCAGAATTTTAAATATTTTAAATATAAATATTTTACTTTAAATATTTTTATTCAGCAAGGACGCATTAAATTGATCAAAAGTGACAGTAAAGACATTTTATTTATCCTGAAGAATCCTGAAGAAATAAGTACGTCACGGTTTCCACTAAAATATGAAGCGGCACGATGTTGATAATAATCAGAAATGTTTCTTGAGGTAGGCTACTTCTTATTCCACTTTATTTCCAGAAAGCCTCATCTAGAAGTTGTTCCCTGCGTTATGAAGAGCTATCTCTCACGGATGAGCTGTTGTGGTGTGTGTGTGTGTGTGTGTGTGTCTATCAGATCTCGATCCAAAGAAACAACAGATGCAGAGCTTTAATTAGCACGCATTGTTTGGGTTAATGAGCTTATGTTTAAGAGTTTAATTATATACAGTGGGGTCTGAAAATCCGGGATTAGAAAATATGATAATATTTCAAACAAATGGACATTCACCATCTGAAATCTTCAATGCAACTTTTACTCAAATTGTTATGCCGATAATATAATTCATAATAAAACATGCGCATTAATTTAGAAAAATGCGAAATACAAGCATGCCTGTGTGTGTGTGTGTGTGTGTGTGTGTAGAGAAAATACAGAATGTGAAATAGTGTGTGTTTGGGGTTTCTGAGCTCACTGCAATCCTGTCTCTTGAAAGAAACCTTTATCTTTAGGAATGGTTTAAAACGAGATAAACCTTGAATAAAGCTCGGCTTTTCTCCGAGTAAGTGAATTGAAGCGAATGGATGTCAGGAGTGGGAGTGTGTTCAAGTTCTGTGTGCTTTCAGTGAACACACACTCCAGCTGTTGTACACCCAGAAACCGTAATTACTGATCTGAAACAAATGTGACTTGACTCGAATGCTAGCCGGATTTAAGAGTCAGTAAACAATGGGAATTCAATTCAATTATGTCATATCCAGTGTTGGGGCTGTCAAACAATTAATCACATCCAAAATAAAAGTTTGTGTTTACATAATATATGTGGGTGCACTGTGTGTAATTATTTTGTATATATATAAAAATGCACACGCATGCATGAAAAAAGGGAAAAAAAATACAAATTAATTTAAGAAAAAAATATTATTAATATACAAAATATTATGTAATATAAATCTATAAATTAGGGCTGTGCAAAAATTAATTGCGATTAATCGATCCAAAATAAAAGTCTGTGTGTACATAATATATTTGTGTGTGCTGTATATAATTATTTTGTATATGTAAATACACACGCATGCATGTATATATTTAAGAAAATGTGTTATTCATATATAAAATATTTATATTTATATAATATAGATTTTGCATTTATATATATACAGAATTTAAGCGCAAATAATTCTTAAATATATACATGCATGCATAGGTATTTATATGTACAAAATAATTATATACAGCACACACAAATATATTATGTAAACACAGACTTTTATTTTGGATGCGATTAATCACAATTAATTTTTGCACAGCCCTACTATAAATATAAAAAAAAACTATAAATACATGAAAATATTTCTTAAATATATACAAGCATGTGTGTGTACTTATATATATATATATATACATATATACATATATAATAATTATACACAGTGCACCCACATATATTATGCAAACACAAACTTTTATTTTGGATTAATCATTTATCTAGTGTCATAAACCACTGAACAGGAGAGATGCTTCGGGACGGACCATTTTGCACATGTAAACACCACTGAAAGAAGTGCATTTATAATGTTGTGCATTTATAAAGTCTCACCAAAGCTGCATTCATTAAAAAAAGCAATATGTGGAAATAATATCACTTTTAAAACAAGCTGTTTTCTATGTGAATCGATCGTAAAGTAAAGCTAATATCAGCATATGAGAATGATTCCTGGATCATGTGACACTGAAGACTGGAGAAATGATGATCACAGGTGATTTACTTCATATTCACATATAAAAAAAGTTTTTTTTTTTTTTACTTTTAATCAAATAAATGCAGCATTGGTGAGCAGAAGAGACTTGGTTGCATGCATCCACATGAAATTATTCCTGTGTGTGTGTGTGTAGTGCTGGAAGTGAAGTCAGCGGTCCCCATCATCATGGGCTCCAACATCGGCACGTCTGTCACCAACACCATCGTCGCCCTGATGCAAGCGGGAGAGAGGAACGAATTTAAACGGTACCGACCCAACCATCACGTCATCATCAGATTAAATCAAACCATTCTCAAAGTATTTACAAGTTCATTTGCCAAATGATTCTTAATTTTGCAGAATTGGTTTCTCCAAGTCAGCATGAAATCACCTAATGGTCCGCATTTACATGTTCTACGTCTTATTGTGAATAATTTATCAGTGCAAGTTATTCTAAAGAAAACTAATTATCTTTCCAAGCTTTTCTGCCTCTGAAATGACTTTCAGTGTGTGTGTGTAAACTGATGTGATGTGTTTCCTTTGGATGCAGGAACGTCTAGTTTTCTGACTAATTGAGTTTCTGTTTAAAACAAGGAAAAAATGACCTGCCGATGGAGACAAAAAACCTTAAATCAAAAGAAAACAGTGTCTATTTTTCTGACTTTGACAGACATTTGCAATAATATAAATCACTTTTTTCAGAGTAGCTCTTGTTTTATGTAATGCAACCTTTCTGAAATTCGGCAGAAAGTTAACAGAAACACACACTGACTTCAGGGCGATGGAACCGGATGTGTTTTATGCGACTCGTTTCTGGGTTTTGTCCTACAAAAATACATCATTCCTGCAGCAAATAATGACGATGACCTTCAGCCTTCGTGTCCTGCCGAAAGCCTTCACAAAACTCACACTCATCCAGCTCTCGCTCCGTCTGATATGAAACCAGCCCAATCCCCATGAATGATTTATCATTTCCATCACATTACAGGCTGAATGTCCTGCTGCGAATGTCATTTCAGGTTTACTTTTACTACATTATTCATCACATTTCCTTTCTCTTCCGTTTTTATCTGGGAAAAACACACATTAAAAAGCATCAGTGATGAATGCAGAGAGTATAAACACACACAGCTGTGTATGGAGGACCAAACCTGCAGAAATTAAAAATGAATAAATGGATAAATAAATGTGATAAATGTTTAAATAAATGTGAAAAAATGGATAAAAAAATTTGTATTATTATTTTTCTATACGTTTTTAAATAAATTTAAAAAATCGTTTTAACTTAATTATTTAAATTAATTATTATTTGATTTATTTTTATATTTATAGATTTATTCTTACATTTATTGATTTATTTATTTATGCATTCATTTATTTCTAGATTTATTTATTTCCACATGTATTTATTTTTAGATTTATTTATTTATTTAGATTTATTTATATATTTGTCTTGTATGATAATTAGGTGGGTTGGTCTTGCTTACCATTGGTTAATCATGTGTTTTTTTCTGCTGAACTTTACTATTAATAATGAAATAAAACTGAAATAAAATAAAATATAAATATTAGTTGAAAAACTAAATGAAAATTAGAAATGTTTCCGTTTTACGGAAGCATATTGCATTCACTTGAGGAAACAAAATCTAGTCTGTTTTTCTGAATTAATGAGTTAATTATCTCAGAATTATGATATATTTTTCTTGGAAAAAAAAATGTTCACTCTGTTTTTATTAATTAATGAGTTACTCCTAAATTTTGAGATAGTCAAATCATTAATTCAGAAAAACAGAGCAAAAACTTTTTTTCCCGTGAAAAAATATCACGTTATTAACTCGTTAATTCAGAAAAACAGAGTAGATTTTGAATGCAATACGCTTCCGTACCTTTGTAAACTGAAATACAGCACTAAAAGCACTAAAATTAGTAAAAAAAAAATTAAACTGACTAAGTAAAAATAAATAAAACATAATAGTTATATAAAAATAAAAAAATGACATAAAAACATAAAAAAAATTACTAAAAATAAACTAAAATTAACATTGAAAACGAATTAAACTCAACTAATCACTGCGATGATTTTGCAAGACGCAGTGTTATATCACAACTTAAAATTCAACATTAGAAGAAGTAATAATCTGTTGTTTCAACTTAACGTCAGATTTCGTGCATGCTTGACCTAAAATTGTACGTTTAGTCAAAGTCCCCCAGTCGTCAATAATTACATCCCTTTGCATCCCAACTCATCTTTGATCATATAAACGTTTTTTTTCCTTGAAAAAAGTTCTTGAATGTAACTCGACACCCTTGCCTCATTTAGTATGTGCGGTTCTATGAATATTCAAATGAGCCCCGCCTCCACTCACTCACTCACTCAGAGATCCACTGGTTGACGATCACACGGTCGTTTGTGACGTCAGAAACACCAGCGATTTCAAAGCGTGTTTTTGAGATTTAAGTTCTCTCCACATATGTAAGTTGTGACGCACGTAACTGCAGCTCTGCTCTCTGGTTCTCCAGTGCGTTTGCGGGAGCCACGATCCACGACTGTTTTAACTGGCTGTCGGTGCTGGTTCTGCTGCCGCTCGAGGTGGCCTCGGGTCTGATGAGCTTCCTGGCCAGAGTCACTGTCAGCGGCTTTCAGCTCCACAGCGGAGAAGAGGCTCCCGAACTGCTGAAGACGCTCACTGAGCCCTTCACCAAACTCATCATACAGGTGTGTGTGTAGACCCGCTGATGTCTCCTCGAGTGCTGAGATGTGTAGATGTGCAGTGCTGCTGACTCTCTCTCTCTCTCCAGCTGGATAAGTCGGTGATAACGGGCATCGCTCTGGGTGACGAGTCCATGAGGAATCACAGTCTGGTGAAAGTCTGGTGCAAGTCCAGCGTCTCAATGGTAACTCCTCGCTCACACACTCCTAATCGCCACATCAAGAGTTTACCCATAAACCTTGCGTTTCTTTTCTTCTCTGTGAAAAAAAAAAAAAAATTTTGCTTGATCATTTTATGTATTCAGAATTTTTGATTGTGTATACCACTATATATATATATATATATACACAAACTCCCACTTAAATGAGAATTACCAAAATGAACAAAAATAAGCTTTATTTCCATAAATAAATAGTTTCTCTCTCTCTCTCCAGTCTTCAGTGAACGTGACCGTGGCTGCCGCCCACAACTGCTCTGCTGAACTGCATTGTGGGAATGACAGTGATCTCACGTGGATCACACAGAATATCACCTCGCAGGTCAACACAGAGAAATGTGAGTGTAATCATTTTCAAGTCAAATACTGTATTTAGTTTGTCTTATTTCTCCTATCCAGGATTAGTGTGTGTGTGTGTGTGTTTATACTTTTATTTATTTACTTGTTATTCATTTATTTTTTATTTTTAGTTTGATTTATTCATTTATTTTTAAGTTTATTTTTATTTAATGTATTTATTTATTAATAGTTCATTTAGTTATTTATCTATACATTTATCTATTTAGATTTTTTTTACTTTCTATTAATTAACTTCATTTATTTATTAATTAATATTTTATTTTTTATCTATAATTTTTTATTTAATTTCTATTTATTTATTTCAGTTTTTATTGATTTACATAGTTCTGATATATTTACATTTTATTTATTTATTTAATAGCTTACTTCTTATCCATTTCCTTAATTTATTTATTAATGATTTTTAATTATTTATATTTGATAATTTGATCTATTTACTTTCTATTTATTTATTTTTTCTTTTATTTTTATTGATTTATATTTTTTGATTAAATTATTTATTTGCTTATTTTATAATCATTTACTTTATTTATTTATTATTGTTTTATTTATGTTTAGATTTTTTCAACTTTCTATTTGTTTTTATTTAGTTACTTTCTAGTCATTTACTTTATTTATGAATAGTTTTTATTTTTTTAGAATATTTTGCAAAAGTTTGTTTATTTCAGTAATTCAACTTAAAAGGTGAAACTAATATATTTTATAGACTCATTACATGCAAAGTGAGATATTTCGAGCCTTTATTTGTTATAATTTTGAGGATTATGGATTACAGATATAAAAACCTTTTCAAATTTGGGGTTTTCATAATCCATAATCATCAAAATGATAACAAATAAAGGCTTGAAATACCTGTATCTCACTCTGCATGTAATGAGTCTATATAATATAAAGTATAATCACTGAAGTAAATGCCCGATGTTCTCCTGTGGTGTGTGTGTGTGTGTGTGTGTGTGTGTCTCAGGCCGGCACCTGTTTGTGGACTCGGGTCTGTCGGACCTGGCGGTGGGTCTGGTTCTGTTGGCCGCGTCTCTGCTGGTGTTGTGCTCCTGTCTTCTGCTGCTCGTCAAACTGCTCAACTCACTACTCAAAGGTCAAGTGGCAAAGGTCATCGAAAGGGTCATCAACACAGGTGAGCCAGAGTCACACAACCCAACACACACACCGCTCTTCAGATCTACACCACAGGCTTTAATAAAGTCAAGTCATGTTAATTTTTGTAGTTCTTCACACAAGACAGATCGTTTCAAAGCAGCTTCACCGTAATAAACAATTTATGATGATAAATAAATATTAGACGATTTAAATTCTTTATAGAAAGTCCATTAATTATGAAACTGGTTATTATTACATTTCTGTTAATTGAAATAAAATATATGTTTTCATTGAAAAACTTGCAAATTATAAATGTTGCGTTGGCAATAAACTGATATAAGTTTAAGTTGAAGCACTAAAATTATTAACTGGAAATAAATAAAATAAAAATAAAAAATAAAACTGAAATAAAAATAAAACTAAATAGCAATATTTGAATCAAACAAACAAAACAACAAACATAAAATAATGACAGAAGAACATACCAGAATTACTAAAAATGTAACTGAAGTTAAAACTAAGTACATAGAAATTAAATATCATTTAAAATATTAGTAATAAACTATATAAAAACTAAAACTACCTAAAAAAAAACCGTTCAAACTAAATCAAATTGTAGACACGCACTTGTTTGTAAGGAGTGTGTGTGCCGTGTGTCCTGCAGATTTCCCGTATCCTCTGGGATGGCTGTCGGGATATGTGGCGATGTTTCTGGGAGCCGGAATGACCTTCATCATCCAGAGCAGCTCCGTCTTCACCTCGGCCCTGACTCCGCTCATAGGTGACTATCTGTGTGTGTGTGTGTGTGTTTATGTTTGGTTTTGCTTTTATATGTTATTTATAGGCCATATAAGAACAGATTCAGTGCATTTTTAAGTGTTCTTGTTTTTTTTGCTTTTATATGTTATTTATAGGCCATATAAGAACAGATTAAGTTTATTTTTATGTGGTTTTTTTGTTGTTTTTGCTTGTATATGTTATTTTTTAAAAATGAACTAAATCTGTTCTTATATGGCCTATAAATAACATATAAAAGCAAAAACAAAAAACACTTAAAAATGCACTAAATCTGTTCTTATATGTTATTTATAGGCCATATAAGAACAGATTCAGTGCATTTTTAAGTGTTTTTTTGTTTGTTTTTGCTTTTATATGTTATTTATAGGCCATATAAGAACAGATTTAGTTCATTTTTATGTGGTTTTTTTGTTGTTTTTGCTTGTATATGTTATTTTTAGGCCATATAAGAACAGATTCAGTGCATTTTTAAGTGTTTTTTGTTGTTTTTGCTTTTATATGTTATTTATAGGCCATATAAGAACAGATTTAGTGCATTTTAAGTGTTTTTTGTTGTTTTTGCTTTTATATGTTATTAATAGGCCATATAAGAACAGATTCAGTGCATTTTTAAGTGTTTTTGTTGTTTTTGCTTTTATAAGTTATTTATAGGCCATATAAGAACAGATTGAGTGCATTTTTAAGTGTTTTTTGTTGTTTTTGGTTTTATATGTTATTTTTAGGCCATATAAGAACAGATTTAGTGCATTTTTAAGTGTTTTTTGTTGTTTTTGCTTTTATATGTTATTAATAGGCCATATAAGAACAGATTCAGTGCATTTTTAAGTGTTTTTGTTGTTTTTGCTTTTATAAGTTATTTATAGGCCATATAAGAACAGATTTAGTGCATTTTTAAGTGTTTTTGTTGTTTTTGCTTTTATAAGTTATTTATAGTCCATATAAGAACAGATTTAGTGCATTTTTAAATGTTTTTTTTTTTGTTTTTTTTTGCTTTTGTATGTTATTTATAGGCCATATAAGAACAGATTCAGTGCATTTTTAAGTGTTTTTTTTTGTTTGTTTTTGCTTTTGTATGTTATTTATAGGCCATATAAGAACAGATTCAGTGCATTTTTAAGTGTTTTTTTTGTTGTTTTTGCTTTTATATGTTATTTATAGCCCATATAAGAACAGATTCAGTGCATTTTTAAATGTTTTTTTTTTGTTTGTTTTTGCTTTTGTATGTTATTTATAGGCCATATAAGAACAGATTCAGTGCATTTTTAAGTGTTTTTGTTGTTTTTGCTTTTATAAGTTATTTATAGGCCATATAAGAACAGATTTAGTTCATTTTTATGTGGTTTTTTTGTTGTTTTTGCTTGTATATGTTATTTTTAGGCCATATAAGAACAGATTTAGTGCATTTTTAAGTGTTTTTTGTTGTTTTTGCTTTTATATGTTATTTATAGGCCATATAAGAACAGATTTAGTGCATTTTTAAGTGTTTTTTGTTGTTTTTGCTTTTATATGTTATTAATAGGCCATATAAGAACAGATTCAGTGCATTTTTAAGTGTTTTTGTTGTTTTTGCTTTTATAAGTTATTTATAGTCCATATAAGAACAGATTTAGTGCATTTTTAAATGTTTTTTTTTTTTTTTTTTTTTTGCTTTTGTATGTTATTTATAGGCCATATAAGAACAGATTCAGTGCATTTTTAAGTGTTTTTTTTGTTTGTTTTTGCTTTTGTATGTTATTTATAGGCCATATAAGAACAGATTCAGTGCATTTTTAAGTGTTTTTTTTGTTGTTTTTGCTTTTGTTATTTATAGCCCATATAAGAACAGATTCAGTGCATTTTTAAATGTTTTTTTTTGTTTGTTTTTGCTTTTGTATGTTATTTATAGGCCATATAAGAACAGATTCAGTGCATTTTTAAGTGTTTTTTTGTTTGTTTTTGCTTTTATATGTTATTTATAGCCCATATAAGAACAGATTCAGTGCATTTTTAAATGTTTTTTTTTGTTTGTTTTTGCTTTTATATGTTATTTATAGGCCATATAAGAACAGATTCAGTGCATTTTTAAGTGTTTTTGTTGTTTTTGCTTTTATAAGTTATTTATAGGCCATATAAGAACAGATTCAGTGCATTTTTAAGTGTTTTTTTGTTGTTTTTGCTTTTATATGTTATTTATAGGCCATATAAGAACAGATTCAGTGCATTTTTAAGTGTTTTTTTGTTGTTTTTGCTTTTGTATGTTATTTATAGGCCATATAAGAACAGATTCAGTGCATTTTTAAGTGTTTTTTTGTTTGTTTTTGCTTTTATATGTTATTTATAGGCCATATAAGAACAGATTCAGTGCATTTTTAAGTGTTTTTGTTGTTTTTGCTTTTATAAGTTATTTATAGGCCATATAAGAACAGATTCAGTGCATTTTTAAGTGTTTTTGTTTGTTTTTGCTTTTATATGTTATTTATAGGCCATATAAGAACAGATTCAGTGCATTTTTAAGTGTTTTTTGTTTGTTTTTGCTTTTATATGTTATTTATAGCCCATATAAGAACAGATTCAGTGCATTTTTAAATGTTTTTTTTTGTTTGTTTTTGCTTTTGTATGTTATTTATAGGCCATATAAGAACAGATTCAGTGCATTTTTAAGTGTTTTTTTTTGTTTGTTTTTGCTTTTGTATGTTATTTATAGGCCATATAAGAACAGATTCAGTGCATTTTTAAGTGTTTTTTTGTTTGTTTTTGCTTTTATATGTTATTTATAGGCCATATAAGAACAGATTCAGTGCATTTTTAAATGTTTTTTTTTGTTTGTTTTTGCTTTTATATGTTATTTATAGGCCATATAAGAACAGATTCAGTGCATTTTTAAGTGTTTTTGTTGTTTTTGCTTTTATAAGTTATTTATAGGCCATATAAGAACAGATTCAGTGCATTTTTAAGTGCTTTTTTTGTTGTTTTTGCTTTTATATGTTATTTATAGGCCATATAAGAACAGATTCAGTGCATTTTTAAGTGTTTTTTTGTTGTTTTTGCTTTTATATGTTATTTATAGGCCATATAAGAACAGATTCAGTGCATTTTTAAGTGTTTTTTTGTTTGTTTTTGCTTTTATATGTTATTTATAGGCCATATAAGAACAGATTCAGTGCATTTTTAAGTGTTTTTGTTGTTTTTGCTTTTATAAGTTATTTATAGGCCATATAAGAACAGATTCAGTGCATTTTTAAGTGTTTTTGTTTGTTTTTGCTTTTATATGTTATTTATAGGCCATATAAGAACAGATTCAGTGCATTTTTAAGTGTTTTTTTGTTTGTTTTTGCTTTTATATGTTATTTATAGCCCATATAAGAACAGATTCAGTGCATTTTTAAATGTTTTTTTTTGTTTGTTTTTGCTTTTGTATGTTATTTATAGGCCATATAAGAACAGATTCAGTGCATTTTTAAGTGTTTTTTTTTGTTTGTTTTTGCTTTTGTATGTTATTTATAGGCCATATAAGAACAGATTCAGTGCATTTTTAAGTGTTTTTTTGTTTGTTTTTGCTTTTATATGTTATTTATAGGCCATATAAGAACAGATTCAGTGCATTTTTAAGTGTTTTTTTGTTTGTTTTTGCTTTTATATGTTATTTATAGCCCATATAAGAACAGATTCAGTGCATTTTTAAATGTTTTTTTTTGTTTGTTTTTGCTTTTGTATGTTATTTATAGGCCATATAAGAACAGATTCAGTGCATTTTTAAGTGTTTTTTTGTTTGTTTTTGCTTTTATATGTTATTTATAGGCCATATAAGAACAGATTCAGTGCATTTTTAAGTGTTTTTGTTGTTTTTGCTTTTATAAGTTATTTATAGGCCATATAAGAACAGATTTAGTTCATTTTTATGTGGTTTTTTTGTTGTTTTTGCTTTTATATGTTATTTATAGGTCATTTAAGAACAGATTCAGTTCATTTTAAGTGTTTTTGTTGTTTTTGCTTTTATATGTTATTTATAGGTCATTTAAGAACAGATTCAGTTCATTTTAAGTGTTTTTGTTGTTTTTGCTTTTATATGTTATTTATAGGCCATATAAGAACAGATTTAGTGCATTTTTAAGTGTTTTTTTTTGTTGTTTTTGCTTTTATATGTTATTTATAGGCCATATAAGATCAGATTTAGTGCATGTTTAAGTTTTTTTTAGTTTGTTTTTGCTTTTATATGTTATTTATAGGTCATATAAGAACACATTCAGTGCATTTTTAAGGTAATCTACAGACTCGCAAAAAGCTGTGAAAATCCCAGGATCAAAAATGATCTTTACGTGCAGCAATAAGTTCAAAGATTATTAGGTTTTTTGGATGTTCCCTTTTAACTTCAAGATACTGACACGAAATATCTGCTGATTCAGCTATAAACTAATGAACACAAACAGTTTTGATTAAACTTTAATGTGTGCTGCTTTCTTCAAACATGTTTAGATGTAGAGGCTCCGATACATATTAACTGGGACTCTGTCAGGCGAAACCACGCGCTTTTCTTTTCAATTATTTCTTCATGAATTTACTCGACAATGATTCATAACTGCATGCTGAGTGATTATGCTAATTATTAACTTCTCAGCCAATAGGGATCCCCCAGTCTCTTGGAGATTGCACTGACCACAGAGTTCATCATTTATTAAAGTAAAGCAAAGGTTAAAAGATCATCATCATCAGCGCTGATAAAGGGACATTAACCCCATGACCTTTCGCTCATTACAACGAGACCATTTACACGGCCCTGTTTGTGTTTTGACATTTTTCCTGCGTCGTTTCGAGTTTGTGGAAATCATAGAATTGAGTTTCTACCATTCTAGAACTTTCCAGAGTTGCTGTCGGATGCATGTTTTCAATTATTCACAATGCATAACATTTCAAAGCGGCTGCATGTTTCTACATTATAAAGTAATCAGTAATCAGAGGTGACTGTGCCGTCTTCAACATCAGGCGTTCAGTTATAAAGCATTAGCCTATGTGATAAAGCATTTGTGAATCTTTGTTCATGTCAGTTCACAGTGTTCAACAAATACAAGGTTAATTTTAATAATGTAGCAATAGCATCGACTAATATGAATAAATGCTGTAGATGTTCATTGTTAGTTGATGTAACCAGGGGCGTAATTTGCGGGTGGGACATGTGTCCCCACCACTTTTTGCCAGGGTCGATATAGCCCGTATATTTTTATTTATATATAATTAGGCCCATTGATTCGTTTAATTTTACAGCATTTTTTTTTGGTACAATTGATATAAGCATAATTTTATTTTATTTGTGCGCGCTGTGCAAAAGTTTAGTTAACAAAATGTTGGCCTAATAGTTAATATACTTTTTAAATTTACTTTTAAAATGTTTACGTAGGCCTTTATTTTTTATTTTTTACATTTTTGTTTATACACTTTTTTTTATCTTTATTTATATTATTAGGCCCATTTATTCGTTTAATTGTACAGCAGTTTGTGTGTACAATGGAGAGGCTATAAGCTCATTTAAATTTTAATCGTGCGCGTTCTGCAAAAAATCAGTTAGGCTATACAAATTCTGGCCTAATAGTTAATTTACTTTTAAAACTTTTAAGTATATTTTTGTTTATATATTTTTTTATACATATTATTAGGTCAATTTATTCGTTTAATTTTACAGGACTTTCTGTACAGGCTATTTCCACTGCCACTGGACATGTTGTAAAGTCGGGTCTATGTTTTTATTCACGTGTCACGTGATTCATTCATTTACACACATGTCCCACCCACTTTTTAAAACAAAGTTACGCCAAGACTAATATTGTAAAGTGTTACTGAGACTATGGTGCAAAAGTTCATTTATTTCAGTAATTCAACTTGAAAGGTGAAACTAATATATTATATAGACTCATTACATGCAAAGTTAAATATTTCAAGCCTTTATTTGTTATAATTTGATGATTATGGATTACAGATATGAAAATCTTTTCACAATATTCTAATTTTTGGAGTTTCACGTGTATGTATGTATGTATGTGGAGACCGGGGCTAGTTGTCACAAGGGATCTACTTCATATCTAGTAAATAATCCAATTGAACAAACTTGTATTCTCTAGAAGCGATTTCAGACATTCTCAAACCGAAGTGTGATTGGACATGCGCCTCATAACTGTCGGCCTCTGACTCTTGCAGGCATTGGTGTGATCAGTCTGAACAGGGCGTATCCTCTGACCTTGGGCTCCAACATCGGCACGACCACCACCGCCATCCTCGCCGCCCTCGCCAGTCCCAGAGAGAAGCTTCCCGCTGCGTGCCAGGTAGGCTTCGGGACCGAGAGACCCGCCTGGAAAATGAATGGGAAATTGGCAAAAATGTGAAAATACTGAGTTTTTTTGTGCGTACAATCTACAAATCAGCCACGATCTTGAAAAAAAAGCACACAACAGTGAAGGGGTGAATCTATAAAACATCAAGAGTGCAAAACAGACACATCCACACACACACAAACACACTTTTATACACAAACACACCAAAAGATTCAGATTAAACATGTATTTTGCATTTTTAAAATGCTCAGTTTGTCCACCAGATGGCATCCATCTCATTTCAAAAATTGCTTTTATGAGGCCTAGGCTTGACTCTAAAATGAAATACAGCTTTAAAAAAAAAAAAAAAATATTTAAAAAAAAAAAAAATTTCTTTATGTTCAATTGGGGGAAATTTTGTCATAATTATTGCATTAATACTAATACTAATTATAATTTTTATTTTTTTTTATTTTCTCAAAACACCAAAAAGAGAAGAAAAAATATTATAAAAAACGAGCAAAAAAAAATCATGATTTTTTTTTTTTAAATATGAATCCCGCCCTTTGGGTCCATTTGGACCCGAACACCCCGAGTGTGACTCTGAAACGAACAACCCCAGAGGGTTAAGCTATATTTAAGTTAGTCTAAGTTAAAAAGAAACAAGTTCATAAAACTCAAAACAATAAAACAATTCGGGTCACTTAAAATGTGTCTGTTTTGTGAACTCAAAGGAAAAATGAAAAGTTCTAAATCATTAAAGTTGATTTGATTGAACTAATTTGTTTAATTTAAGGGAAAGTTTAAGTTTTTCCTCAGAGTTTTCCACATACAGACGACATCATTAAACATCTCCATTCACACAGATCCGCGAAAATGACTAAAACGACTGCGGCCAGGCCATTAGATGGCAATAAACGCTACAGATTGAACACGTAATACGCATGTGCATCACGTTATGGTTCTCAGAGATTCATGTTTTTGTTGTTTAGACGGAAACCATTATCAAAAACTTGCACTTTAAAACTATGCATTTTCAGATCGGCCAAAATGTAAAAAAACATTTTTCCTTTTCAGTTAAAAACGGTGTCATGTAAACAGCCCCTAATCAAACAAATTACCATGCACAAAAAACATTATATAATACCCCAATTTCAAATGTCATGGCAAAGCATGCTGGGAAAAAGAATGCCACGCCAGTTTAAGCTATATTTAAGTTATTCTAAATTAAAAGAACCAAGTTCATAAAACTCAAATCAATTAAACAATTCGAGTCACTTAAAATGTGTCAGTTTTGTGAACTGAAAAGAAAAAGTAAGTTCCTCAAACCAATTAATTATTTTAATCAATTAACATTCGAGTCTGATTTCAAATGGATTATTCATGCGCATGTAAACAAACCATGAAAACACACAACAGAGCTATTTGAAGTGGATCAAAAAAGTGAAGACGAGAACGGGTATCGTTCAAAATTCATGTATAACTTTGGTGAAAGCTGCGTATAGGTGTATATTGTTTAATTTAAGTTTACCCAACTCAAACCAATTGATGATTTTGCATGTTATGGATTAATCGGTGCATGATTTCAACGCATTCTCATCCTACACTGTAAAAAATATTTAATTCTATAAAAAATATTATCACAACATATTTTCTTTTGTCAAATCAACTTTATAATCATTTATTTAGTTGAGATAACTTATTATTTTGAGTTTCTGATGATTCATTGTATAAACTCACTTTTTCCAGTTCAATCAACTTAAAATTTTAAGGCAACCCAGGTTACTTAAGTTAAACCAACAATATATTTTTACAGTGTCACAACATTTTTTCTTTTGTCAAATCAACTTAAATAATTTATTTAGTTCAGATAACATGTAATTTTGAGTTTCTGTTGGTTAAATTAATCCCCTTCATTGTATTAACTCACTTTTTCCAGTTCAATCAACTTAAAATTTTAAGGCAACCCAGGTTACTTACTTTTTTTAAGTTAAACCATCAATATTTTTTTTACAGTGTAGGGCGTCATCTAACCAATCTAAATCCGATGCACATGGCAACCGGTGACGCGGTGGGTAGGGTTAGGTTTAGACCACTAGGAGGCGCTAAAGAGTGAACGGGCTGATGATTTGCAGCCCGACTGATTATTTATCATCACGAGACAGTGAAAATGTCCCGTTTTCCCTCCAGATCGCCTTGTGCCATTTTTACTTCAACATTTTTGGGATTTTACTGTGGTACCCCATCCCGATGACTCGCCTGCCGATCCGCATGGCGTCTGCGCTGGGCGAGCGCACTGCTAAGTACCGCTGGTTCGCCGTGCTGTATCTGCTGGTGTGTTTTCTGCTGATGCCCTGTCTCGTGTTCGGCATCTCTCTGGCCGGATGGCAGGCTATGGTCGCGGTGGGAACGCCGTTCTCCGCGCTCATCGTCTTCATCCTCCTGATCAACCTGATGCAGGCCCGTAACCCCACACGCCTGCCCAAGACGCTGCGCAGCTGGGACTTTCTCCCGCACTGGATGCACTCTCTCAAACCGCTGGACAAGCTCATCTCCAGAAGCACGGCGCTGTGCTGTAGCCCGGCTCGAATGAAGGACCCCGAGGTGGTCGTGGTGTCTCCAGAGTTCAAGAACCCAGCCGAGTGTGGCTACGATAACCCTGGCCTGTCTCTCCCGGAGGAGATCTCCTCCGAGCCCAGAGTCTTTAGACTGAGAGGACTGGAGAGATGCAACAGCACGCCGCTATAGACGCTCTCTCAGATTCAAGCTCTGCTCCAAAACCTCATGCACTGCAAAAAATGCTTTTCTTACGGAGTATTTTTGTCTTGTTTCCAGTCCAAATATCAAAAGATTCTTAAATCAAGATGCATTTGCTAAATTCGTAAAATGCCATAATACACTGTAAAACTGAATGCGCTTTATCTAATCAAAAATCTAAGTACAAGCAATATTATTAATTCAATTTAACAATAGAATTGAGTAAAATTAATCAAATTAATTCCTTAAAAGTTAACCATTTAAAATGAGTAAAGTGTACCAAAAAAAAAGTACTCGTTGGCCTCGTTTACACTGCATGGTTCAAGTGACTCAAATCCGATTTTTGCCTCTCATGTGGCACAGATTGGATATGACCGGTGAACGTGTAAGCAGGAAAAAAACGCATGGATTCCGATTTTCTCAGATCGGATTCAGGCCTCATTCATATAAATCGGATATGAATCGGATACGATTTGCGTGTGCCATGTAAGCAGACAAATCGGATATTCCCTCGTACGTCATTAAAAAGTGCGCGATTATAGGCGCGATGGAAGAAAGGATGCACATTGCGGAGGTTTCATGTCTTTTGAGTGTTTGGGGTGAAGAATGCAGGCCAAAAATGCAAGATTGTTACAGAAATAAATCAGTTTTTGAAGACATTTCACAAGACATGAGGCATCGTTTTAAGTAGAGCCTCTCCTCTTTTTTTCTCCGCCGTACAAGACCAATTGTTTTGATGACTTATTGAAATATTGTGGAAAGAAAACACTGGATAATTTTATTCGCATCTGCATCCATTGAATTTCGTGCTGTTTTGCTTAATTTCCCGGGTCAGAACGTCTACATTTGGTAGTTTCAGCAGTGAGTGTAAATGCAAAAATCGGATATGGGTCACTTTTAAAGGGTGATGTAAGCAGGTCGTCAAAAAAAATCGGATATAGTCAGAAAATCGGATTTGGGCATCAAGACCTGCAGTGTAAATGCAGCCTTAAGTCACCATTATGGTGATCAGTGTTTGTTTTAAAATGACGGTTTTCTCCTTCAGTGATTCTGCTTGTTAACGTCAGGTGTCTTCAATGTTGGCAATTTAAAATAAAGAGTTCTTAATTATGCTTTTTAGTTACATTTTTTGGTAAACTTTACTCATTTTAAACGGTTAACTTTTAAGGAATAATTTGATTAATTATTACTCAATTCTAATTTGTTTGTAATCTGTTGCCACATTTTATTGATTAGATAAAGCATATTCATTTTTACAGTGTATATTATGTCTTGTTTTCTGGGGGAATTCGTCAAAATGAAGTGAGTTTTTGCTTAAAACAAGCTAAATCAGCTGAATTCTGTTTGAATTAACATTATTTTTTCTGACCCCATTGGCAGATCATTTTGCTTTTTTTTAAGCAACAACTCACTTCATTTTTGATAATTCCCCCGGAAATCAGGACATAATATAATATATAATGGCATTTTACTCATCTAGTAGCTGCTTGATTTAAGAATCTATTGATATTTGGACTGGAAACAAGACAAAAATACTAAGTAAGAAAAGCAGTGTGAAACTTTTAAAGCATCATATGATTATGCTCAGCCTATTCACAAGGGAACCTGAAAGCTGATTAAATAAGCTTTGCATTGATGCATGGTTTGTTAGGATAGGACAATATTTGGCCGAGATATGACTATTGAAAATCTGGAATCTGAGCATGCAAAAAAAATAAAAAAATCTAATATTGAGAAAATCACGTCAAAGTTGACCATTTATGTTCATGATTGTGCTGCATTCACTCACAAAAATATATTTTTAATAGGAAATTTACAAAATATCTTCAAGGAACATAATCCTTACTTAGAAAAATAGATCATTTTGACCCATACAATGCTATTGCCACATAAATACCCATGCGTCATCATGTGACTGGTTTGATCCAGGGACACATATCAGATTTCGGCCTAAATCTAAGACAGCGTCCCGTGTGTCTTTCATGTAGAATATCATATCATTAGGGCTGTGCAAAAGTTAATTGCGATTAATCGCATCCAAAATAAAAGTCTCTGTTTACATAGTATATTTGTGTGTGTTGTATATAATTATTTTGTATATATAAATACACACACATGCATGTATATGTTTAATAAAATGTGTTATTCATATATAAAATATTTATATTTGTATAATATAGATTATGTATTTATATATATATACAGAATTTAAGCGCAAATAATTCTTAAATATATACATGCATGCATAGGTATTTATATATACAAAATAATTATATACAGCACACACAAATATATTATGTAAAACAGACTTTTATTTTGGATGCGATTAATCACAATTAACTTTTGCACAGCCCTACATATCATATAACGCACAGTGACAACTCGGTAAGAGACAAAGTGAAATAACGGCTGATTAGAAATGTATTTTCTAATCATCTCAGAGTTGAGATGTTTGCCTGTTGTAGTTTATCCTGTCAGACTCACACGTTTAAAAAAAGAACATTCCATTAAGTTTTCTCTGAACATTCTAAACGGCCAGTATTTTAAACGTTTTTTGAAAAGTGTGAACATTCTATATGATTATTCGAATGTTACTTTTGAATGTCGTCCGGACATTCTGAAACAAACATTTAAAAAATGTTTGACTGACATCTAAAGAATTTCAGAAAAAAAAATCTGCAATTGAATGATTTTTGTGCAAACGTTTTGAGAACATTATCAAAGAAATGAACGTACTATTGAAGAACGGTTGTTCATCACTGTGAAAACTTTATCCGAACGTGTTAGCTAAACGCCACTGATCAGGTCATGATTCCTGCAGACAAAACCGCATTTCAGCTGAATATTTTAAGTAGCTATCAAGTTTTGATGCACCACTTGATAAAATAGTTCAATGCAATTAAATATGGACTATTGTACCTAGTTTTTGTGTATGCTGTATTATTAAAGTTTACATGCTAAGACCAAACTCTATAGAGGAGTGCTGTATGTTTCTGCATATTACAAATCAGTCACTTTTAAGGGTGTTTAGTTATTACGATGGAGCCAGTCTCTTGTGCTCAACAAAACTGCATTTATTTGATCAAAAATACAGTAAAAAACTGTAATGTGAAATTTTATTCAAATTAACAAAGAGCAGTTTTCTATGTGAATATATAGTACATATCCTGTGATCAAAGCTGAATGTTCAGCATCATTACTCCAGTCTTCAGTGTCACATGATCCTTCAGAAATCTGCTTAATAATTTTGTTGAATCCGTGATTTTACAATTATGTCTTTACTTAGCCTGTCACTTTTGATCAATTTAATGCAACCTTGCTGAATATAAGTATTCATTTCATTCATTAAAAAACCCTGACTTTTGAACAGTATAGTGCACGTCAGACAGCAAAGCAGTTCACTGGGTTTTGAAACAGAGCCTTAGTTTTACATACGGTGTTTATTCAAATTGGAAATGCATTTGCATTTTTGTGCAAACCAATCCATTTTATTCACCATAATATTTTTACAATATGTTCAGAGCATTAGCTCCAGGCCATTGTGTCTCCGAGGAAGCTGGTAAATGAACATTTTGTTTTGTCCTGCAGTCATGCATGAATGTTTATCATCTGTAAATCTGGCTGAATAAGTGGTTTGAACGTCTACATCAACAGAAATAACTCAGGGCCATCCCTGCACACCTCGTGTTATTAAATATACAGATATTGAAAAACAAATAGCTTTCTTTTTATTTCCCATGCACAATGCTAATGAGAGACCACATGGAGTGTTATTAGCAACAGTTTGTTTTAATTAAGTATTAAACATTCCCCAGTGTTACTGTGTTTTGCATTAAAATTCATTGAAAGCAGAATATTTGCTCTCACTCTAAAAATGCTGGGGTTTTTTTTGCCCAACTTTGGGTAAAATATGGACTATAAAATATGGACCAAAAAATTGTTTTTAACCCAATGGCTGTTTTTTTTTTTCATATTTGACCTAAAGTTGGGTTAAAACAACTCGGCAATTATTCAATGGGAAGAAAAGCTTATAGATTTACTGAGTGATTTTCACATTTGAAACACTGAAAGCTGACCATTTCATCAAACATCATTTTAGGTTGATTTAGTGTATAGGGAATGTTTAATTGAAATAAGCTGTGTGTTATTTTGTATGTGTTTTATATCAGGTGTGGATACTCTTGTAAACACATTAAAGGCACATTATACTGATGACAAACTTTGGGAAAAGTAACGGAATAAAGAAAATGAAACACAAATGGTACAAGAATGCACTATGTCTAATTGTAGTTGTGAAGTAACCAATTTAGACTATTTGCAATTAATATGCACACATTCACTCGATTTAAACACCCACGCGATCGCACTCCAAAATGATCAATTACCGATTGTATCAATTGCATCATTACACCAGTAGGTGGCGACACGCGACAAAATTATGTTATTTTATTCATTTGTCTGTTCAGAATCGTGATCTGTTTGAAAATCATGATTCTCAATTTAACCAGAATTGTGTGGCTCTAATTCACTCTTATTTGCATGTCTTAACATATCGAAAAAGCTAAAGTTTCTTGTCACGAGTTTTTAATAGTTCACAATCACAGTTTTTCACCTGTGCAGTATTAAGTAATAATAATAATAATATGTTTTATTTATATAGCGCCTTTCCAGGGCTTTACAATGAACAAGCAACAATAGCAATGATAACAAACAAAACAACAGTAGATGAGAGTAAAAGATCAGTGAAGGTTGAATATGTAGGTGACTTTAGATGATATATACACTATCAGCGCTACGTATTTGGAACCCCTAAAAGGTTCTATACACTCTTAAAAAATGGGTTCCTCTGGGTTCTATATAGAACCCTGGGGTTCCATACTTGGCCAATAGAACCTTTTACCAAAAAAAAAATGGTTCTATATAGAACCATTTTGGAGTTCCATATATGAAGCGGGGGATGGAACCATTTCTGGTTCTAAATAGAACCATTTCTTCTAAGAATGTAATCTTTCTGTCTTCATAAATCACCAGTTGCCTCCTGTGAAATGTCTACTGTGACCGCTGCCACAGCGCCTGTCCCCGAGTGTGTGTAGGGGGCGTGGCTTAGCCATAGGTCAATTCTGCCGGCCCAG